TTTAATTAATAGATATTATTTAATACGCGATTAGATATTTATATAAAAATAAGATATAAATTTTAATCTAATTAATAAATTTAATAAGAAAATAGAAATAAGCTTTTAAATAGATTAGATAAAATATAATAGATAAATAATAAATAACTTCTAAGTCTAATTATTATTCTAATAAATAAATTTATATTTTAATAATATTATATAAAAAAAAATATAAGCGTAATTTAGAGAAAGTCTAGAGTTTTATTTTTCGCGTAAATTATTATATATATAAATAAAGATAAAAGCTTAGATTATAAGAATATAGATAATATTAAAGCTAAATAAAATATAAGTATTAAAAATAATCTTATTATACGCGTTAATAATTAAGTAGACTTTATCTTTTAAGCTATTTAAAAATTTAATATAAAATTTAATAATAAGCTCTATTATAGTTTAGATATAATAATATTAATATACTAATTAATAAATATCAAGCTATTATAGAAATCTTAAAATATTAAATATAATTATATCTAGAAGATAAAATTATAAATCTTTATTAATATATAATTAATTTAATATATAATAATAAAAAAATTATTATAAAAGCTACGCTATCTAGATTAATATTTAATTTTAATTATTATTTTTATTATTATATAAGTAATATAAAGTTATCTCTTATTTAAATATATCTAATTCTTAACTTTAATTATTATTATAAATATTATTAATTTATTCTAGAATTATTAAATATATTTTTATATATTTTTTATATCTTACTCTTTTTTAATTAAATAGTAATTAAATTTTAAATTAAAATAAATACTTAGAAAAGAAAAGTTTATAAGTACTTAATTATATAATTTTATTTCTTTTATACTTTTTATAATTATTAGAATAATTAATAATATATAATTATATTTTATAATTATATATATAGTAATTAACTAATTTAATAATTAAAGATAAATATATTTTCTTCTTTACTTTAAACGACTTAGCTAAGATTATTATAAGATTTAAATTCTTTTTTTATAATATAATTTACTTTTTATATATTATATAAAGATAAATATTTATTTAAATAGAGATTATTAGAGTTAATTATAAAGTATAATAATAAAAAATTTATTCTTAAATTAACGAATTAAAAAGACTTTTATTATCTTATATAATATTTTAAAAGCGAATCTTTAAATATAATAGCGCTTTAACGAATTTTAATTAAGTATAATTTAATAAATTAAGTGTTAGAAAAGAAGCTTTAAGATTATAAGATTAATTAATTTTTAATAATAATAAATCTCGTATAAAGCTTAAGCTATAGCTTATATTAATTATATATAATAAATATAATAATAATTAAAAGAATATATTATCTAATTTTTATCGACGTTTTAATATTATTAAAGTAAAAATAATATTTATTAAAATAAGAATAATATCTATTAAAATAATAGCGACGGCGATAAAAGCGATAATAATATTTAATAAATTCTTTATTTTAATATTATATTTAATACTTTAGAATAGTATTAGCTTTTTCGAAAAGCTATTAATAATAAATTAAATATATATAAATTAAGCTTTTTACGCGATCTATCTATATATTAATTTAAAATTATTAAAAAATAAAAAATAAATATATAACTTAACGACTATATTATATTTTTAATATCGCTATAATAATATTAAATTATTTAAATAGAAATTTAATATATAAAGAAGATAGTTTAATAATAAGAAGAATTAATATAAAAAAAAAAGTTTTAGAGAGAAAGAAGAGAAAAAGAAAAGCTTAGATATCTATCGCGTATATTAAATTTTTAGATTATTTTAAATTATTTAACTTAAATTAGATATTAATAAAATGCTTTCTTTTTAATTTTAAAGATTTAAATTTAAGCGAATTACGCTTATTAAGTATTATTATCTAATATAATCTTAGCTACTTTTATAATAATTATAATTATTATTATAATTTATATAAATTAAAAGATAAAAGATTTAAAAAAGCGAGTTAGTAAATAATTATCTTTATTTAATTTAACTAATATTAAACTATTATAATTTATTAAAATTTTTATATATATTATTTTTACTTTCTTATTTTTAAATCTTATTATCTTTATAGAAATAATTATTTTTTAAATTAAACTCTATAATAATATATTTAAAATAGCGTATAATATATATTCTCTTTATTTCTAATATCGATACTTATTAGAATTAACGCATTTTTTAATAAAATAAATTAAAAATAAAAATAAAAATAGCTTAATATTTATATATATTTATATAAATCTTTTAATTCTTTTATATATATTTATTAATTTATTTTTTTATAATAATTAAAATAAAAGAGATTAAGTTTAATAATTTATTATAATAAATATTAAATATTAATAATAATAGTAATATTAAAAAGTTTTAATATAGATTAATTAAGTAATAATTAGATTTTTAATTAAAATAAAAAGCGAAGAATAAGTTTAATTAAAATAAAAATATTAAGAAATCGCGATAGCGAATAAATATATTTATATTTTAAAAGAAATTAATTAAGAAAATAAAAAAAGTCGATATTTTAGCTATTAATTATATTATAATAAATAAAAAATATAAAATTAAATATATTAATATATTATTATTATAATAGAAATAAGCTTTTAAATAAATTAGATAAAATATAATAGATAAATAATAAGTAATTTCTAATTCTAATTATTATTCTAATAAACTTATATTTTAATAATATTATATAAAAAAAGTACGCGAGCGTAATTATAAAGAAGTCTAAAGTTTCGCTTATTACGCGAATTATTATATATATAAATAAAGATAAAAGCTTAAATTAAGAGAAAATAAATAATATCGAAGTTAAATAAAATATAAGTATTAAAAATAATTCTACTATATATATTAATAATTAAATAAATCTTTTTTTAAATTACTTAAGAGTATAATATAGAATTTAATAATAAGCGCTATTATAATTTAGATATAATAATATTAATACGCTAATTAATAAATATTAAACTATTATAAAAATTTTAAAATATTAAATATAATTATACTTAAAAAATAGAATTATAGATTTTTATTTATATATAATTAATCTAGCGTATAATAATAAAAAGTTTATTATAAAAATTATATTATCTAAATTAATATTTTAATCTTAATTATTATTATCGCTATTATATAAATAATATAAAATTATCTTTTATTCGAGTATATCTAATTCTTAATTTTAATTATTATTATAAATATCGCTAATTCGTTCTAGAATTATTAAATATACTTTTATATACTTTCTATATTTAACCTTTTTTTTATATATTATAAGAAGATAGCTTAAAGAAATATAGCTTATTATATTAAGCTATAATACTTTCGAGAGAATATTAAGAAATATATTAACTTTTCTAAATTAATAATTTAATAAAAAAATTATAATTATAATATATATAATTTTATATTAGATAGCGATATCGAAAATATATAATAGATATATAAAATTATTATTAATAATTTTAATTATAAAGTATTAGCGAATTTCGTATAGCTAATACTAGAGAAAGATAAACTTTTTTTATTATTAATAGATATAGCTTACTTTCTTTTATATATATAAAGTAATAAAATATAATTATATTTAATTTTATATCTTATTAATTTAGCGTAATTATTAATTAGAATAATAATTAGAATAGCTACTTCTAAATATAAAAATTTTAATTAAAATATTTTATATATATATTATTTTATAATATAATACTATAAATATATTATATCGTAAAATATTTTATTAAAATTTTATATTATATTAGATATAAAATAATATAAATCTTAATAATCTATATTATATTAGAGTATAATATAATAAATTAATATTCTATATTATATTATATCTTTTCAACTAGTAGATTCTTATAATAAAAACATTTTATCTCTATTAATATATGAAATATTAGGGAACTAATAGACTAATAAAATTAAAGGTTAAATCTCTTTAAGTATAAGATTTAATATAGAATAAGCAATTAATAATACTACTTATATTTATTATCTTACTTTATTATTTAATAAATAGAGTTATTATTTAAATATAATATCTATCTTAATAAAAAAGTTAGAAGTAATTATAGATAAGAGATTAGATAATATAGTTATAAGATTTAATTATAGATTATATTTATTTACTTTTATATCTTTTATATAAATATATAACTCTTTTTATTATAACATAGATAACGTTATAAAAAAAAGAGTTTCTAATTAAATCGTTAAATATATAATACCGCTAAGTCTAGCTTATTAAATAATATAAGATAATTCTAAATAAATTAAATAAGAAATTTTATTAGTAACTAATAGTTTCACTTATAAAGAGTATAAAATATTATATAACATTATAGGTAAAAAATTTAATCTTAGATATATAATTGTGAAAATAGGAATATCTAATTAATAAAGAATTAATAGTAGCTAAAGTTAAGATATTGATAGAGAAGATATCTAAGAAATATATCTTAACGCGGATTAATTTAATAGGTAACACGCTATTTATTCCTATTTCTTAGCTTACTAATTAGCGGCGATATATATAAAGTTCTACTAATATATAACGTTTTTTTTTTTTAAAAAAAAAATAAAAATAAAAAAATAAATATCATCGATATTATATAAAACTGCTATCTTATAAGTTAATTAATTCGATATCTTCTTTTTAAGGAGTGGTATATGTATTAAAAGAGGGTGTACTTATATTACTTCCACTTCTTATTGGACTGGCACAACACTTGCACCGGCAGATGCATTTCACTTGGAAAGAATGATGGCAAGTTTTCTTCTCGAGTCGGACGATAAAATACATGGCCACGCGGCATAGGACATGACCTCGTCAAACCCCCAACACCGATACATCCAATCAAACATGCTACCTAGGTCTTCTCGGCCTTCACAACGCCGTGCTGTACAAATCCTAGTACAAAAGTCATGCACCACGCCTACCTTAGATCTGCAGGCGTCAGTGCCTGCACCACACTGGTGCCCTCGCTAAACCTCGTCTTGAATATCCGATTAGCATTCTGGAACATGCCATCCTTCAAACTAACAACGATGAATTGCGATCCTTTGAATCTCGTCTTGATCAAGCGGCCAATGTTTTGCGTATGCGAAAGATCGAGGGCGGCGTCTACTTCGTCGAGGATGTACATGGGTGCTGGCTTGAATTGAAGCAATGCCATGATTAGGGAGAGAGCGATGAGCGATCTGCCGACCCATAATCAGTACATAGTAGCCTGGAAAGGCCGTGGTGTGTCTTACCGCTGACCGCCACTCAATTCCGTCAAGCTCTGCTTCCACACCTTTCCAAGACTGACCTTCACCTCCAGTCCATCAGATATTTGCTTGCCCTCAGGTGGATCCAGCTTTGCAAAGCTACCAGGCAGTAGCTCTGCAAATATATTTCCGAAATCGCCGTTGACCTTCGTCCAAGTCTTCTGCAAGGCTTTCTTCTTATACTCATCAAGAGTAACAATGGTTTCCTCGATTTTTCGCTTATCCTTGATCACAGTCTTCATCATGTTCTTCAGCGCAGCTTCTTTCTTCTCCACACTGTCGATCATATTCATGACCTTGGGATTGATCTTCTTCTTCATGCCTTGAAAGCGCTCTGTAAGATTGCGGAGAGATGATTTACACTCTGCTATGTTCTGGCCTTTGAAATCATAAGGGCTCGAAGGGCGGCCGAAGCTGTCTTTCTCGTCTGCGATCCATTCGTGCTCTTTCTCCATATCTTTGAGCATCTGTCCGGCGCTCTGCTGATCTTTGTGAACCTTCTCGATCTGGTGGGCAAGTTTTTGCATCTCGAGGCTTTCTTCTGTAACGCGTGAAGATTTCGACCTAGAGGCATCTTCCAGGGCTTTGAGCTCTTCATCAAACCCGGTGAGCTTTGCGCGCTCGTCGTCAAGGCGTGCTTGAGCCACGTCTTGAGCATCCTGGGGCGAACATCAGCGATTCTCTCTTTAGTGTCTTGTTCAATATTCAGATCAGACTGCTGTCAAACAGCTCGATTTGCTCTAGAGGAAACGGATTGAAACAACACGAAACCTCAATATGGACTAGCGGCTTTTGTATAGAAATGCGTAATTCAACGGTTGCGAGGTCCCCAGATCTCAAATGGGATTAGCGGCCTTTCTAAAGACATGGGAGATTCAACAGTGGGTGAGGTCCAAAACCTTAATGGAGACAAGCACGCTTCGTCTCCATCCTATCCCACATACACAGAAACAGCAAAGTGCAAAAGACAAAAACATACAGCCGCTAGTACTCGCGGACTGTCACCGACGGGAAGCCGAGTCTTCAACAGTCTGTGGCCGTACGTGGAAGGTCTTCCGAGTAACACGAAACAGGGAATACGCAATGCGGATTGAAACGTGCTTGAACTAACCTTGACTTGAGCCTGCTCTTTATGCAAAGCTTGGATCTCGGCGTCTTGCGCCTGAAGAGTAGCATCCATCTCAGCGAGTTGGTCTTGAGCGGCACCGAGATCGGCTCCTGCTTGCTCCGCTTCCAGTCTCCCCGACTGGAGCTCCTTCTGCAATGTCTTCACAGATACGGAGTTCTTGGTTTGCTTCTTCCTGAGGGTATCCAAAGAGGACTGCAGTTCAGCAAGCTTGTCGTCTTTGTTGTTATCAAAGTCTTTCATGTCTTTCTCGATACGCTTGATGTCCGTCGAGGCTTCGGCCTGCCGTGCTTTGGCATCAGCCATATCCTTCTTGAGCTGCTCGATGTTGGACTTCATCTCCTCAACTGCCTGAATGATTGATGATGAAGAGTTGCCACCGATTTGCTCCTCGGTCAGTTTAATCTCATGTGATTTGAGATCCAATTCCTGCTTGGCCTTCCGGGAATTGGCCATCTTCTTTTTCTCCTTAGCCATTATAGCTTGGAGGTCATTCAACTCGGCTTCTCGTGCCTCTAGTTCCTTGGTGATCTCGTTGAGCTTTTGCAATGTCACAAGGACACCGCTTGAGTTGGGCGAGCTTCCACCAGACAGCGTTCCAGACGGATCGTAAACATCGCCTTCGAGAGTGACGCTTTTCATCCTCACCGCAGGGTCGAATGTGACCTTTTTTGCCGTCTCCGCGTCCTCACATACCAGAGTCGAGCCGAAGACGTATTCCATTGCCGCCGAAACCTCGTCATCGTAGCCTACCAAGGAGAGTGCAAGATCTACTTTTCCAGGAGCGAGCTTCTGCGCAGCACCGATCTTGTCTGCAGACGCCTTGAACGCAGCAATCTTGTTCAAAGGAATGATGGTCACTCGTTTCCTCAATTTGCCGTTCTGGAGAAGTTCAGTACCAGTTTGTGCGGAGTCCACCACAACATTATAAAGCCGACCTCCAGCGCATATTTCCAGCGCCGTGCCTGCTCGCGACTTGTCTTTGTCCAGTGTAAAGAGTTGCGCAACCAGACCTTTGACTCTAGACCTATCGAACCCCGGCGACGGATCGCTGTAGCTGAAGTCAATACTGGCAACCTTACGTTTCATAGCATCGGCCTGCTCTTGAAGTACCCGGATTTGCTTCTGCAGCGAGGCGTCTTGCTGGTACATTGCTTCCTCTTTGCCAGACTCAAAACCCAACCTGGACAAATCCGCTTCCAGCTTCTTTGCCTGCGCTTTTAGCGTCTCAAGATCTTTGAGCAGACCGGAATTCTGTTCTTTGGCCTTCTTCGCACGGGGCTCGTCCTCTTTGATCCGCTTTTCCAAATGGGAGATCTTGAGCCTGGCCTGTTCTTGTTCTGTTGCCGTAGCACTGACTCGGTTCCTAGCATCCTGCAACTGGCCTTGATATCCGCTCTCTTGCCCTTCTTTTGATGCCACGCCCGTTTGCAACGTTTGCAGCAACTCCTCTTTGGTCTCCACCTCGGCCGTCTGCTTGTCAAGGTCCGCTTTGGCAGAATCATATTGGGATTGTAATTTTTCGTAAAGCTTGCTTTTCTCCTTGAGTTGTGCTTCCAGCTCTTTGACCGACTTCTGATAGCCTTTACTTCTTTCCTTTTCTTCCGTCATACTGGCTTGCTTGAGATCAAAAACTGTCGCCAATCGGACGGCTTCATGGGAGTGAGATCTGACCTCGTCTTCGAGAGCCTGGAATTTTCCACCCTTCCTCAGCTCCTTCTCTCTTGCGGCCTTGACCTTCTTCATGTCTTCTTCCAAATGCGCCATTTCATTCTTCAGCCTCTTTGCCGAATCCTCCAAGTCTGTCGCCCGTTGCTTCTTCGCTTCCGACTCGCTTGCTGATTGCTTCAATTTTTCTTTGTTCTTCAGATAATCGTGCGCAACGACCAGCCTCGTCAGCCTTTCTAGGTCACTCTGCGTCTGTTGAAAATCTAGAAAGGCTCTCTTTTCCGTTCTCAATTTCTCCAGTTTTGGCTCGATCTCTTCCTTCAACAGCTCCGTAATTTCCTGTACTTTCAATTCTTTCTTCGCCATGGTCTTGAATGCTTTGTCCCTTCTATCCTCAAACATCCTCGTGCCCGCAGCCTCTTCGATCATAGCAAGTATCTCAACGGGTTTCATATTCAATACTTTCGTAATTCGTCCTTGCATAATGAGGAAGTTGGGATTGTTGATGTTCAACTGAACAGACTGGAAGAGGTTTTGCACCGTCTGCTGCTGCGCGCGGTGTCCATTGATGAGGTATTTGCTTGTGCCTCCAAGCACAATCTGGCGCGTAACGGAGATCTGGCCATATTCTTCGAAGCCGATTGGAGACTTCTTTTTGTCACGGTTGTCGAAGACGATTGTTACGCTGGCCTTGGTCACGCCGGCTTGGCCGCGTTTATAGATCAAGTCCTGTGAACATCAGCGCTGCTAGATCACGAAGAACTATAGTAGCTGACTAACCTGGATGTTCTGCGCCCTCACAGTGCTCATGCTTGTAATACCTAGGACAAAGCATATTGCGTCCAGAATATTCGATTTCCCACTGCCGTTGAGACCTGTAATGGAGTTGAAGCTCTCGTCCCACCCGCTAATAACCGTCCGGACAGCATATGACTTGAAACCATCTATAACGATTTCAACGACCCTCATGTTGGCGGTGTTGGCTTGTAGCGACAGTAGTGAAGACTGACAGTCGCGAATAAACAAACAGTGAGATCGCGGCGCCGATTCCGCGCTACTCTCAGCCTTACGGAAACCTTGTCAAGCAGTCGCTTTACGGACATTCTTTTCATGCAATTTAATTCCCTATGTTATTGACTCTCAAACACCCCCTTGTCTACTATAGCAGCAGAATTTTGGGGATTCAGCTCGCTGGGTACTATTTCTCCACAGGTCCTCCATCCTTGCTCCATCCTCTACTCCTCATGCTGTCCTCTACCCGATCCCATATCCCCTCCACAACCTCTCTATCCCGCCACCTCCCACTGACACCTTGCTGCGGGTTCCACTTCTCAACTTGCGCGCTAGTTACGCCTCTTCCCCAGCCCTTGACAGTCCCCGGAACATCTTCACCTCTCCACCCTACATAGATTCCAAGCGCGTTTTTGAATAAATCTGGCGCATTTTGCCATTTATAACTCTTGAATTGCCATGTCTGTCCAGTAGTGAAGACTGCAACGACGCGATTCCAATAGTCTGGCTTGAACTGTTCTGGGGTATCGACAAGAATGAAGCGAAAAGCTCGTTGATTGTCTATCGAAGGGAGCAGGCGCGAGACATGTAAGATGTTGGCAGTAGCTGAGGAGCCAGCAAGGTTCGAGTCTGGTGGAATGTATGTGCCTGATTCAAGAAAGGATTTGATGTTGCTCATGCGCAGTAGGGAGGAAGCTGAGGGTGAGAGTAGGATGATGGGATCAGGTCGACGGCCAGGCTTCTTGTCTCTGGAGGCAAGGGATGTAGTAGTGGCGGTCGCAGGAGCGGCGGCAGCTGGCTTCTTTCGATCTTTGAAAAACTGTTCGGAGTGTTTGCGTATATGGGAAAAGTCCTGTGTAGGAGATGATCAGTATCTGTTGAGGGATACATTTAAGGCGCAGAAGACTTACGGTAGGCTTAATGCCCCGTAAAATGCTGTTCCTGTCCCCCATCTTTCTCTCTAGGTTGTAAATCTCCTGTAACCTAGGGTCAATCTGCTTACCAGACCGTGCGCCAGCAGCACCACTAGGTACAGTGGATACTCCTCCAAGTGCCCCAGATGCTACTTGTGCAGATTTTGCGGCAGAGCTGTCCGATTCCAACCCCTTGATATATTCGCTTTCATCGGAAGCCCCCTCCAGCCAGGTGATCAGATCTAGCCTCTCCGCAAACACCAGATTTTGAACTTTGCTACCTGCCCTACCTGTTGACCCAAGTTCATCACTGAGCTTTTGCGCTGAGGCAATGTAGACTGGGATGTTCACATCTTTCTGTTGCCAGGCGAAATATATGCTTCTAAGATCGACCGGATTGTCTGAGGAAATGAACCTTGTCGGCGTGTCCAGAGAGAACGAGTGGGGTTCTGGACCGGTGAAATGGAGATGTGTCGCTACTCCAAGGTTGTGGGTTACGCTCTCCGAGCTTGCTGCATCTGGAGATGTTGTAGGGATTGGGGGATTGTTAGAGGCGATGGAGCGGCGGAGACTTGTAAGAGGATCGCGAGGAGTATTAGCCATTCTGAAAAGCTGTACTCTCTGACCATCAAGCAATACTTCAAGGCTCAGTGGTGGTACCTTTGAAGGTGCTGAAGTTCAGATCCTCAAGGTGTCAATCAAGTCAACGACAACTGCAGTTAACAATTAGCGCATTCACAGTCCTTACTCTACGTCTCTTGGCATTGATGATCTGACACCCTGCATAGATTCAAATCTTCAACTTTACAACCGTGAGTCAGATTTTAAAGAGATCTATACATGAGTTTGGCGCCTCCTCGCTATGATTTCAACGCATCTAGAGTAATAGTAAAAATCATTGAAGACAATGACTAAGTTATGAAGTCTCGAGGTCATAATTCAAATTTTAAGAGTTGAGCAAGGTAACTTGGTGACTAGACTCATGAAAATTCAAGATTTGATTTCATATTCTACTTACGAAGTTGTAATTTGAAATTAAATTTTTTCTAGACAAAGTTTGCAAAATATGTTCTCGAGATTGTGATGCCATTGGATTTCCGACTTCTAGTTGTAAAATTGATATCTTGAATCTATAGAGCCTCGGAGGGTGTCAGATCGTCAATGCCAAGAGACGCAGAGGATTTCGAATCCGCTAAAAGCGCAGCCAGGGCAAAAGCCGACTTTATATTCTTGTCATGACAACGGATTTACAAATATTAGCGGAAGCCGTATCTATCTTGCTCCCATCATGATTGTACCCAAGATGTCACGACTACGGCCTGGTTCGTACATTTCCGAGTAATTATTTCCTTTTCAATGCCGAATCCCGAGTTGCAAGGCATATGTCCAGAGCAGAAGGCGCTTTCTACCCCCGAAACCTGTCGTGCGAGCCTGAGTTAGGTCTTTGAAAAGCAACGCTGACTCCGAAATGTGCGCAGGTGTGAGCGTAAACATAGTACTGAAAGCCGATCAGCGCTCCGGCAGACTCACAAGCGGATCAATATCCGAGGTAGATTTTGCCTATTCCGCACCACTTTACGAGTTGGAAGACGTGTCACAGAAGCAAAAGGCTCCTTGTACCCCTTCGAGCTGCCTCATTGCTCGGTTCTCGCCTCGAAGAACAGTTGCTGACTCAGAATCTTCTTGTAGATATTGACCAGGGGTGACCATCCTAGGGGGATCAAGGTCCGCCTTACCAATGGTCAGGTCGGTCGAGTGCAATCCCTTTCAGCGCCCTCTCAACTTTCCGCTAGTTCTGATATCTCTCTTCATCCATTATCAACCAGTGTCAGCCCCGAGACCTACAATGGTGAACGTGGGCCGTCTAAGTCTCATTCAACAGGAGGAGGCTCTAGCAGACGAGGAGGGAAAGCACTACAGGATGATTATAGGCAAGATCCAACTCCGCTCGAGTCACGAAGTCTTGCAGACTACATACGACTCCCGTCCTCGCCAGAACCTGCCTCTGCGCCTAGTATCACAGTCGAGGAACCATCACTCCAGACACAAATGGAATCGGAATATCCCAAGCTTGACTCTGCTTTAATTGCGGCCATCGTGGCGGACTATCCTGATCCTGCCGAAGCAAAAAACGTGCTTTCAGCGCTTTCATGAGACCGAGAAACGGATTCGAGATCGCAATCACATTGCCAATTTAATTCAGTATCTCAGGAGCGGTGTGCCTGGTTGCGTAACGGTCATCTACCACATCGTGACCTCATCTGGAAAGGTGGCGGTGAACCCAATTCGATGGAATGCACTGGGAACAAACCGCATGCTTTCGCTATATGGATCGGACCCAAGTTTCATAACTTTTTACGTGTCTAAGTGCCGAAACTCTGTCGCACACCGTCGAGGTCTTGAAAGACTGGCGGCGGATATCTTTTCTTTCCACGACTGGTTCGGATTCGCTGCTTCAGGCGTGCCCGTCTGTAATGTTCGCCATGCTGAGCTCAAGGGTATGACAAGACACCATATGCTACAGCGTTGAGTGCTTGATAGTCAACGAGAAGTGAAGCGATCTGTTGAGCCATTCGCCAATTTCGACTTTAATGACGGCTGTCTTAGGGCGCCCTCCTGCAGGATCTTCTACCACCACACCACCAACTCGAGACGACATGCTGTATATTCCGGTCCCGGAGGTGATAGTGCAACCGAATATTATGCAGCGGTGCAGCCTCTATTCTTGGATTAATAAACTCGTACGTTTCAAGTTGCATCCCGCAATGCTTGCTTTTCTGATGGGTGGAACTTTTCGGCCTTCTCTATTGGCATTGCTTTTCCAGCACGTGAACAGGGTTAAGTACTCAATGTCGCATCGCAAAATCATTCCATTGGCTGGGGTTAATCTTTCTTGAATCCTAGACTCCTAGTTAGTGATCAAAACATGTCGTGAGAAATTTGTCAGTTGTGGTTGATGTCCCTTTCTCTTCCCGTTCTGCCAGGAGTTGCGGTTGCGCACCAATCAAATATCATCTCGAGGACACCGCGCCTCGCTTCGGTCTTTCTAAGTTTGACGTTTTGCTGGATATTCGCTCACTAGTATAAATGGGCTGTGACTAGATGGAAAGGAGAAGGGTGAAACCTATACTCCTTTCATCAGAGCATTTTCCTTTCGCAGAAAAGGCCCTGGGCTTCTCAAACCATTTCCAGACATGCTGAACCACTCACCATTCGTTCTACTGGTCGTCAACGTATACCGCGCTTTATGAGTAATTAACACTTTCGCCAATTGCTCTGTGCTTTACAAAATTCCTCGATCACGCGGCTGCGCTTCCAAATGGCGCAATTGTCGCCCACAGAGATCCAGTACGAGCTTGAGCACATCCATCAGGATCGAGCACCGGACATCATCGCATCATATGCAATATGTCTATCTCTAGCTTGCATTGCCGTAGTGCTGCGTTTCGTGGCCCGACGAACAAGCAGAGCTTCATTGCAGGCCGATGATTTGACCGTATTTATTGCATTGGTGAGAACCAGGTTACGCCTCTTTGACATTTTCGAATCATCTAATAAATACTGACCTATGTTTGGGGTCCAGCTCTTCGCTACAGGCCAGATCATCGCAGGCTCGTTTGGTGAGGTTCACGTATAGCTTTTTCCCTTTGTAGAGTCATCCTGACAACTTTCATCGACACACAGCGGTACATCTTGGCGCAGGGAAGCATGTCGTTCTAATCACTGATCCTGCTGCCTATGCTAAGGTGAGTCACCGCGCCATATTCGCGCTTCTTTTAACTCTTGACCATTCAAGCAAATGGTGGACCCAGTCTCGCGAATATTATTTTCTTGAGACCCAACTGACCAAATTCTGTTTAGTGCGTTATCACGGTTGAGATGCTGTACAGCATCAGCGCGGCTTTGTTCAAGTTCTCTGCCCTTCTTCGTACGTATCTTCCGAGTGGCTCCTTCCTAATCGGCACCTCAGTGCGGCGGGGAGACACGTTCTTGATCGAGACCCTATATTTCATACTCTAAAGCCACAGAAACCGACTTCTCTTTTGGAAAAGAGGTGCTGACTCCAGGTTCTCTCCTTAGTGTATCACCGACTTTTCGGGTCCTCGAAGCGTTTCACAGTTTGGCTCTGGGTACTCGCGGCCGTCATTCTCTGCTACAGTGTAGCCGAAGTTCTTTTCGCGGTCCTCCAATGTCACCCTATTCAAAAGACGGTAAGCACCCTTTCTGGGTTATTTCTTCCCCTTCCATACCCTTTTTTCGAGTCTTCAGACTCAAGAATACATCTAAGAAGAGAAACACTGACTCCGAGATGGTGTAGGTACGTAATCTTGAAGTTAAACAGTCTTGAACCGCCTCAATCTTGTGCCTTGAGACACGTCTAAGGAGGGTTCGCTCCTCAGGATTGTCTCATGGCTCGGAAATATGTCTTGAATAGGCAATGCTGACTCCGGAATCTTTATCAGTGGAATATGGAACTTCCTGGCTTTTGTCTAAACGCCGGATTAGTGGCGACGGTTCTTGGGGTGTTCAATGTAGCCGCGGATTTCGCTACCGTATTCATGCCACTGCCCCTAATTTGGAATCTTCATATGCAACGGAAGTGGAAGATACAACTGATTGGCATCTTCCTCCTTAGCGCCTTGTGAGTCATTTCTCCTAGCACAGTACGCATTGGAGGTAACAGTACGTACTGACGGGACTCATTCAGCGTCTGCGCATGCAGCATCTACCGCGTTACGATATTGAACCGCTTGTCTCTCCCAGACGTAACCTGTAAGCCACGATTCCATCGAGTTGGTCCGAAAAGCTAACCTCATCCCTAGGGGCTAATACCGAACCCGCTATATGGGCGGCGGCAGAGAATTGTATTGGCATCGTCAGCGCTAGCCTGCCCACAATGCGCCCAATTTACAACCTGATAGTCCGTGGCCATCACTGCAGTTCCCACGAAAGGTACTGTAGTCGCTGCGAGCATTCCAGAATTTCTGGCCGCCGTTCAAGACTACGGTTTGGCACCAAGTGGCCGGGCTCGGCATCGTCGTCTGCCGGTGAAGGGACGCGCAATGCCAGGAGCTCTACGTCAGACATTGAAAGCGCGAACAGAAGTGACTCAGCAGTAGAGATGGTACTTCATGCCAAGGGCCCTGTGCCGGCTCTAGAAGGCGTTGTCAGAATCACGACGACTGTGGAAATATCATGATGAACGGTTTCTCGATGATTTAGTCTAGTTCTATCTCATATGTTTCTGCAATCAATCTTAAAGTGCCGTTTCCTTCACAAGCCTCACACCTCGTTTCATACATTCCCCAGCACTCCACCACCAGTCTGCGACGTCTCACCGCGCGATCTTACCCGCTCATCAATCGGAGTCTCGGTCAGTCCCGCCAACCCATATCCACCCGACCTTGCTCCTCATAATCTGGCACTCTTCAAACAGCGGCTCTGCCGCCTCATAGAGATAACTTTCCACGTCGATTGTGCATAGATTCCATGTGCACCGGCTGGTGGTTGTTCGGCTATAGCGCCCACGTCTGCAAGGATAGCGCCCACGTCTGCAAGGGAAGCGATAGTACGTGTGCAGGCTAGGTCTTCGTCTACTGTATCTGCCATTAGCATGAGGTCTTGGCTTTCACGCTGTGCGCAACGGACAGTAGGGGTATCTCTGAGGGGTGTACCGGCGCGGATATGGATCGTCTGGGCCAGGCCCCGGGCTTTTAGCATACCAGTGGTTGATTTGACCGGGGCTGACGCCCGCCCATCGCCTGAATTGTTGGATTGATTTTGCTCAGTCCGAGGCTTTGAAGCCAATGGGATTTTCGGTCCAGTCGGTGTCTGCGGTGGAGTGCCAGGCGTTGCGGGTCGAGTTCAGGGTGGTAGCGGGAAGGCGGGAAGTGGATGATGCTTGCTGTTGCAAGCTGCATGCAGCAAAGGATGGGGAGAGGAAAGGGAATGTTTGTTAGGTCGATGGTAAACAAACGGCATGTTGAGAAGCTGACCCAATGCATTGGGATTCGAAGAAAGACGCCTTTGCAAAGCAGATATGTGTGTGCAGGAATGATGCGCTGCGCATCACAACATTAGGTCGGCTCAGCGTTCGGAGACTCTGGACTTCAAGCACGCGACATCCGCATGAGTTCTTATTCAATAGATGGGGGCAAAAGCAAGGAACTCAGCAATCCAAATAGAAAGGCCTCGACGAGCTCCATAACACACAGAGTGCTGCGCCGAAGATACCAGCGAGCAAGACAGCGCGCGCCAGCATGTCAGATACTGAAAGCCTTCCAAACATATCAATCTGTCTATCCTTTTCGTGAGACCTATTTTAGGCTAGTGCAATCGTGAAGAATGCCAACGTCCTAGTGCTTTCATGATGCTTCGCACGCCAAGAACGCTGCAGATGCTCTATGGGTCCCGACTAAATCCTTGCGTAGTGTTACGCCGTTCCATCTAAGATGAGGGTAGCAAGTGCACACAGCCTAGCCGTTCAAGTAGTTCCTTATAGCACCTATGGAGTTGGTATGATGTCAGCAACAGCAAGGAGGACGTAGGAAGGACCTAAGATGATGCACTCACCTTGCAGCTTAGTAGCGCCCTCACCCAATACGTTTGTGAGGTTTTCCAGGTCATCCCCAGCGGTGACCCCGAACTTCCGAACGAAGTCCCTCGCAGCGCCTTCCAGATCCCCGTAATTCCCATATTCGTCTGCCTGCGGGATGTCATCCTCGGGTCGCCCGAAATAGGCATTACTGCTAATAGAGCTGGCGCCTTCGAAGCCTTGCAGACGCTGCTTAGCTTCAGTCTGGGTGGATGGGTCGAAATTATTGCGGCCGAAGAATTCATCGGACGAGATGCCTTTCTGGGTGCCGAATTTTTGGCGGGCGTATTTCTCGTCGTTTGCTAGAGAAAAATGAGTCTCTTCCAACATTTGAGGACGACGGTGATAATTGATCCCAACTAACCTTCTTCGACGGCTCTGCTGGCATTCACAGACCCAAAGCCCATCTTCTTGGGTGCAGCAGGGGCCGGCTCGCTTCCTCCCACCTGACCGAAACCGAGACGACCCATACCCATACCTAGTCGTTCCATCTCGCTCTTCGTACGCTCATGCTTTGGCACGCCGTAGCCTTTGACTGGGTTCACCGGGGTCGGAGCAGTGATCTTAGTCTTCTCACTAATGCTGGCGGACCTGACTGTCTTTTGTACTGCGGCTTCCTCGGCTTCAGGGTCGTATCCAAGCTTTTCTATCCGTTCAGCCTCTTCCTTCGCTTTCTTCTCGGCGGCCTCAAAATCTACGGCTTCTGCTCCTCCAAGCTTTTTTGCACCTAGCTTCTGGGTCTTCTTTGCTCCCAGAACGTTTGTTTTCCGAGCGTTGCCAGTTGCTGTGGTTTTACGGATGACGGCTGACGGGACTGCGCGTGAGGGCGCTAAAGATGATTCGCTCTCAGAGCCTGGAAGGGGTGATTTTGATCTTGGTGCACCGTTGCTGTTAGCACCAGGATTAAGGAAAGGCGACGCTGTGCGGCTAATTACGGGAGGGGTCTGCGTTCTCGACGGTGGATTGCTTGGGCGTTTGATAGAGGGTTTGTCCCAAGATGAGAAGAAGTCGTCTCCTGGTTCTGAAGGAATTGACGTTCCATCTGTAGGCGTTGCGGCAACGATATCCGTGACAACGACTTCTTCCGGATATCTGAACATGGCTTAGCAAGAACCCAATCAACCAAGCGATGTGCAGCATACTCCCGAGCATCTGCGGTTGCTCTTTTCTTCAACTCGTCCTTATATTTTGTTGCTGCGTTGGACGTGTACTTCGTCTTTGGATCTTTGTTTGCAAGTGCTGCTGTTCCACCGTGCGACTGGAAATATTTTGTAGCGGATTCATTGCCCCCAACCTTCATAGTACGTAGCTGGTCCCATTGCCAAACTGTATAAACCTTGTGTCAATGATTGCTCAAGAGCATCCGTGCAACATTCGTACCATCGAGGTTTGTTGATCTTACAAAGGAAATATGCACCCCCAGGTTACGGTGATTAGAGGAGCAGTCGAGGCACAGGTATATACCGAATGGTACTGACGACCACGTTGGGTTCTTCGTACCGCAGTCGAAGCATACCTATAGCATAGCTACTTAGCTCATGTTTACAGTGAAGCTCTGGGACCTGATAATGATGTACTTTGTTCGCAGGCTTCGTCTTCAGCTTCTCAAAAATCTTTTGCGATTGTGCTTTAGTCGCAGAGGAGCTCATGGTGCCGTATCGGACAGTATCTTCAACCCGAAATGGTTGAGAGAGTGTCAGGGCAAGCGACGACAAGAACAGTACTTGTAGCAGCTAGCAAAGAGGTTCTTGCACTTGCCCAGGTATCCTCGAATACTGGCCTCAACATGCCAAGGCACGCTAAAGGCACGCTAATCCCCGGAACAGGGTTTTGACGATGTCAGAATCTCATCTCCGCCTGGTTCCTCTTTCCTTTCTCCACCACAAGGGATCAATGCTTTTCTTCATGAAGGTCAATGATGGAGCGCAGAATAGTCTTTGGCGCTCGCTTCGGAGCAGCAGTAGCTGCTAAATCCCAACAACAACTCCTGTCATCCAGGATTGTAGGGCGTCGGTGCTTGCCATTTGCTATTCACAGATGCTATGCTACATCGAATACTCTGGCGGGAACACCAAAACCATCGTCCAGAAAGCAAGTGACGATCGGTAATGATGATGGTAGAGTTCCATGGGGCCAGTTGTCAGCTGGGGAAAAGGCCGCACGCACAACCCAACAAGCGTTCAACTTTGGAGTGATTCTTGCTGGAGCAGTCGGCCTTGTATGACGGCTTTTTCTGTCTCTTTGAGCGCTACTAATTCAGGTCAGGCTGCTGTTAGCTACTATCTCTACATCGACGTCTTCTCCTCCGACAGCAAAACCAGACACTTCAATCGTGCGGTTGACAGGATCAGAGTAGACCCTCGTGCACTCAATCTGCTTGGGTCTGGCCAAACAATCAGAGCATTTGGAGAACCGACAGCAAGCAAATGGTCGAGGAACAGGCCCATTGCGTAAGCAAGGAGATCTTGCTATTTAGCATACCGACCACTTACGATCGGGGTCTAGCTCGAATACATATACAGACAGAACTGGCATCGAGCACTTTCAGATGCACTTCAATGTACCTTAAAGGTCCCCGCACAACCTCTATTTTTACAATTAACTGACCCCCAACAAGGTCGTAGGCTCAGAGCGGTCTGGAATTGTGAATCTACATTTGGTGAAAGGCCCAGGCTCAGACTGGGACTATCGGGTTTTTGCACTCGATGTGCCAGGTATGAGTTCTATACATCCGAATCACCCAAAAATGCAAGGACTCAGTGATATACAGGTCAGCCCAGGCTCTATCTTGAAGGCGGTGATGCTACTGCGGAACAGAAGAAGCCGGGCTTTAAGATGCTAGGAGTCCAGTGGAGATGACCACTATGCGCAGTTGCCTTCCTGCTTATCATCTCGTCTCCGGCTGTGTGCCAGACCATCCCTCATGCGTTAGGTCTGGCGAATGACTGACGGCCACCCGATACAATCACAAGGTTAGTTTTGTATTTCGGGGATCTACCATCCTCAGCTTACCTTTCGATTTAGAAGCTCTTTGCGTCGTGGAAGCTGACCTGCATCCCGCAATGTGACCTGCATCCCGCAACGTTAAAGCGCGGAACATATTAGGGAACAGTCACAAACCCCTCGCGTGAACTCTTTTGATCCTGATGAAGAAAACTGCCGAAAGGAAACCCACAGGATAAAGCATTTTGTGAAACCGAGAGTCTATCTCCCAGCGCTGGCAGCAAGTGTGGTTCCCAGACACCTGACGATCTACTCGTATCGGATTCATTGTTCCCAAGTCGGTCAAAGCATCTAACCCGTGTGGCGCTCGACTTCAACTCAAACCTGTCAACTAAGTCTCTGTTTTGGACTTGAGAACTGGCAATGTACGATGAAACCGAAGGTAGAGTTGCGTCAAATAATCAGGGGCATCCCTTCATACCGATCATTGGTCGCCGAAGCGCCCTGCTGGACACAAATAGCTCGGCTAAATCTAACAAATCAATCATGGCCAACTAAAACCATCTTCACATGATTTGCCATACGTCTTGTTCCTTAAAACAAAGACTTGCTTGACATCAAACACGGAGAAAAATGATGCGCATTGCGATCGTTGTCTGAGCTTGGGCTTGCGGTACATCACCTTTGAGATTGATCAAAGGCAATGGATCTATTGTTGTCCGCCCTGATACAATGAATGAATGTCCACTCTTCCTGCCAACAAAGTCTTCTCAAACTCTGTTCCTTCATCATGGTTAACAAAGAACTCCCACAATATCTTCATCTTGCTGCTCTTGCAAACCGTTCTCATTACAAAACTATCTCACCTCTCCGCACTCAATCCCTTCTACATCAAAAGATTTTTAAAGCTCTCATCACTGTTGTCTCTGCTGTGCAGACTTGTCGTTCAACATGCGTGCTTCCGACGTCATCAAGCGTCAATGGGCATTAGTCCCCTTACTCTTTATCTTAACGGCTTTCATTCTCTCTATGCTCTGCATCTTTGCGTAAGTCTTCTCCTCCCACTGATCCTCCTTCGTCTGTCCTACAGTCAGACTCGTGAGATATGTTTCGGGAGTATGCCACTTGCCGACTCTGCCTTGCGACTCATATTTTGTCTTGAGCGCATGCTGACTCAGAAATCATGAAGTGGTTCAAAGCGCGGATATCTCGAGGATGCCGATTTGTTCACGGTAAGCCCTTCCGTAATTACGCCTTTCCTTCTCACATCACTGACATGGATTCAGCTCAATACTTCGATGCTCGGCCGCACGACTTTGGATACATCTAAGACTTCGTCGTCGATTCTGAAATCCATCAAGAACACAGTTCAGAAAGACGTGAATGAGGTCATTTCTGACGTGGCTAAAACCCTCGGCATTCATGACTTCTATAGCGCCCACATCCTCGACTATTGTGAGGTATGTCCTTTGCTTTCCCGCTCAATACCGGACAGAAAGATTCAGATTGACTCTACTATCACAACAGGGCTATTACACTCCGTCACCTTTCGCAAATCTAACCTCCCAGCCCTCTAAAAACATCAGCTACTGCTCCAATCAAACTTCGTTCTTTCACTTTGACCCAGCAGCCGTTATCCAGGGCGAGCTCAAGCCTGGAGTCAAACTTACAGACCTGAGCTGGCCATCTGCAATTCAAGACGGTGTACATGCTGTGGAGGATGCTACAGATGTCATGTTTGTCCTCTACTCCATTGGGGCAACTACCACCGGTGTGGCGCTCATCGCGGCTCTGGTTGGGGTCAGAGGGGTGTGGCGATACAGTGCTATCACCTGTGTTATGCTTTCGTCGGTATGTGGTCCACAAGTCCTTCCAGAAGCCCATGACTTAGCTAGATACGTGGTCGCTAATCTTATAGCTCGCTTTTGGCTCCCTCCTCCTTGCTTCATCCATCGCGAACATCGTCATCAACAAAGTGGTCAGCGCAATCAATGAGCACGGCAACGACATTGGTGTTTACGCGTACAAGGGCGGGACTTTTATTGGTATGACATGGGCAGCGACGCTGCTGGTGCTAGTCACGTCTTTCATGTGGTCCTATGAGTTTATACAGCAAAGGCGAGGAGCGGCATCTTTAGGAAAAGAGGGAGAGTATTTCGAGGAGGGACAGTAGAGGTGGGGGGGCTAATGAATTGGAAATGAATGAGGAACGACAGGCGTTTGTGTGGAGAATGGTGTATGCGAGTAGCTTGCGGCATTGATGCCTGTAGTAAAGAATTTGAGAGCTGTTCCTGTGCAATGTCAATTAGCTTGAATCAATAGCCCAATCATGAATCCGAATCAAGGTCAGTGCTTTGAAGTTGGAAGTGGAGCTCGTGCCGTTTTCTCTTTAAAAACCCCACCTCTCACCTCTCTTTTGAAATTCCCTTTTCACGGAACTCCAAACAAACACCTCAGATCTTCCTATTCTCCCAAGTGAAAGATCAATTCACTTCCTCCTTTACCTCGAGCTCCTTCAACATAACCTAGAAACCATCCCCCTTTCTAGCAACAACAGAGCATTTCCTTCGCCCACAGACTAACCTCTCACCAATCACAAAGACAGAATCGTGCCCCTCAAGATGGGACTCAAAGCTGTTCACTTCGGAGGTGGGAACATTGGCCGTGGCTTCGTTGCCGAGAAGCTATGCCAGTCTGGCTTTGAGGTAGCTTGAGGGCACACCCACCCCCTTCAGGTATTGACACAGCGTGTTCGCTAAGCTCTCATCCTGCAGGTTGTCTTCGTCGATGTCATGGACAAGCTCATTGAGCAGCTCCAGCAGACCAAGAGCTACACTGTCACCGAGATTGGAGGGGAAGGCGAAAAAGTCAACACGATCAGCAATTACCGTGCCATCAACTCTAAGACTCACGAGAAAGATGCCGTGCAGGAAATCTCCAGTGCAGACTTGGTAAGCTACCACGCACGTCGTCAACGATCTGAAATCACAAATTAACGCTGTCTTCAGGTTACCTGCGCCGTCGGCCCCAACATCCTCAAGTTCATTGCTCCTGTCATCGCTAAAGCCATCGATTCTCGTACTGCGTCAACACCAATCGCTGTCATTGCCTGTGAGAATATGATTGGGGCTACCGACAACCTCGCAGGGTTCATCAAGGACCCTAAGAACACCCCAGAAGACCGTCTCTCCTCCATCAGCGAGCGTGCCCGCTTCGCCAACTCTGCTATCGATCGTATTGTGCCAGGTCAAGATCCCGACGCCGGTCTCAACGTTAAGATCGAATCCTTCTACGAATGGGTTGTCGACAAGACACCTTTTGCCCCTCACGGCCCACCAAAGGTCGAAGCCATCAAATGGGTCGACGACCTTGTGCCATACATTGAGCGCAAGCTCTTCACCGTCAACACCGGCCACGCAGCCGCTGCCTACTATGGACATGCTCGTGGGAAGAAGACCATCGCTGACGCACTCGAGGACAAAGAGATTCATGAGATCGTGCGTGAGTGTCTAGCTGAGACATCCCACTTGATCGTCAACAAGCATGGCATCTCTGTCTCGGAGCAGAAAGACTACGTAGAGAAAATCATCAATCGTATCTCAAATCCACATCTCGAGGACGTGGTGGAGCGTGTGGGCCGTGCTCCTCTGAGAAAGCTTGGCCGTCAAGAGCGATTTGTGGGACCAGCACATCACTTGGCTGAACAAGGTGACAAATACACCGCGCTGTTGGGAGCAATGGAGCAAGCCTTCAACTTTGTGGACGTTGAGGGCGATGACGAGAGCAAGGAATTGAGCAAGATACTGAAGAGCATGGATGCACCGAGCGTGGTTAGCAAAGTCTGTGGTCTAGAGAAAAGTGACCAGATGTTTGGCCAGGTTCAGGCCATTGTGGAGAGGGTGCAGAAGAAGTAAATGCACTTGAATTGAGGCCTATGGACTGCCTTGAGGCCTCGAAGATCACGAAGTCATGAGTGAAGAGCACTCCTTCTAGAAAAGTGCAGGTATCTCATGAGAAAACATTTTCTTCTGCAGTTGACAGTCTCCCTCTTGCGTGATGATCCCTCAAAAATGGTCCAGTATTGAATGATGCCCTCTGATAGGGTGCTCAGTAACTCGACATCATACCAGTCGTATGACTGCCTCCTGTTGGTCCCATGCGGCCATCATTGTTGCCCATGAGACTGGATTACAACTGCCACAACGACACTCCAGAATGCTGTGCTCAAGAAGGGACTCTCAAATGAGAGGGACTCCCAAGTCGGAGGCTTGGCACAAGTGCAAGCACGGCTGTCAAGTAAAACCATGCCAGCTTGTTCAAAGCAATGTTCCTGGTGACACGAACAACTGGAATTGGCACTATTACCCTTCGCACTGACACTTTCATAGGGCAATCTACCAATTTCAGAAGCCGGAATCGAGGATATTTCACATCTAGAATTTGCAATGAAGACGGTGAGTTCCCAATTACCAGAAAAGGTCGAAAGCTCTTTCCCCCACACTCAGATTTCCTTTTGGGCAACATGACTTCAAATTCTTGTACAACCTCACCTTGAACGCGAACAAAACTTACCCCTCACAGACTTACTTCCCTCCATTTTCTGCATTCTACCCTCTTCCTGACTCGATATTCCGCATAAGCCGGGTGAGCAGCCTGGCATTACCCAATCGCGGCACAAGCATCCGCATATCAGAGAATCAATGTTACATTTGCTTACCTTCGCAATATCGCGCCGCCGCTCACCGTTCCTCATTGATACCTTCAAGGCACAAGAAAAGACGACAACATTGGCAGTTCAACTGGCGGGTGCAATCCCTATAATTCTGTACTCATTTCTGGCTGATACTCTCGCCTACAGCATTATCCAGACTCGACCACTCCTCCTGATCCATATCTGGGGCTCACATACAGCGACAAACCGCCTGTCGTCTGACCTTTCCGGTCTCTTTGAAACTCCAACTCTCAATAAAACCAACCTCTAATTCACCCCAATCGGCATGTCTAAATGGGAACAACCCCATCAACGGCTCCTAGAATGTAGTGAGCCGAGCGCCATAGGACGTGATCTTGGGTTCATCAATCGGAAGTACTTTGAACCGGCTACATGGGAGCCGCTGCTCCGCACTGCCATGGGTCGGGGACAGTACGGAAAATTTGTGGCTTCGATGATTGAGCGAATCCGAGTGAAGGAGAGCAGCTATGACGAGATCCGAAACTTCGTTCATCTCGTGGCGACGGAGCAGAACTGGGACTTCCTGAAGGTGGCCATGCCTTATCTCCCGGAATTGAAAGAGCAGTAGTGAGTTGCGTCTGTTCCAGTGGAATCGATTTAGGGAAAATTACTTACATTTCGCAGCCCTCATGACACTAAGAGCTTCGAAATAGCACTTCTTTTCCTTTTGAAGCCTAAAATACGCCGTAGGAGCATCAAGGAGATCCAGACTGCTATCCCTGCACCCAAGACATACGAGAACGGCTTGAGCAAGACAGAAGAGCAGTTGCTGAGGCGAAATTTGTTTGGGCCAAATCGAGGAGCGGTGGACTCTCCAAGCATGAACCGTCTTTTCAAGTCGATATTGGAGCTGGGATATCCTCAATTGGGTGAGCCACTCTCAATGATCAGGGTACCTTTATCTACGGAGTGCTTACTTCTATTCTAGCTCTAGATCGATCCATGCGCGAAGCCAAAGAACGAGGCACCGACATTGAACGCTGCTGCGAAGGCCTGCCAAGAAATATGCTGATGCCAGGCGCTGGTACTCGATTGCCATTCCACAACCATCGGGCTGGCCTACCTGAGGTCTGGACTCCAAGCTCTAGTGCTGAGCTGTCAAAATTACCACCATCGTCCGTATTTGAAGGCAACGAACCAATTGACAACCCTCGGGATGAGCTCCTGACCGAATTGGAGGTCGATGGAGTAGACCCACCAGTACCAACTACCCGCAACAAACCCTGGACGTCTCACGGAGAGCTTCCCAAGCTCAACAACGTTGAAGATATCGAAGCCTTCCCAGCCCGCCGCGCACAGTCTCTTGGCCGTCCCCAAGTCCCATGCGACGAGCCTCCTCGCATTCAACATGGGCCAGCAGAGCGCGAAGCATTCAAAATTTACTACAAAGGACCTGCTAGAGTGTTCCTGAATTACTTCCACATCCTCGAACGAGTGCCAGACCCGCCAATGCCTGAGCCCGGCACCAATTGGCCGGATTGGCCAAAGTCGCCCTCGACGCTGGGTCATAGTCCCCTCGCTGCTGCGGCGAAGCCAACCCAGACGGACACTGATGCGGTAGCGATACCAAAGCGTGAGCAGACGCCAAAAATGACTGTAGGCTTGGCTGATGTTGCGGACCCTGGGAGTCGAAACCCTTATTTCGGTTGAGCGAAGCTTGGAGTGAGGTTGGAGAAGAAGGGTGTAGTAAGAGTGGAGTGACTAATGGCGAGATGAACGTCACAGGTCGTATACCTACCACCTTAATGTCTAATTAATGCTTACGAATAACGATCCGGGGTGCAAAGCGGCTGCTTAGCACCTGTTCAAAAGTAAGCACATCACTATGACCAACCGCCTAATGTCTAATTCGTGTTTGCAAACGACGGACAGGGGAATGGTTCAGGAAACGGCTGCTTGCCCATGCTGGAGAATGCTTGACGAATGCATCAAGCATTAGCCTAACAAATTGAAGTCATGACCAAGATATACCACACGCTGGCTGAATCCGCGTAGGCTTGGAGCCCGGTGCCTTGGTCAAGCAGTGCTTGCGTCGGAGAAATTTCGTTCGCATCCTGTGTTCGCTCAGAGACACGCTGATCTATCAAAGATCATGCTATATACACCGTGGTCCAACCAAACGAACCCCAGAATCCGCAGTGACTGAGCGATAAATAACCATTCCTTAATCCCATAGCCTCGAACATATCCCACCAATTAGAATGAAACGCAAAACTTGTCAGATAGTTTGTTCCTTCCATCGAGGCATCAAGCTACACCGTAGGTCAGGATTGCTGACACCGTAAACATCATCATCCCCATCTCGGGAATTTCGCCCGTGGTGTTGCATCAAACACATTCCTCCCCGCCCTGCTGAAAAGTGCCACCAACAACATTAAACCCCTCAAAGCCCTCAGCATCCCGCCTCTCAGCAGCATACCGGAGTAAGCAGCTTCTAGCTTACTGCTTCCTAGCCTCGCCCTGCACCTGAGCTTCGACTTTGGCTGGCGGGCTGACAACGACCGCATGGCGACCTGCCGGCATCCGCTTCCGACGGACAGGGCCAATGAGAAGATCGTTGGCCGACTTGTACCATTGCTGCAAGGTGTCCTTGGGCGTCTTCTCCGGCGGCTGGGCTGCGGTGGACATGCCTGGCGATGTCGTCAGATGGGAGACGTTCATCCTTACGCGAGAAGACAGGGAATGGGGCGCACTGGCAGAGATCTTCTGCAATGTGGAGGAACGAGCCCAAGCGTGAGTGTGGGGCGTGGTGGGCCTGGGGGGACGGAGAGGGCTTTGATGTTTCCTCGGGGGGGTTTTCCTTTTGGGTGTCTGTCTGATTTTGAGAGGGCATGGTGCAAAGGCAGATGGACATTTTATACTCGACTCGCGCGGACCCATAGCCTTGTTCGTCGTCCACGGTCACACCGCTCAATCCTACCCCCAGGATGATTAATCAGGCTACGGTCAGGACAAAGCGCAAAAAAAAAAGGTATACAAATCACGAGACATTTGATGATTCTTTCAAAGTGTAAGAGCCGGTCAGCTCCATCATCAAAGGTTGTAGGTGAAAGGATGTGGCTGACAGGAATCAGGAAGAAATGGGGCGTCTGCAATGGCATTAAGGATCTGACAATTGCTGATTGCTGAGGTAATGAATGAGATTGGCAAGTGCCAACTCCATGCGAGTTTTTGCATTTGTTGCGAAGCGGTCTAGAGGTAAGGTAGGTAAAGGTAGGGATAGCTATTAGCTGGATTATCGTAGCTCTCGTGAGATCTGATAAGAGTACTACATGTTCCGCTTCGGCGCCTTTGCCCCCCCCAAAGCTGAAAAGCTTACCTTAGGTAACTCTGACAAAAGTGGATCGATCGGGTGTGATATCGAATTCCTCTTCCTTTGGTCCTCTGTCCGATTACCACTCACCAGACTAGAGTAGAATAAGGTCAAAAAAGTTGCATTGGATGACTGAGAGACTGAGAGACTGAGAGAGAGCCACCAAGCAGAGCAAGCCTTTCAGATAAGCGAGGCAGCGAGCCCTAACCCTAGGCCTTGAGCGGTAAGGTATGCCGAGGCAAAGCAGTCTCCGCAGTGTGGTGTGGCAGCTAAGAGCTTGAGCTCCATGTTCAAACGACGTGCTCCGACTCATCAACTGTCCGCTCTTCCCAGTCTCTACCCCGCCCGAGAAATCGATCAATGTAGACACCATGCACACTCCAACCTTCCAAACCCAACCCCCTTCCACAGCCTTCACCCGCCTCTCCTACCCCGCGCCGAACGTTTTACTCGTAACACTCTCCCGCCCACGGCAACTCAATTGCATCAATGGGGCCGGACAGCAAGAACTGCATCAAGTTTGGGTTTGGATGGATGCAGAGCCGTCGCTGCGTATTGGTATAATTACAGGCGAAGGGAGAGCCTTCTGCGCGGGCGCCGATCTTAAAGAATGGGACCAAATAGCATCATCTTCTGGCCCCAGACCCAATCGCAGACTCAACACTTCAGGCTTCGGCGGTCTCTCTCGCCGTCGCGGTAAAAAGCCCATCGTTGCAGCTGTCAATGGTATCGCGCATGGCGGTGGCTGCGAGATGATAGCAAATTGCGACATCGTACTCGCTTCCCCAAGCGCGGTTTTTGCACTGCCAGAGGTCAAACGCGGCGTCGTTGCGATAGCGGGTGCACTACCCAGGCTAGCGAGAGCAATTGGCAGGATGCGGGCTATGGAGATGGCCTTGACCGGGAGGAACGTCGGCGCCGAGGAAGCGAAGGCATGGGGACTTTGTAATGCGATTTGTCAGAAGGATGGAGACGGATTGGCGGTGGAGGGAGGAGTGGTGCAATTGGCTGTCCAGTGGGCGGATGAAATCGGAAAGTATAGTCCTGACAGCGTGATTGTAAGCAAGGAAGGGGTAGAGTTGGGATGGGAAGGTATAGGGGTAGAAGAGGGCAGCCAGAGGTTGATCGATGGGTTGTGGAAGAGAATCGAAGGGGGAGAAAACATGACGGAAGGTATTAGAGCGTTTGTGGAGAAAAGGAACGCGAGGTGGGTCGATAGCAAGCTTTGAGGTCTGTGTATGATGTAACCAACGGTTCCTCAGATAGCCTTAGTCTGAGCCGGTATCCAAGCTCCACTAAAAAATTCAGTCGGCGTTCTCGCTTGCAAGTTCCCGTCAGGCCAGCGTTGTGAGTGGGCGATGTTCGCGCGGCTTAAAGAGATGGCACTCCAGCTTTCGTGCTTGTCAGTTGGGAGACAGAATCTAACTTCTGAGTAGAAAGGCCGTGCGTTGCGGCCGCCCTTAATGGTAAAGTAGAGCGAGTGCAAGCGTGTGGGGGCTAGTGAAATCCAAATGCTTCGTCTCCTTTGAGTGAGTCATATTCCGGTATGATCTATCGGATCCGAAAGAGAGACATGTTGCAATGAGCTATGTAGCGTACCGAGAAGAAGTCTTGCTGATGTCCAATGGTCTGTGCTCCGAGGACGCTCAGCAGTAGTCTGTCCAGATGTCCGCAGCGTAGGCTTTCGTCAACCTCTCATCCTTGCCGTACTTTTCCTGCCATCCGACAAACCCCTTGTCCAGCACATAAATTTCCTGTTCTTTCGACTCAGGTGAAGGGGCTTCCAGGATAGACCCGTTCTTGACCCCACTATCTGATGAATCAAGCACCTTCTCCATCTCTTTCTTGACTTCCTGCTCTTTCGACGCTGGAGAGGAAACCTTTTGTATAGAACCATTCTTAACCCCAATACCTGGTGGACCAGTCTCTTTCTTCATCTTTCCTTTCTTCGTCTTGCTCTCCCTTTCTCTCATGTACCTCAAGGCTGCAGCCGGGCCTCGCTGCTGACTTAACGCGCAGTGGAACACTACAATCTCCTTCCCAGCCATGGTCCGTACGATTTCGGGTATTCGGTGGTCCAAAGATAAAGATGGAACATGCGTAGATGAGTTTATGTGGCCGCCCACATGGTCGTCATCGCGCACGTCTATAACAGCAACCTTAGATGCATCAGGAGAGAGCAGAAGAGACGATAGTTGTTCGCGCGACATCCGCCTAAGCGTTGCCACAGTTTCCATTGATATGTTTCTGACCTGTGTAGTGGTAACAAGCTTCTGAGCTCTGCAACTGATATCGGTGGTGTCGGTGACGAGAAGAAAACGCCGTTGATATTCGGATTTTTTTTTCCAGATATATTAAAAACCGGCTTGAGTAACGTCAACAGATCTACGGAGGGCTTGGCATGCCAAGACCGTGTAAAATTTCCCTTTCGCCAGACCTGCCCCACGAAATTTCTGTCCAACGACTCTTGATCAAAAGTGCGCCTCGTGAAGAAGGCAGAGTCGTAGACACCATATCTACACCTGCTCACCAACCATGAAGACGACTTGGAAGGAGATACCTCCTGTGCCTACAAGCCAGGAATTTTTAGATGTGGTCTTAAGCCGCACACAAAGACGCTTACCCACTCAGATCCGCAGTGGTTTTCAAATCTCAAGGATAAGAAATTTCTATACACGCAAGGTCAAATATACTCAAGAGACTTTCACCGAAAAGTTGTCTCTGATTCTCGGTTCGTCGAGTGCTTTTGAACCTCGATTGTGGTATTGATACTAATACAAAGCAGAGGGTTTTCCCCGTCTTCAAGACATACATCCTTTCCACAAGGATTTGTTGAATACGCTCTACGATGCCGACCATTTCCGAATAGCCCTTGGCCAGCTCTCGACCGCTAAACACCTCATCGAAACCGTCTCTCGAGACTATGTCCGTCTCCTCAAATACGCACAGTCGCTCTTCCAATGCAAGCAACTCAAACGCGCAGCCCTTGGCCGCATGGCCACGATATGCCGGAGGCTGAAAGACCCTCTCGTGTACCTCGAGCAAGTGCGCCAACACTTGTCACGTTTACCAGCCATCGACCCCAATACGCGCACCCTGTTGATCTGTGGGTACCCTAACGTCGGCAAGTCTAGCTTTCTTCGCAGCGTTACAAGAGCGGTATGTACATTTTGGAGCGCTTACTTCCCGTACCTAATACCTTTTTTGAGTTGCAACACAAGTTCTGGGAGCATAAGGCTCCTAATACCCCTTCGAGCTCTCTCAGTGCTTGGGCTGCCGCATTGAAGAGGGAATGCTGACTCCGAAATTGTTGTAGGATGTGGATGTACAACCCTATGCTTTCACGACAAAGTCGCTCTTTGTAGGCCACTTCGACTACAAATATCTTCGCTTCCAGGCAATTGACACTCCCGGTATTCTTGATCACCCGCTAGAGGAAATGAACACCATAGAGATGCAGTCCATTACCGCAATCGCCCATCTACGCTCCGCTATACTATACTTCATGGACTTGTCTGAGCAATGCGGTTATTCTGTGAATGCACAAATCCAGCTGTTCCACAGCATAAAACCCTTGTTCGCTAACAAGCTCGTCTTCGTGGTAATCAACAAGATCGATATCATGAAACCAGAGGATCTCGACGTTGAGACAAAAGCCATGCTGGATTCCATGTTGAAATCTGGGGAGGTAGAGCTATTGCAATTATCATGCACGACAACGGAAGGAGTGACAGAAGTGAAGAACGCTGCATGCGAACGGCTCATCGCAGACCGTGTAGCGCAGAAGCTCAAAGCTGGAACGAACAGCAGCGGCTCAATCGGCGGAAGGTTAGGCGATGTGCTCACCCGTATCCACGTCGCTCAACCTCTCGGTGGAATCCTGCGAGAACCATACATCCCAGATGCGGTGAAAAAGCTCCGCAAATTCTCCAAAGACGATCCAGGCCGCAGACGTCTCGCCCGCGACATCGAAGAAGAAAACGGTGGCGCAGGCGTCTATAATATCAACCTCAAAGATCAGTACAAGCTCGATGATGAAGACTGGAGATATGACTGCGTCCCCGAAGTCTTCGACGGCAAGAACGTTTCTGACTTCATAGATCCCGATATCGAAACCAAGCTTGCTGCTCTTGAGGAGGAAGAGGAGAAGCTGGAAGCAAAGGGCTACTACGATTCCGACGACGATGTCGAAGACGCCGACGAAGCTGATATTCGCATGAAGGCGGATCTGATACGTGAGAAACAGGAGGAAATCAGGAACGAAGCCCGCATGAGGAAATCCCTCAAGAACCGCGCTCTAATCCCTCGCCGCTCACAACCCAAGAAGCTTTCAGTGATGGAAGACTCCCTCGACAAACTCGGCTTTGACACCACCACCATCTCCGCACGCGCTCGCTCGCAATCGCGCGGGCGGAGCGCACTGAGGAGCCGGACAGGCACTGAGGACGCCATGGACGTGGACACGCCAATGAGCAACGTAGATGCACTGAGGGCGAAGAGCAGAGCCAGGAGCCAGAGCAACAGGAGGGACGACGGTGTGACGAGTGAGGCGGCGAGGAGTAAGGCGGAGCGGCTGAATAAGCTGGGTCAGAAGAAAATGAACAGGATGGCGAGGCAGGGAGAGGCGGATAGGCATACTACGGCTGCGATGCCGAAGCATTTGGTGAGTCTTCTTGTCGATATCTCTGATTGGTATGTTAGGGTGCTAATGCTGGAACAGTTCTCTGGGAAGCGTGGTATGGGCAAGACGCAACGGAGGTAGTGAATCGCTGCTCCAAAGTTCCGTGCTGTTAGGAGGACGTATTGCGGTTCGGCGCTTTATGCACTTACGATAGATCGGTTTCAGAAGCAGCTTGATGAACAAGGTTTGGTGGAGTGAAGGCATGCTACTCAACATCCACGACTCAAAAGGCAGTTGTGCACAGCAAAAGCGACTGAGCCTGCGCTATGTAGCTTCCAAGCTATGAGCCATTTTGGATTGGAAGACATCAAGCTATCTCGTCTTATAAACGCAAGGCTTGAGCACCTTACTTTCATCCACCTCCTCAACATCATCATCCACAAATTTCGTCTTCGCATACATGTTGCTTCGTCCCGTGTTCTCATTCCTACCCTCTGCAACTCTCCCTCCGTTGCCTTTCTCCGTTCTCGCACCGAGACTCTTCGCAAATCTCATCGTCACAAACATCTTGTTCGCCATATCCGGCTTCCCATTCAAAATCAGCCCCCTCTTCCTAAATACCTCAACAAAAGCACTAACGTCCGTCTCATCTTTCCCGCCCTTGCTCTTCGCATCCTCCATGTCTTCCAATGCCACTGCCTTATCGTCCTCGTCCTCGTCACCAACTGCGCCCTTACCCTTCTCAGTACTCTTCTTTCTCCCAATTCCCCCCCCTGCTTTCTTCTTCACCCCGGGCCTCGCAAACCGGCTCTTGATCTCCGCAACCCACACCTCCCCACCTCCCCTGACAATCCTCGCACATTCGCCCACTACATCCACCCAGTTGGTGCCCATGAGACTTAGACAGCAGATGGCTATATCCACGGTGCCACCTTTGACGCCAGCGGCAGAGAGATTACTGATATCCGCCACGGTGACGAGGTGGGCATTGGGTGTATCGCCTTTGGCTAGATCAAAAGAAAGGAACTTCAGGCTGAGAGACTTTGTAGAAGGGGAGAGAGAGCCAGCGAGTGTTGCGTCTCCGCAGCCAAGATCAACGATTGTGCAAATACCATTTCGAGAACGAGGAAGGGGATCCATTTTCTCTCCTCCTTGGCCAGTAGTCGCACCAGCTGTAGCGTCTGCATCACTGCCTTTCGGCTTCTTCCCCTTCTTCTGCTCCCGCCAAAGCTTCTTCTGACTGGGTACCGAGACCCTGCTCCTGGCTCTAACATCTTCGATGAAACCTTGGACTGGATTCTGCGGCCACACGGCGACTTGTGCGCGAAAACCCGCGTGGTAGGAGGTGTAATTTTGAGGCGAGTCGGCGAAGAGACGCATGGCTTGGTCTGAAGGACTGGTATACAGGGTCTGGTTGAGATGTCGAAAGCGAGCAGAGGTGAGTTTGGCGGCCATTCGTTGTTGTAAGGGGGTTAAGCTTGTGGATGGTAGAGAAGGGGCTGGGGTAGGGGTAGTGTCCGGAGCTCCTGAGGCTTTGGGGGGCTCTGGTGCCTTTGGAAGCTTTGTAGATTTGGTCACTGTAGGATCTTGCAGTGTATCAGAAGCTTTCAAGGATCCAAAGGGTTTCGCAGTCTGACTGGGTTTTGCAGGAGCGATCTCGGCAGGATGACTGGGTACAGCTTCGGGGCGAACAGGTGGTAGTGTGCCATTGGCTTGGAGGAGGGCTCTCTGTTCGCGCTTCTTCGAGGCTTCGGCTTTACGTTGCTCGTACTTTGATTTGCCGTCCTCGGCCTCACCTTGCTCTTTCAGGAGAGTTGGTGACGAGTCCGCAGCATCGTCATGACCGTTGGCCTGGGGGGCAATGCCTTTATCATCCTTTCTTTTTCTCTTTCTCTTCTTCGGGGAAGCCTCCTCTTCTACTGTTCTTGCGAACTTGGACTCCTCAGAGAAGCCCTCAAAGCTGCCTGGATCGACATCCTCAATTTCTCCCAAAGAACCATCTTTTCCCTCCGTGTTCTGCTTGCTTTGCTTTGCTTCCTTTCCTTCTTTCTTTGGTCTAGGTTGATCCAAGTTTTTCTCCTCTATATACTTTCTCCAAAGGTCCCCAAGATTCTCCTCCGTGACCTCAAGCGCATTCTTTGAGCCAGTCCCCCGCTTGCGCTTCCTCGATTTCTTCTTGTCCGTGCCGATTGGGTGGTGATGTTTGTGCTCCGTCGCAGCCTGTGAGGATCTTGGCTCTGTCTGAACTTTCAGCGCGTCCGCAGAGATGGACCAGCCGGGAACTGCGAACATGATGGTCGAACGGAAAGAATAATAAATCGAAAGTTTTTGACGAATTGATTATTGCGGGGTTAAGAGATCCTAACTCCGTCTATCAAATTCTCTAGAAACCTCGGAATAGTACCATAAACCTACTCTACGTGTCTACGTGGGATGGGCCTGAGTACATACGTACAGGTGACAAGTGACAGGTGACATCTAATCTGACTGGAATATCGAATGGTGCTGTGTCTCCAACTGAATGTCTGTCTACCTATCTACCTCTCTACCCATGTCCTCCCAACGGAAGAAATCGCAATCAATAGGTTACGCCAGACTGCCAGTCACGAGATTCGTTGAGAGATCTCGTCGGATATAGCCGGTGATTGTACCATAAGTCGTCATTCGTAATATCGTTGAGATACGGTCATGCTTTTTAAGCCTCCCACGTGGAGAAACATAAGGATGCCTGGGTATGTTGAATGCTTCGTAAAATGCCTCGCTATGCTGTCATATGCTATACTTCAATGTTGAAAAAAATATGGTCAAAACGGACGGAACATCGAGAAGGGATATGTTGAATCTGGTAAGTAGTGAGTATATGTGAAGTCGAAATTTAATTATGCACCTCTATGGGTGCTCCATTGGCGGTGGGACAGTGATCATTCGATTGGTGGCCGTTCACCGAGGGCTTGTCCAGGTCTTCGACCTCGAGGCCTTCGAACAAGGAGAATATGGCATGGGTTTGATGGAAGTCATTATCAACTGCAGTGTTGTTAGCATGAGCGCTGTGTATTTTAAAGGGCTACGAAACACAGCATACCAATGTTGATGAGATACCACGTATCCATAATTTTATCGATAAGCTGTCGGCTTGGGCTCGAAGCAGCGTAACATTTGGCCCAGTCGGCACCAAGGTGGTATGCTTCATCTTTCCATGCTAAGAAGCTAATGGTCTCAACGATTGTGGGTTGCACAATCTCTTTTCCTGGGAAGACACCCCATGTAACGGCGTTTGGACCCTCACTTGGGGCGTTGGTGCTCAGATCTCCACCCTTAGTGACAGCGTAGTATGTCATAGTAGAGCTTCGCTCAATACGAGCAATGAGCTCTGGAATTAGCTGTGGTGAGATGAGGAGTTCGACGTAAGTCTTCTGGTAAACGTAGCCCCCTTTAGGGCCCCATCCATGCACAGGATGGGTGGATTTGACGCCATTGACCGACGGTTGGGAGGTAATAGTGAGCAGTCCTCTCCTATTCAGATTGATAAGCTCAGGTCTGATGGCTTCTGCTTCACTCGTTATTGGAGCCTCGCTCCATGGGAGACTCTGGAGGTTCCCCTCCAAGAACCGTATGAAGATGTTGGCCACATCTCTGACCGACTCAGGCTTGCCCCACAATTTTACATTCTGCTCATTTGTCCCCTTGAGACCAATGTCATATGCATCTAATTCTCCAAAAGCTGGTGATCGAGCGTCGCCCCAACGACCATTGGGAAATTCATCCCAATCCTGGGTTCGAGCGACGTAAGACTTGTTCCTATTTTTCCAGAAGATAGGTCGAACGTCTTCTTCTCTGCGATTGAGGCCCAGGGACTGCCGCCATGGTAGAATCCTCGTGTTTGGCGTTCCATCTTTTGGTACTAAATCCAACTCTTCCAAAACCATTCGCGTAGCTTGGGCGAGATTCATAGTGTAGCTGCAAAATTGTGAGTTAGATTTGACTGGGTATGTGGACTTCACCGCTTACAAGTGCAGCTGCATGATACCAGCATCAATAATCTTGCGGCACATTTCAGCAACCAGCCCCTTCCCAACCTCTCGTACTTGCGCATCATCGTTCTTTATAGGTTCTAGGGCATCGGCCCACTTCTGTGGTATATGGCATTTTGACCAAGCCGCGCGCCTCAGAAATGCCGCATGAGTCTGTATAGGCATGATACCGGGGACAATTGGAACGGAGATACCGCGCGCCCTGACCTTCTCTACCCAGGACAGGAAAATGTCTACATCGTAAAACATCTGTGTCACAATAAACGTTCCTCCAGCGTCGACCTTCTCTTTTAGATGTTCCAGTAGTATCTCTTGATCCTGCTGGTCGTCGCAGCCCTCCGGGTAGCCAGCAACACCTATGTCAAAGTGGTCTCCATATCTGGCCTTGATGTATTCGACCAAATCCCGGGCATATCGGAAGCCACCTTCCACCGCCTGCCACTTCTCATTTTCTCTTGGAGGGTCTCCTCGTAGTGCAAGTATGTTGGAGCATCCAGCGGAATAGGCTGACTTTAAAGCATCATCCACCTTCTGCTTCTCCATGTCGGTGCAGGTCAAGTGCATGCAAGTTTCTAAGCCATAGATGGTCTGTGCAGTATTGACCATTTCACACGTCAGGTCCGACCGACTGCCTCCAGCACCCCAGGTCACATCGATAAAAGCAGGGCCAAGGTCATGCATGCGGTCCATGCGGTCATAGAGATTCTGGACACCCAAGGCTGTTTTAGGAGGAAAGAATTCGAAAGAGAAGACGGGCTTCCTTGACCGTTCGGCCTCCGCGAGCTTGTCTTTGATATGCATATTAGATCGTCTGTATGAAGGCAGAGATATGTCAGCTGCTGTAGGACGCCTGTAGCCCAGAAGTAACAATAAAGAAGAGAATCTCGGGAATAGGAAGAAGAACAGGGATTGATCTAAGGAAACAACAAGTCTGTTGTACTTACCAGCAATGCTCTGTCAAATGCACAGAGTGTCTTGTCCCAGGCTACTATCCAAGCTATCCGTTCCGAGCCCACCGGGCTACTTGCTGCCACGACATGCACCACGGTATTTGTTCTTTGGTTTGTGACAAAGGTCGAGGAGTTGAGAAGTCCGAACAGTCAGCTTTCAACGGCTGCGTCTATATTATGTCAGTATTGGACTGACGGTTGGCACGTTCTAGTCTTTTCGACCTTATTGAACACCGATCGGACCTCTGCAGGATTTGTCCGGGGTCTGCAAAGTCTTACTACACCGATGGAGGCAAGAGTCGATGCTTTGCAGGACGAAGGCTTGCAGGGTGGCTTGCTTTGCGGCATGAATAGGCGAGGTTTCTCCGCGCAGACTTGTGACCACCGGAGCCACCCTGTGAGGTGGCGTGCGTGGTTCGCTCGGCCAAATATGAGACCAACCTATACGTGATGCTGGCGCCGAACCCTCTACTAGTCAGGGGAATTGATAGATCTCTTGGGTTTGATCTTAGTGAATATGGTGTACGAGTTGGCCTCGTTAATTCTAGCTACTAACGAAAGGCATTCCACCCTCCGAGTGTTTATACAGTCGTGCACACCTAAGTCCTCGCACTTCCTAGAGCAGGAAGTTACTACGTTCATATGTATCACGAATTCTCGAAAAAGTTATCGCGATAGACCTACAAGTGTTAGCATACATACGAGGTGCATCACGACTAGGTCGCAACCCGTACGATTCAGTCATATCTAAAGTGTGACGGATATACAGATAAAGTATCTTCTAAGCATGAGTATACGCTGTAGCAGAAGGTCGAGGCTCGATAAGTTAGTGGAATGGGTCTATCCCTCTCTTCCAATGCTGCATTTGTGACATATGCCCAACCAGAATAACCATAGAGTCTGAGACCGAGAGGTATTGGTGCAAGTAGGTATGCATGCACTGATGGGGAGCGCTACGTGAGGGTTCGTTCCCGCTTCCAGCCCTGCCGGCTTGCTGTTCCGCCCCTGGGGCCTCCGGACTTGGATGGATTTGAGGCGTCAAGGAGACTGATAGTTTCCTTCATGATCACCAAAATTGCTATAGGTAAAGGGACAATCTCTGACAGGGTTACTTATATATTCGAGGTCCATACCCACCTGACTATATTCTCTATGCAGTCCAGTCTCCCAGCCCTAATAGCCTGTCTCCAACACACCTCAACGAGCTCCCACCTTATAGGGAAGTGACCTTTCCATGGAAAGAACAACTCATCCAAGTTCCAATGGCATCCTCTGTATCCTCCACTGATCCTCAGGCCCACCGACAAGCCCAAGAAGAAGACCCCGACTCCCTCGTCCCCTCCACCCCGCCTCCCCTTCTTCCCACCTATAAGTCCGCCTTCCTCCAATCCTGTCTCTCCGCCTCCGTGCTCACGTTCGGGACCTACAAGCTCAAGTCTGGCCGACTATCCCCCTATTTCTTCAATGCGGGACTCTTCCACACTGGGGGGCTCGTCCACTCCATCAGTACCGCCTACGCACATGCATTACTGACGCACGTCACTCAAAACCCAACTTTCAAATTCGATATCTTGTTCGGGTAAGGCACTTCTCGTAAATATCTTTTCCCGTTCGAGTATCTTGAGTCGCGAGACATGTTGGAGGAACAAGTTACCCAATTTACCCCCTTTGCTACCCTCAACCATGTCTTACTACTCAAATTTCTATCAAAAACTGGGAATGCTGATTGCGAAATGTGCTAGACCAGCGTACAAGGGCATACCGTTGGCAACTGCCACGGTGGACAAGTTGGCTCAACTCGATAAGGGAAGGTTTGGGCATGTGAGCTATTCATTCAACAGAAAAGAGTTGAAGGACCACGGAGAAGGGGGCGTGATCGTGGGAGCTCCTTTACGGAACAAGGACGTTGTGATTATTGATGATGTTATTACTGCGGGGACTGCGATGAGGGAGGCAATTGAGATTATCAGGGCACAAGGGGGGACGCTTGTTGGCGTCATTGTGGCACTCGATCGGAAGGAGAGGATGAGCGATGATAGTAGTGGGAGCGCTATTGGAGAGGTCAGGAGAAAGTTTGACGTGCCGGTCTTGAGTATCATTGATCTAGATGATCTGATCGGAGTGCTAGGGGGTTTAGGGGATGAAGAGGATATGGAGAGATTGAGAGATTACAAAGGGAGGTACGGGGCCAGTGACTGATGAACTTGACATGGAATACAAGGGCGCTATGGCCTTGCTTGCTTTGCTGCGAAGCTGACACTACTTGGCAGTGCTATGGAACTTGTGGGGGGCTTTTCGAGCAGACCTTGCTATAGCTTGTGCTCCTTGCTTATGAAGCAGATCCATGATGTTGAGAAAGGCTTTAGTGGTATGATGCTTTGTGGTCGCCGGGGCTCTTCCTTGTTTGCTCTTTTGATACCCCACGTAGGCTCAGATCAGAGCTCAAAAGCAGTTCATTGTGAATCGCATCGCCGTCTCTACATGCTATTACGCTGTACGCTCTTTGATGGTGGAAGACGCTCGCTCATGGTCTGGTATCGTAGGCTCTGTGTCGTCACAATAAAAGCCCAGCAGCCATTTCCACATCGCCTCCTGCCATTTCCAACGCATGGATTGCCTCCTGCTTGGTAAAGCCCATGTTCGTCAGCTGTTCAATATCTTCCTTTGGGAACGATGCCGGGCCAGTCGTTGACTGAGACTGTTGCGTGCTACCAGGTCCTGATGGTGAGCTGGCTGAAGCTGATGGCCCGATCGCAGTCACTTGGCTGGCACCAGCGCTTGAAGCACCTTGAGTAACGGTACCCGAAATAGCACCAGTCCTCGTGCCTGCCGGGCCCTCGATCGTAGGCTCATTTTTGTAGACATCCTCATACCTGGGGATGTCAGCTTCACCAAGGAATTCAACTTCGTCGCCCTGGATTATCAGCTTTCCCTTCTGGAGATCTATGCAGGCTTGATGCTTCTTCAGCATGTCCAATCCAAGCAGTAGGTCAACGTCTTTACCTTCCATGACGGTGAAGCTGCATGGCAGAAACGAAGTTCCAATCTTTATGATCGCACTGTGCACACGGCCAAGAATTTTGGCAGTGCCGACACCTCTAGCAATCCCAGCGTAGCGTTTGTCGAGGAGGCGATAGATGCCGCACTTTTCTGCGCAGGAAGGGGACATGATCGTTGTCTGAGCTCCGGAGTCGACAAAAGCCTTAACCTTATGCTGATTGACTTCGACTGGTATGTATAGCATGTGTACCCGAGCGAAGACTAGAAAGTCGTTGCGTGAGTATGGTGTACTGCCTTAAGAAAGATACATCAGCAGAAGGATAAGTACCTTCCGGATTGTGTTCCATCGCGTTATGCAGGTTCTCTATCACCCCTTCTTGCCGTATCATTTCTTCGATCTCGCGTTGGGCGTCAACATTGAACGGATCAGCGGAAAGCAAGTCATTTCTCCGTTGAATTTCGGCGTCCATCTCGACTTTTTGTCTTAGCTTCTCCTCAAATATTTGCTGGAAGCGAGCCGGATCTTGTACGGCATTTGCAAGATCAGGATCTGATGCTCGGATCGTCGCGAGGATATTTGGGTTTCCCATAGCTTGTAGACGTATCATCTCAGGGTCTGCCTGTGCACTTTGACGTGAACCAGCCTGAACCGGGCCTCGTCGCTGTGTCCGCACCGGTCGACTCGAGCCAACAGATGGCGCCTGTGGGTTCCGAACTTGCACACCGAGCATGGAATCATTGGTCATTTCGCATTGCTGCAGAGTTCTGGAATCATCGACAAGCTCTTGATTTCCATAGTAGATTCTTTGAGCCGCTGCCGAAATATTCGTCTCACTCTCAATGTAGCCTTTAAGATCGGCGATAGTCATATGCGGACCGACATCGGCCGTCAGGAAGTCTTGCTCGAGGGTAACTTGAGGGGCATCAATGGTGTTGATGGAAATAGTGATCTGCCTACATGTTCTAGTCAGCATTGAGCATTCAAAGGCGGCGGTGGCCACTTACATGGTGAGACTGTGGGGGACGAGGGTAAGAAACCCCCCGATGGTTTTTTTTTCTTTGTTACTCTCAGGACGAAAGTGGTTAGACGTGGAGGCCTGAGCTGGGCAGCACGTCGCTAGAAATGATAGAGTGGTGAAGCTTGGATTATAAGCAGTGAAGAGTCCAGGAGTCTCGGGGGTTTCAAACAGTTTCGGTCATACTGTGGAGGCGATTGGAAGGGATTCGAACATCAGTGCAGTGAAGGAATTTGACAGGACATTAGTAATCGTACACCCCAAAGGTGAGCGGCAATTTATGATCTTGAAAGGGAAGTTGTCGAAGTGTTGCGTGATAAGTGGTGTATGTATGTTGATTGTTTTGGACGGGGAGGTACAGGGTGGTTGAGGGTAGCGGCATATGTGAGGAATCTGAAGAAGGCTTGCTGCATTTGCGGGGACAGCCGTTTGGCGATGCGTACCTAATCAATCCATCAGAGTCCAGAATCATAATCCTTGCATGGCGTGGAAGCGAATTGCGGATGGCGGATTGTCAGATAGGGGGGATTTGTGGGGGGGGGGGAGAAGGGGGCACTGTATTTTTACTTGGAGCTGACAGTGCTGTTGGGGTGATGATATAGTGCTATATAGTGCTATAGGGCTACCTTATAATGCTGCTGTATATAAAGTACTCTGTACAGACTAGAGATTGCACTCAGCCAAAAAGAAAAAGTCCGAGCTGGATACTGAATGACGACACGATTGAAGTACTGCAAAGTCAAAAGTTCAAGTGAACCCAAAGTGTTAAGGTGCATCCTGCAGAAGAACTAAAGTAAAGTGCCTGAGTTGCGAAAAGTACCTTTACCTAAGGTAGTCTAGACCCAGATCGTCGGCTGTCCCGTCTCACCCTGATCCCACCTGCGAGCGCTTCGTGTCAAAGAGTCAGGGGGAGAAAAAAAACAGAGAAAAAAAAAGAAAGAAAAAAAAGAAGAAGAAAAAAAAATGAGGTTTCTCATACTGAATTCCAATCTTCCCACATGATGCCTCAAGACCTCTTCTCCGATTCCCTCGTCGCGAGCCCCGAGTCGCAAACACCAAGACTCGATGTCTCTGAAGGTTCCACGGCAACGGGAAATGATGGGTATAATGAGTTCACAATCCACAGACAAGAGGGGAAACGCTCGAGCGCCCAACAGCTGCGGACAAACAGAGCCAAAGTCAACGAGAGAAATGATCTGCATCCATATGTTCAGACACTGTCCCTATCAAATCTAGAGAGTTGCGTAGCATTAGAGAATGCCGTATTTTCAGAGCTGGAGAGATGCGCAAGAGAAAAGGTAGGACCTCCGGACTCGGATTTGATTGTGGATCCATTTCTATCAACACACTCCATCTATCCTCTATCCTCTTCTCCTCCATATCATTGGCCTTTCCGACCTTGCAAGTGGTCTGTTTGCTTCCAATGCAAATGCTTCCTGTCGCACCACCTGGACCTTCCACATTGTCTACATCGCCCTGAGAGTTATCAATCCTTCATATGTACCAAATCTTTCCCGCGCAACGGCAGGAAACCTACTACTTCCTTGTCAAACGCACCTCTCAGCCCTCCAATGAAAACCTCGACCCTTACTCACGCTCCTCATAGTTCATTTACCGCCTAACGACCTGCCCCGAACTCTGCTTGGGCCTCTTCTCCTCCACTCCTCCAAACTCTCCGAACGCTTCCATACCCACGTTCCCCACTGCACGGCCCGCGGATTCCGCCTCTCCGGATCTGAAATCGGTGCTCATCGCCAGTACGTCTAAATTTCGGAGCAATTCCTTCCTGATCTGTGCCTCGGTTTGAATTCTGAGACAGGTGTCGAGAGTATCGTACTCATTGACGCTGTTTTGTGTGTTCATTTCCACATCTCAATGAAGCAGCACTGACTCCGAAAACTTGAAGTGGTCATATCAACAAAAACCATGAGCCCTACCGTGACAGACGAGAGCATGGATGTAGCCCCCAATTGGAAGATTAACCCCTCAAATACTAGCATCCACGGCCATCGTGAAGATGGCCGAACGATAGCCATCCATTCGCTTAGCGTTTTGCCAGCTTTTCAAGGGAGGGGTCTAGGAAAGACGATCATGAAAGCCTACCAGCAGCGGATGGAGACGAGTGGGATCGCCGACCGAATGGCGTTGTTGGCTCATGATCATTTGGAAGAAATGTATGAAGGCATGGGATTTGAAAACAAGGGGAAGAGCGATGTTCGATTCGCAGGTGGAGGTTGGAATAGTCTGGTAAGTGAGATCTCGTTCCTCGCGGGTGTATGGACCTGACTGAGCCGAGACATATGAATTCGCTGAACATGGGCCGGGATCTTGAGGATTGCTACAAATGTTAATAAGTGCTGCTGTTTTGGATATCAACTACTGTGATTAAAGCGTTCCTGGATCTGACTGTACGCGTGATGCTTCGAAGTTAAATCAATGAATCCGATTTCCTCTGTCAGCACGTGACGTGCCACTGCGCTTGCTCTTCGATCATCCGCCAGAAGAGCCTAAGGCCTTCCCAAGATCCTCGATTTTAGTAGGCCCTAGACCGGAAGGCAGCACTTTCGTAGGTCCACACACAGTATCTTTGACGTCCGAATTCTTATTTTTCTGCAGCTTTTCAGGTAACATCTCAAGCTTATCAATGTTTTTAGGATGGTAAGGAGGTGTTTCAAGGTTCAAGATCGAACATTCGAGGCTCTTGAGGCAACGTTCGTACCCTCAGTCATCACGCATTTGGTCCGACCACCTTTTGCAACAGGCCGTATAGCCGTACTGGCCATCCGCAGACGAGAGTGGTGGCGGGAAAACAACGGAGCTGGTACGGGAACAACGCTGCTGTATTTATTTTGGCGTTGACGACTTTCGCAGACTCTAACCCCTGGCATAGACCTCCAGGAACCTCACTTCTATCCAGATGCCACGAGAAGCCACGAGAGCTCTCAGACTCCACCTCCAACCGCTGGAAGTCGAACAGCCGACTGTGGAGCTCAAGGTCCGGTCTCCTATATTTCCGACAGATGAAGGAACACACAGTTGCGAATCTCAATAACCAAGCACACAAGTTCGGCGTCAGCTGTCACCAGATTTCCGATTAGCGCACCATTACGGTCCCTCAAGTGCCCTCCGTAAAAGGGTTTTCGGTACGATGGGATTTGCACATCAGCATGAAGAGATGGACCCATACAGTGTTGCCCATCTGGATGCGGTAACACCAGGAAAAGACCTGGAGTTGTCGGCCATTGAACTATTCGTCGGGTTGCCTGATGAACGACAGTAGAGGAGTGGGATTCACCTGGACGCCGCAGGTCAGAAGGAGCCCCACGGATAGTATCGTGAGCTGTGATGCGTTTTCTGGTGGGCAATTGCCGAAAAACTGTGGGTGAACAATTTGTTACGTCGGGTCTGTGTCACAGGGCCGTTTGAGTGGATGTGGCTTGTAGATGCTACTGCCGGTCCAACATACGAATAGAAGTTGGGAAATGCACCTAACAGATATGTGAAATTGGAGGTATGGGCGCCCTACGGTACTTTCGTTGTAAGAACATCAAGCCAGAAGAAGCCCTCCCGATTGCGAAGATAGGTCGCAAAAGTGAATGTAAGAGAAATACAGATAGAAGTTTTGACAGTAGTCTATGCCGACAATCTCGACACCACCAACTTCTCCGCTGTGCACGACTACTACATCGGAAGCCAATCAAGCTTGTTCTGTCATAAAACCATACAGTAAAACACTCTGCTTAGCCTTAGTGTCAGAGACGTGGCAAGACTATCGTTTCGGCCGTCCGACCTGTTCAACTCCGCCTAGGCTTCCAACATCTCTGATCTTGTCCACATCTCAAGCGGTGGATTGCCATGTCATCCAGTCGACAACGGTCAGAGATCACCTCCGCAATGCTACCTCCAGGCGGGAGCTTGCCGCGATTGTTCCCGTGAGCAAGGAAGCTTTTGCCGCCTCATGGACCCGCCAGCTGAGATCCGCGACATCATGTATGAGATGGCCATACTGTCGAGAGTCACAATCGGAGCCTGGCAAATTCCGATCAACGACTTGAGGAAGCGGGCTCTCGCTATTGATCGGAATAATCTATCGAGTTCGGCTGGAATCGAGGGCGATCATGTCCTACTTCGATCCAACATACGGAGGTACGATGGATGGCTACTAACAATTTGTCACATGGATTACTGGTATAGGGGAAGAGCATGCGTCAATATTGTGATGGTTAGGGATGGAAATTTATATGGAAGCGGAGAAATTAAATGATTGGTACGTATCTCAGGCGATCTTCTGCCAGAGTGTAGTCATGGCAAGGTCTTCTTCCCTGCATACCATGAAAAAGTCTCTTGGGCCGCGATCTTGGGTTTGGGATATTGATTTCCGGCAAAACTTCACACCGATACCGACCGAGAACACCGTCAGTACGGTCGATTGATTTCTAATGGTACTATTCATTCAGAACCAAAGTCCACAGGCCCAGGGGATTGCCCTTGCGTAACAGACAGCGAGCCTGCTGTCTCTGAATTCCTGAGCACACTGATACGTGAGAAGCCCAACTCACATAATGCCAGTGAATCATTCCTCAATCAAGTCCGTCCAAATGCCCTTTGTATATTTCTCACAGTTGACAGCTGAGCCTTTTGAAGCGCGGTTCTGATCCAAACTGCAAGAAGAAAGACATACGATCCGCAGAGCTCGAGTAAAGATAGCACCTTGTAAACCTCAGTGTTTGTCCTCTGGCGGTTTTCTCATAGCCGGGTACGACTTACCATAGAGACGAGCCATCCCACTAAGCCACATCTTGCTCCTTTGTCTCCGCCCTCATTGCCATCGCCAAGAAAAATTCCCCTTCGCCGGCACTCTTCAACGGTTGCCATGATTTCTATTTGGCACCCGTTGAAGGCTGCATACTCCTTCGCCTAGTTCTCTTGGAACGCTTGCGCAAAGTCTTTGTTTTTCCCCTTGTCTTTCTCCCAAATCCGACATGAATCGCCCCGAATTGTCCTTGTTGTGATCCATGATCATAGATGTCTTCATCAGAAGTCTGACATTGTAGAGTTCGGGAGTCTGGGTAGGGTCGAGGTTGCAATGTCGGCAAATCCAGTCATGTGAGCTTCCTGAAATGCTGGGACGCTGGATATTACCGCATGGGGATCGGCAGTCCTTAATGAGGAATTCATAGTCCTGCGTCCTGGATAAGATTTGCTGTGATTGATCACCTGGAAACGGATGCACGTTTCGAGTTGTCCTTGTGGAAGGAGAGGAGTCACTTGGAAGGACCGCTGGCGTTGAATGGAATGTGACAGGTTACGAATTGGTGCGGATGGTGGAAGAAGGTGAGCAAAGTATGTTGTATCATTCAACACCGGGGCCTTGCAGTGTTGATCAAGGCTCCAATGGATGAGAGGCTGGTTTCTGAGCTGGTATCGTACAATACTCCAACCGCCAAGCTCAATTTGCCTCCCTAATTGAAACCCCTTTGGGGGGGGGGGGGTTTGGTCACTTCTGGAACTTCCCGTGATCAGAGCTGAAAAATAGTCCTATTGGTCAGATCTGAAGCGAGACGGGTAGTTAGTTAGTCATAGAGAGAAGTGAAAATGCATTCCAGGTAGTGAAAGCATTGGATTTGCCCATAGACTCTAGTTTTCCTTGCTGCTTTCTAACCGTAGATACAGACTTCAGCGGACTCTACTAACAGTCTGAACCGAGCAATGCAGAAAGAACCGAGCTAAAACGCGAAAGATAGGTCTTTTCTGGGCGGACGCATGCATGGACCTAACTCTGGGACAAATTTTAAGCCAGTTTAAACAGACTTTAGAGAAATATTGCCAAAGCAAGACGAATGTCTTTCGGAACAAGTTACCATAGTTGGCACTGGAGCTAATTGTGCAAAATTCAATCCTTGTGCAGTCCATAGTGTGTGGGACCTACGCTGTCCACGAAAGGATGGCGACAAGAAGATGGGGGATGATGGCCAAGTCAACGCTAAAGCTGGCGGTTTAGAGTATCCCGAAAGGGATGGTTTTCCTGTTCTGTGAAGAGGACTATGGTTGATCTGAGATGTCAGGCAAAATGACGGGTGATCATAAGTGTCTCGACGGGGAGCGCGCACAGCAGTGCCATCGTAGGGTGAAAAAAAGCCTAATAGATCTGGGCATCAGGACCTTCGTGAGGCATGTTCAAAGAAATCGGCAGATCCCCGACGAAGGTTCTCGAGGAAGTAAACAAATCTAGCAGCGGTCGGACGATCGTGTCCTTCGGTGCATAAGAAGCAAGCAGGGAGCGGCGGAAGAGTATCATCGAAGAAACCCATGACAGTTATTTTGAATTGTACGAAGTGTACGTGAGTAAGACCGAGTGCGCCACAACCCGTTCGGAATTGGGGGCGAAATAAAGCTGAGGGTATCGCATCATCGCGCATGAGCTCCATGCAGAATCACTCTCAGCTGAGCCAAGCAGCAAATTCATGGAGGAGATAGGAGATCAAATTGCCATATGGAGTATCGAGTGGGAAGGATTGCGGAGAAAGAAGTAAACCCATAGTCGAACTTCCAAGGAACTGTCCGCAGAATACGACGAGTGGAGCGCATGCTTCACGAGGCTGAGTCTATACTCTGTACCCCAAGGACTGTTGGCTTGGTGCAATTCTGATCAGCGGTCGGATCAGCGGTCGGATGTGGCTTTGGCACCATTCGGCCGTGTTCGGACCGAGCGCGAGCACAAGAAAATGGCATCTTTTGGAGAGGTTGTTAATCAACCATTGCAATGTCGTACCTGCAGCAGGCCCCAATGCAACAGGTCCTGCACGCTTACGTACCAGTGTCCAGTAAGTGCAAATCGGTTTCGCATAGGTAGTTTGTATTTGGTAGTTCCCTATGCCTCGTGATGGCGATAAGGAAGCGTCGATGAGCTAATGAATTGAGGCAAGCACTGCAACGGAACATCTCTTTCTAGGCTTTCAGCTCTCCTGGTGCTGCCTGCGTTTTCGACCAAAGCGAAAGTTGGCAATGCTCACTTGCAGGCAGGCTTCCACTTTGCCACACATCTCCTGCTTTGAGCACGTCGTTCCTAGAGCCTTTTCAGAAGTAACAAGCCGGATAGAGATTTCCCAGACTTGGAAGGATAGGTATGTGTATGGGGGTCCAAGCGCAGTGGTATCCCATTTGGTGGTTTCTCAATGATGAACAATATTTGCTTGACGTACCTATAAATACTTGCTCAAGCCACAGCGGGACGATGTCATGCAGTACGGAGGAATCCACTGCTGAAGAGACATTGGCCTTTATTCTTTAGGTCCACGTAATTCTGGGCTATTCTGGACCATTTTCAGTACTTTAATAACTGCGCCGCTCTCACAGATAAGGTCAGCCTGTGGTACAGGTACCAAGAGGTCTCGTGACGCATATGTTAAGCTGATTGAACGTCCATGGTCAACTGGCCAATACTTGTCGGATGCCGTCAGTAGGATGGTAGGAAATAATTAAGGGCTGAAGGTTTAAGATGGAGCTGAAAAGTGTTCTAGGCAAGGCTCAAAGTGAAGGTCGAGACGAGGATAGGGGGTTAACAGATGTCGAAGCTGAGCATGGGGGACGTTCATGCTGCTTCCCAATCGGTGAAGTTATATGAGGTATGCTGTATAATACCTTGCTTTGACGTTCCGAAGCAGCAGCAGTTTGATGGACGTTGGGATTGGGCTTTGAATCGATCAGTTGAAGGTATTTTTGTTTAAATTTGTTGATAATCATTTGATACTTAAGGTAAGGTATCTTACCTTAGGATTTAAGTACTCTATACCGTAGTGACGCTAAAAACCCGTAGAAGGCTAAGTAAAGTAAGGTATAAAGGTACCCCACCAAAAGGCGGAACGACCCTGGATTATCTGAATTTTGGACGTGATTTTATTAGATCAAAGCCTCGCCTTATGCCTACAGTACCTCGCCTTGCCTTTTGCTGCACTGGTGCCACCACAGAAACAGCACACTTTCTTCAATCGCCCTCTCGTAACCTATCAGGCTGTTCAAAAGCATCATGACTTCTCCCCGCAGTCAGCTTATTCCACAGCTTCTTCCAGCTCCCTCTCCCCTCATCATACCCGCCAATTGCTCATATCCTTATCCGCCCTTGGCCCATCCACACCATACCTTTGCCAAAACTAGACAATCGAGGCAAGCCAGAGCTGCAGCCCCCAATTCCCAACGGCTATCTTCATGACTCTATGGTGTGCCGTCAGCTCGGTTAATCCTATACAAACAAGTCAACGTTGGCAGCTGGCACCTTAAGACATCCCCCCCGGGCTCCCTGACAATTTAACGCACAGCATTCTTTCATGCTTATACTACGCCAATCATCCCTAGGGGTTGGACTGGACGATCCATAATTAAGAGAGAACAAGTTCAGGAGCAGCACACACTGGATACTAGCTTTGCCTGGCAGCCTAAATGCCGGAAGGCACTGGACCTCATCGCACTGGGCCGCCAGCAAACAAGGCTTTGGGGCCTCAAGAGGAGGCCAGTGGGAGCATGGCGGCGTCCGAAATCAACACGAACAGTGCAGCGGCAGAATCATCAAGAATGACGAATCCTGTGAAGGCCCGGAGACGGACCAAGACTGGCTGTCTCAGTAAGTTTTTGCTCGTGTTGTGGACCTCAGAAATTCTCAGATCACTCATATGTCACAGCATGCCGCAAGCGGCGTATCAAGTGCGGCGAGGAGCGCCCAACCTGTAAAAATTGTGTCAAGTCGAAGCGCGAGTGCGAAGGCTATATTCATCGAGTCATTTTCAAGGACCCTCTTGGTGCGTTCCGGCCAACGCAGCAAGGAATTGCTGCTCGCGCTCAACATCCTTCCCACCCTCGTGGAGCTGCAAGTATCTATGGGGGTATATCTTCAGCATCCGTGGACACTCCAATTGCGCCGCGTCTCCTTCCATATGGAGAGCAAACTGGGTTAGGACATGTGCCTGTGGCAGGTGGACCGATAGCAGCAGGAAACTTCCATGGCCCCACTGGCTATACACACAGCGTTCCCTCATATTCGGTAGGCGACAGCGCCTCCAAGCCGCTTTATGCATCACAAACGGGTTATTCACACAGCGGTTTCCCAAGCAGTGCAATGGCGGAAAATGTTGCTCAAAGCCGCGGTGATTCATTCCCATATCAAACCTTTCAGCAACAAAGTTTTGGCGGTGGTGATGGCGGCATTGAAATGGGTCTTACACAAATTCCTCATGGCCGGTCACGTGGCTCAGATTCGATGCGGTCAACCGAGTTTCCAGTTCCTCATGACGAATTTCCTGTCTTGAACCCTCAAGAATTTCATCCCAACCACATGCATCAAAGTATTCACTGGCCAGTAAAGGAAGAAAGTGCATTTAAACAAACCCAAAACCACGCCTCCTTTTCATCTTTCCCGATTCAAGGCCGTTCGAATTGGAATGGGGTTGCGGTTCAAGATGTTTCCCCACACCAAGCCCATTCGCAAAATCAACATTACGGAGTTCCAGCCCAGACACCGTGGGTAGTGGAGCCAGACGAGGATGACTATTTCGACGTAGAGTCAGACGAAGAGGGTCTCATATCGGAACCTTATGTCACAGGGACAACCTCCTACGATCTTGGGGCAATGGTAGCCATAACAGCAGATCAAGGCCAGGGTCGCATTAGATCAATGACCAATTTCTTGAACGAGCCCAATATACTCGCGACATATTTTCCATCTTATGCGGCCTCACCATTGAGGGATCCTCAGACCGCTCGAGTCTTCTGTCATTTTATAACGGCCACTGCACCGACGCTATCCGTCTGCGAACGGCATCCGTCGAACCCTGCCCTGATATTCTCAGGCAAACCTGTCCCTTGGTCGCAAAGAGCGCTCTGGTCTTATACTTTGCCAATGCGAGCACTAACACATCAAGGGCTTCTCCATGCTATGTTGGCTTTGGCGAGTTTGCACATTGCAAAGCTGCAACAGACGTCATCGACGCCGTCGTTGAAACATTACCATTACGCGCTGAGAAGAGTAGCAAAGGCCTTGGGCAACCAGAAGAAACGACAGGACGTTGCTACACTTGCTGCGACGCAGCTGCTTGGCTTTTATGAAGTGACAACGGCTGAGCACAACAAATGGAACAGTCACCTTGCTGGTGCTCGAGAACTCATCATGGACATTGATTATGCAAGAATGGTAAAGCGGATAGAAGCCCACAGACGGCAGCAAGAAGAAGCCGAAGCAAGACTTAGGCTTGAGATGCAATTTGGCCATCCCAATGCATACTGGCACGAATATGCACGAGGAGTATTGGACGATTTTCCTGCGAGGGTTGACCGACAACTGGATGAAGGGCTCATCAGTACAATCATGGGCTGGAGCACGAGGTATGATCAACATGGTCGAATTATCGACGAAGGCGATCCTGCTCCCCAGACCGAATCACCTTTAACGGCCCGTGACATTGAAAACTTCGAGATTCAGTGTGAGCTGTTCTGGTGGTACGTCAAGCACGACATATATCAAAGCATACTTAGTGGCAATCGTCTCCTGTAGGTCTCCAAAAAGATTCAATCATGGAAACTACTGACTGGAGCCCAGACTATCATATGATCAATGGGGCCGTTGCCCTCCCAGAGCGCCAATCGGAAGGCTAGATGCGGTTTGTGGTAGTCTTGATCACCTCCTTCTGTTGATGGGTAGGCTGGCGGAGTTTGCTGCCAAAGACCTGCCTCGAAAGAGGAGAGCGTACATGGAGGCAGCAAAGAAGTCAAAGTCGTCAACCCTACAAGGCCCACCACCCACACCAAACGGACAGCAACCTCCCCAAATGTATGGCATGATGCCTGATCCTGGCCCTGTACGCCTACCCCGAGGTTTCGACCAAGCTCAACACGATCGACTTTACACAGCCCCAGTCCCTAGCCAGGACCAACCTCTTGAAGCGGCCACAGGGGAAGCCGAAGCCGAATGGTCAGCCATTTCACACGCGTTTGACGTCTATGCAAGCTCTCTGGGGCCTGACTACGCACCTCTCTCTCCAGAGCACATGACCCCAACCGCTACACCCTTTGGGCCCGCCCTCTACTATCGTTCCTACTCAATTTCCTGCGTCTTCATCATGTACTATATGGGACGCATCATCTGCTCCAGAGCCCACCCGTCTATGCCACCAGCCGCCATGGCCGCCGCTGGCGTCGCTGCACCCCAAACAGCGGTGCACGCTAACAACATAGGCCGCATCTTCGCCGGCATACAACCAATCGACAGCACTCTATCCATAAACCCCCACCACGGCGCTGCGATGATGGACGGCTGCATGGGCCTTTTCCACGCCGGCGTCCAGTACCGCGATCCCGCGCAACGCGGCTGGACTATTACCAAATTGCGTGACGTCGCCCGCTTAACTGGCTGGCAAACGAGCGTGCTCATCGCCTCGGGCTGTGAGCGAGCTTGGATCAAAGCGGCGGATATGGGCAAAGGGCCGCCATATACGATGATGTTGAATCCGATATCCAAAGACGACAGACTCTCGGGCAGGGGCCACGATCCGAGCCAATTCGTCCATCCGCCGAAAGATAATAACGATAGGAGATTCATTACTGTAAACGCCGGGACAAGGGTGTACTGGGCTATGGGTGTTTTAAGTGTTGACGAGGATTTCAAGGGTATGAATCTGAATGGGTAGATGCTGAGTGAAGAAGCTGGGATTACCAGTGTGATAGGGTTAATGTGATGCAATATATCAGCGCTGGCTTTAAGTCAGCTTTGTGTTCATAAGGGCACTTTCGCTACTTATTGTACCATGTACTATACGGTGATGCGGAGATGTGTTACGACCAATGTAAGGTACGATGTTTAGAAAAGAGCAGAAGCTTCAACTCAATATCACTGAATTTTCGAAGTCATCGTTCACGAGGAGCGTTGTCTTGATCATGGCCATTCATATCAAAAGCCTTATAGGCACTCCACCCTAGACGCTGGGAACCTGCCCACCAACACCCGCTATTCCTGCCACGCGTGTCCAAGGGGCCCGCCTTAAGCTCCTCCGCTCCGATCCATCAGAACTCCCTCTTTTCATCTTCACCTCCTCCGTTAATCGCACTCCCCAGCATCGCACACAGCCTACTCAGCGCCACAGTCTCCGTCGCCGCATAATAATCCAACGCAGCTAACAGCAGCTTCAGATGATGATTGAAATTATACTCATACTTGCCCAGCATTTCCGTTAGATTCTCCAACTTCTTCGGATCGTACGCTTTGATCTCATCAGGGATCGATTGGGCGTTCTTGTGGCGGTATGATGTGGTTGTCAGGTAGGTGAGGTGGGCGGGAGTGCCAGCGAGGGAGGGGGAGCAGGCGAAGAGGGTGCGGGAGAGGGTGCTGGTGTAGGTTGCAAACATGGTGCACGCGGAGGTGAGCTTGCTGTGGATCTATGACAGCGACATGTTAGGTGAATGATTGCGCGGAAGGGAGGATGGCATACCTTGAGTAGTTTGGAGTTCATGAGCATGCATTCTTTCAGGCATGTATCCAGGAAATCTACATGGTCTTCCATCAATTCGTCGACCGTTCGAGTGGTCTTCGAAGACCCAGGGCGGCCACTTCCATCAAGCTTATCGTCGCCATTGACACGTGCCATGTAAGCCTGCCAATTAGGTTCGATGACTTCAGACGTACAATAGTAGAGCGTTTGCTGAACGAAGACTAGCATCCTCGCTCTAAGTGTCCATGCTCTTCGTTTCCACATCTCGAGCTTTGGATCACCGCTCTTATGAGTCCAGCTGAGGACTTTGTTATGATCTTCCCAGCTGCTCACAAGCAGACCCTCGAGGTGACGCATTGACAAGAGGTATCGGAATAGGATCTGATATCTGAACACCGTCTTACTGCTGATGACTAGCGACAACGGAAAAGGTACGGAAAATTTGAATTCGAGCGCTTCAAAGCCAGTCATCTTGTCCTCTTCGTCGGTAGCCGGTCTCGTAGCTGGTGTGCGATAGCGGTCAACGCTCTCTGGAGTGGGCTCCTCATCGAAACCTCTCACATTGACAACACGCATTACCAATTGAGTCAGTCCGACATTGTTCATCTGCACTTTGACATCTTCCTTGAAAGGGTCCTGGGCGCCCACGGTCCCTGGTTGACGCAGTACGAGATCGAGGAGAGACTGCAATTTTCCAACATTGACGAGTCTCCAAGGTTTCTTTAGCTCGGACGTGCTGAGGTCGAGGAAGTAGGTAAAGAAGTCCGATCTGTCAAGGAAAAAGTAGTGTTTCATTGACCGTAGCCGGGCTCCGAGAGCATGTGTCGTGACGAGCAGATTGAGCAGGGAGGAATTTGCGTGAGCGTAGGCACTATTGACGTTGTCAAGAAATTGAAGGTCGTCGAATGACTTTGGCACGTCTTTGACCTCTTTGCTGACATCCACGCCTCCGCATTCTCGAACAACGTTAAGGTACTTCCCAGCCAACAGTACCTTATCCTTCACGCCTTCTAGCTGTGGGGGTATGTCATTGTCGCGGATGGTGTACCTCTTTTCCCAGTATTCGTCGGTGTAGTCCTCTTCCAGCTTTTCCCGTTTGATACTTTGCTGCTCTTTGATGAGGAATTCAGAATGTGGATCCTTGATACCACCATGGTGGAGCCATTCGTTCAGCATCGCCATGTATGGTCGGCTCGCATCTCGTAGAAGAGTCTGCAGAAGCGTCCTCGCGGCAGGATCTCCGGACATGAAAGATAATCGCTCTGTAAGGAGACGTAGCACGTTGCCCCCTTTGCATATCTTCTTCGCCATGCTACCAGGAGCGAGATCGCCACCTTCTCGAAGCTGTTCCAAGATGTTGTCGACATCGTCAAAGCCATCGACCGAATCATCAAGGTCCTCTTCTGACAGCGAATTCTTTTTCAGTATCTCCTGGGCTAGAGTGTAAAGTTGAAACATCATATGACTTGTAGGAAGAGTATGTAGATGGAGAAGATGTAAAGTGAAAGAAGGGTTACTGAGAAGTTGATGCTCCAGCTGGACAATGAGCACAAGATACTCTTTCAGCAGCTTCGATATCGAAGCACACAGTGCGTGATTGATAGCCCCGAACTCTTCCCTACTCTGCACCTCTACAAAGGCTTCCATAGCACTGTAGTAGGTTGCCATCTTCAACACGGAGGTTGTAAGATCTCGAAGACTGGGATCAAGTCCTGGGAGTACTCGAAAGCCCGGTCCTGACAACCGGTCCTTCTCCAGCAATGGGTTGTACTTGTCTACGTATCGAATATATTGTCCTTCATATCCCATGAAAACGAATAGAAGGTCTTCCAGAATGGCAGACTCCTGGTTGTCAGGCGTCAGATTTGTCAACAGTTCAGGCTCAAGAGATTCGGGCATGAGAGACGATAGGGGAGACGCAGAGATGCGAGCGGCCAGAGGCGCTGTGGTGTGTGGGATAAGAGAAGCTTGGGGTTTCCATGGTGCTTTGAATTCCATGATTTCAGCGCAACGGTCCTGTCGACAGGTTCTTTTTTCAGAAAAACATACGTAGAGCTGCTTTCTTCTCTTTCCTCGGGGCTTGAGCCTGCCCTTCCACTGCCGGACTACTCTGTCGTGCCGACACCCTTTCCTTCGATCCCCAGTCTTCGATACCATCGCTCACGGGTACTTTCACCGGGCTTCTTGTTCGAACCTGTAGACTCTCCCTCGTTGCCAGGTGTACCCTTCCGGTCTGTCTCTCACCAAATGTTGTGGTGGAGCCATTCCTTTTCTGCGCACCAGACGCGCTTCTTTTATGGGGCCCATTACTCGCAGAATCTTCCGGTATTACCTCCGCAGAAGAGAGCGGTCTTTCTCTTGCTCCCAGACGAGACGAAGAAGCTCTGGATTTGGCACCGGATGTTGCTGAGGGTCGCCTGCTATTTTCTGCCGTATTTCTGGCATTTGCGGTTGTTGACATGATCGTATTCCACCCATTGACTCCTGGTAACTTTAAAAGGTCGTGGCCTTCGTAATATCATATCGTCGTCGCGGTGTTTTCAGAGGTGGAGTACGGGCAGTAATGCGCCTTGATCACGATGTTTGCTTGGCGTCAGCCCTACGATTCTTGGCGCGGATCTTGAGGTAGCTTGTCTGCGTACACCAGCACCACCCCGATATAAACAAGCAAGGCTCTACACGCCCTTTCGGCTTTCAACGAAGAGTCAAGACCTCTCCAAAGAAGTATCTCGAGCTCTTACGGTTCTTTCTCTGTATCTTACCCTCATAATGTTTATTGCACGGTCGGAATACGGTAAGCTCTTAATGCAAGCTTTCACTATCTCATCCACCAGCTAATTTCTTCTGCAGACCGTGGCATAAAGTATGATTACTTCTCGGATCCCCCTTAGATGACCAGGTTCTGACAATCTCAATAGCACCTTCTCCCCGGAAGGCCGTCTCTTCCAAGTCGAATACTCTCTTGAAGCAATCAAACTAGGCTCAACAGCCATAGGCGTACGCAAGGTGTCTCCTTCCACCTGCAACCACTTAACAGTCCTCTTTCTAGATCGCCACCTCCCATGGTGTCCTTCTCGGCGTCGAAAAGCGCGTGACCTCCACCCTCCTCGAGACCTCCTCGGTCGAAAAGATTGTTGAGATAGACTCCCACATTGGCTGCGCCATGTCCGGACTGCAAGCCGACGCTCGCTCTATGATCGAACACGCCCGTGTTGAAAGTCAGAATCATAGCTTCCATTACAACGAACGACTAGGGGTGGAGAGCTGTACTCAAGCAATCTGTGATTTGGCCTTGCGGTTCGGGGAAGGCGCTGAGGGGGAGGAGAGCGTGATGAGTAGGCCGTTTGGTGTTGCGTTGCTGATTGCGGGGATCGACGAGGAAGGCCCACAGCTGTACGTCTAGTTTTGGGAACGTAGAACCGCAGAGAGACTAATCAGGAGTAGATATCATGCGGAACCATCAGGGACCTTTTATCGCTACGACGCCAAAGCTATTGGATCAGGCAGTGAGGGTGCACAAGCAGAGTTACAGAACGAATTCCACAAATCACTCACGTTGGAGGAGGCGGAGACTTTGGTGCTGAAAACACTGAAGCAGGTCATGGAGGAGAAGCTAGATTCGAAGAACGTCCAGCTGGCCAGTGTGACGAAGGAGAAAGGCTTTAGGATTTATACCGATGAGGAAATGTCCAAGGTAGTAAGCAGATTACCCACAAATTGATAAAATAGAGATAGCATGCATGCAGACGTTGCCGTACCATGAGCTCAGCCTAACCTGCAAGAGAATGTCACGTGTGTATGTGAAGACTTGGCCTTGAGACTAGGAGCAATAGTCCCGTCTATACATGCTAAAGCGAAGGATGACAGTGGCCGGACCCTGAAAACAACGGATGAGAGCTCGTCACTGTATCTCAATCGTAAAACCTGAACGCCCACCACACATTGCGAAGGCCGCCTTCCTTCCAATCCGCCAATATACACCGAGGCAAATTAACTCGACCTCGCGAGATTATCCCACCGATGAGCTCCTTTATCCAGTTTGATGCGTGGTAGTATGATTCAACTGTCCCATCAGCGTCCCCGTGCCATTCTTGACTTTCTTCCTAGCCGCAAGGATATCTCGTCCAGCCGGTACAACAGCGAGGAGCAGACACCTGCGGCCAAAACATACGACTCCACGAGGTGCTTATGACTGATGATTTGCATACGCCAAGAGCTCGTTGGCCAAGGGGCAGTAACCCGTCGATAGACATTGTTGGGGCTCTCGAGAGTGGTGAAAGTACATTAAGGGTTTCAATATTCTCTATGCATAATTCATCAGCCAGGAGTCTGGAGTAGAAGGCGTCAACAGAGTTTCAGAGTCACGTCGTAAACCTTCATAGCAAACATAGTCAAGAGTCCAAGTTTTTGACCTACGACACGGTCACTGACGAGAAGGGACCAAGTAAGCAAGTTCCGTTAATCCTGTAGTAAATCCACCATGTCTAGAACATGCCATTCAACGTTGTAAGCTCTCAGCTTGAGTTCTGGAATGTGTCCTTGTTCGTGGCTGTCTTTTCTCTTGTGAGAAGCGGATTGTGCCGGAAGCACAGAGCGGTACTGCATAGAAGTAGAAAGCGTTTTTCAGAACCGAGGTCCTCCAGCCGTTGCTGAGGTCACGAACACAGTTTGACTCGTTTCATGTTTCGAGGGACTGTTTTTTGCGAAGGCTCGGTGTTTGATGTCTTCCCAAGAGACGAAAGGGCCAAGTGTTGCATGCACTATCCAGTCTCCCAGTCTCTAGCGTCTTAAAGCTAGACCTGCATGAACATGCTTTGATGGGGGGCTGGAAAGCTTATGCGTTTCCAACAATCAACATAACGGACACCTCCTTGCATCATTTTGGCTGGTGGAAACGGGTGGGTCACAGATGGTGCTTCCGCCCGTCTCTATGAGTCGGAGCACTAGTAGCAGGAGCACGAGGTGCGTCGAGCCAAGGATTGGAGAGCCAGCGAAAGGGTGCCAAGTGTCAGATGAACAAAATCGAGACCTGAATCGATGCACAACCCGAGGCCATGGGCTCGGGTTTCGCATCGCGCATCTTAGTGCTATGGTAACCGCAGGTCAAAGAAATGCACACGAGCTACGGCTGAAATGCTGCTGGTTTTGTGCAGACTAATCTGAATCTTAGAACATCCTCATAAGATAGCAGATAAGAGTGCGTCTAGAGCTACCATCTTCAAACTAGAAGGGAGAACAACCTCTGTGCTGGCAAGCGTCAAAGCCTGGAGCCGGACTTCCGAGGGCGTTTGAGCAGTTCGCAATTGTAACAAGGCCACAAACTCAGGCCAGACGCATGAAGATGCTTCATGTCACGGGATGCAAGCTTGAGCTGTGTTGCAGCCCAATATGATGGCTGGAAAAGGTTTGCAGGACGCAGGTCATATGCTACGGCAACGCTCGTCGGTAGCAGTCATGTGGGAGATCCTTTGCACAACAAGGTCTAGGAGAAAAGCGTATACATGCCGAGAATTGGACTATCTGGGTTGATTGGATGGTGGACGAGGTTCCCGTGTGAAGATTTCGATGCGGCCATTGCGTTAGCCGTGTGCTTCTGCACGGTTACGCTCGCGTAGTCTTTAGACCGAGCTTATTCTATAATTCCTGTCCAAGCTTCTCACGGCTTCGCAGCCAGGGTACGAGTGTAATATCAAGTAGTAGGCTGCTAGGCTCTGGTCTCTTCAGGTCATACGTTAGAGTCTCGACCGCCTTCTTGGGGGTTAGAGCCACCGATAGTGCCAAAAAATGAGGAGCCAGAGGAGCCATCAAAGGGATCGAAGCAAGTGGGATCTGGAAAGACTCAAATCAAAGCTGGTTGCAGAGCCACACTCGTGCATCCAACAATTGATTGCGGTTCCGTTGAGGATCGGACATCTCGAGTGAAGATAAGTAAGGATCGTGGAAATAGATGCAATGGTGTATGCAAGAGAATAGATCTCTAATTCCAAAGCACGGAAATCGGATACACTGACAGCAAGACTTACTAGAGACCCACAAAGAGACACCATCGAGGTGGATCCTCAATACCTGGAAGTTGTTACCATCCATGACCGAGAATTTCAGAAGTATTCGATTGACAACTCTATTCACCTCGTTCCCGTTGATGAGGTAAACGAACACTCACAGCTGTTGGTTGGCACGAGCTTAACAGCATGGCAGGAAGAGGCATATCGGCTGGAGAATCAACATCGAGTGTTCAATCTTGTGTTCGACGGACGACTCATCTTTCCACCAGTGACCAGTCCGAAGAACGTCCTCGACTGTGGCTATGGTGCGGCATCATGGGCAATGGAGTTGGCGGAGAGTTATCCTGACTGCCAGGCAAGTCTATCTCACATAACTTGACGAGAATGCCAAACGTTGACCTCGTTCAGGTCATTGGGATCGACATTTCGCCGCAACTGAAGCCGGATGAAACGCCGGCAAACTTCGAGCCACAGGTTAGGGCTTTCACGCACACATCAAGAACCTGACATTCACAGCTCGCAATGAACGCGACTCGAACTTATATATTCATCTCGCTGACCATACTTGCTATAGCTCGACGACATTAATCTCCCGTTCACCTTCGAATCCAATACATTCGACCTTGTCCAGTCAAGAATGGTGGGGGGAGGAATCAATATTTCAAGATGGCCGTCGTATCTCAGGGACATCAAGAGGTAGTAGCACCGAAAAGTTGTTAAGGCGTCAAGGGTCTGCTGACGATGTGGGAAGAGTCCTCAACCCTGGCGGCTGGGTCCAAATGACAGAGCTCTACTGGATGTGTCAGAGTGACAATGGCTCAATCACAGGTTCCCATCCCCTCCGTCGGTGGAGCAACCATTATATCCGGTCACTTGAGGGCATCAAAGATCCTCGGGCACCACTGCGACTGCACGGCCTTTTTTCTGCAGCTGGTCTGGTTGAGATCGAGCATAAGATGATACCACTGCCTCTCTGCGGATGGTCAAGTGGTATGTCGAGTTCTTGCTGAGCTGTCCTTATAGAGGGGGTGCATCACAGCGTGCCCATCACTGTGACTGTCATGAGCATGAAGCTGACCCGCGGTTTCCCATAGACCCAAAAGAGCGCCGGATAGGAAACGCTAAGCAAGAGACCATTCGTCAAGCGCTAACCAATTTGGCAATCTTTCCTTTTACTCGACGTTTGGGCCTGACTATCGAGGATGTTCACGCCTTGGTGGCCGGGGCATGTGTCGATGCAGCGAACCCAGATCTGAAAGCTTATTTTCCCCTGTGAGTTTCAGCAAAGTCCTCCCAAGCTCTGTTCCGTCAACTCAGACCGCGCAGATATGTCTGCATTGGCAAGAAGCCGCTGTCATGATCTTTGCTTCCACTTGAGGTGTTCGTTGTTACCTTTCGAGTCGCAATTGTCATGCCTGCATTCAGGATATGACCAATTAGTCAGCATAAGCCAGCGCTCAATCCATGTCTTTCTTGACACTATTCAGGCGTAATTGCTTAATAGAGCAGGCTGTATACGCTGGATAATCTGGTAAAAAGATGCAAGGAGTAAACAATTGAGTGAGGACATAAGATGTAGAAACGAAGCAGGTATAGATGAAGAAAGACTGCCCCTCCGGGGAAATGAAGCAAAAAGACCGGTAGCGAGAAAGTAATATCAGCCACCGGCTAGAGCGGCGAAGTGTTGACGTCCATATGCTCTGGGAATTGATAACCCTGAGGGGTAATAAAAGATAGGCGAGTCGGATGGAAGGATGAGAGAATGGGAGGATGGGAGGATGATAGGATGAAGAAAGAAGAAAGAAGATGTCACTTGTAGAGTAGAAGCGAGACATGTGGAAAGGACCAGTCAAGATTCTTATATGGAAGGCTAGTCTATGGATGAATAGCTTGACAAGCTGTCGCTGGCAACATTACCACTAGGGTCCCATGAAGAAACAGACTGTGGACGCAGGCCACGGAGAGAAAGACATGAAGAAATTCGAAAAGTGTGGGGGGGAAGGGGGATCTATGGTAATCAGGTATCTCGCATAATCGTTTCCGCGTGTGATATCTCTGCATTGGCTCCATTGGTGCATGAGATTAAGGTACCTAAGTATTGACAGCTCCGACGGCGGCTAAGGTACCTTTAGACTGACTGACTACCTAGGTAGGTACGAGTACGGTACCTTAGACTTTCCCAACCCTCAAGGTAGGTTCTTTGGACAAAATGTTGTCTAAAGTAGTAGGGTGAAGTACGGTAAGTGGGACCTTGATTGACAGCCTAAAGTACCCTACAGCCTTACAGGAGAAGCTCCAAGTCAAAGCGCGCCGATACGAAGACAATTAGCTCACACGAATAGCCCCCATAGCTCACCCTGTAAAAATAAGCATGTCCAGTCCTCCACTGCCTGGGAATTGGGAATTGGGAATTGGAAACTGGGAACTGGGAAACTTGGCAACTTAAACCTTATTAACAGCGGGAACCCACAGGAACAGTCGATCAGGTGATTTGAACGTCAATTTTGAATAGCCGGACCACTTCAGCCCTATACCTTAATGATAAGCACAAGCTTCTTCACCATTTCACCACTTCAATACTTGCTTTACCTATTGACCCAAGCATGGTCTTCGAGACAACCACAATAACAACAATACTTGTACGAGCAAAGGAGTGAACAGCATACCTTTTACTTTCCCCACTTCCCGCCTGTTCATCATGCCTTCGACGCACAAAAGGGATAAACCCTGGGATAACGATGATACCTTGGACAGATGGAAGCAAGACCCTTTCACCCCCACAGACAATACAGCGGGCGCATTCACTGAAGAATCCAGCTTCGCTACTCTTTTTCCAAAGTATAGGGAGCTGTATTTGAAAGAAGCATGGCCTCTCGTTACCCGGGGTGCGTCAACATCCCACCGCTTCCCACAGTAACGACCTTCAAACTCACTCTGTGCATATCCTGCTTAGCTTTGGCAACCCACCACATCGCCTGTACTCTTGACCTAATCGAGGGGAGCATGTCCGTGAAGACAACCCGAAAGGTATCTGGTCCTGCTATTTTAGAGCGAGGCATGTCCGCTGATACCTCGCAAGACCTACGACCCCGCTTCAATCCTCAACGCTCGAGACCTCATAAAACTCCTCTCCCGCAGTGTTCCTGTAAGATTTTTGCTCACTTATTTACGCCACTGCTTGCTTACACCGGGACTCCCTATATAGGCTCCTCAGGCCATCAAAATCCTTGAAGATGGTGTCGCCGCGGATATAATCAAAATCCGCAACCAGGTGGCTAACAAGGAGGTATGGACTCTCGGCGTGATTGACATTTTTAGCATTTCTCCTTCTCGAGACGTGTCTGCAGATCCGACTGTTCTATATAAAGAGGAAGCACTGACTCCGGAATCTTTCACAGCGCTTCATTAAGCGACGGCAGCGCATATTGGGGCCGCAGGGTTCTACCTTGAAGGCTCTGGAGCTGTTGACGGGGTGCTATATACTCGTACAAGGCAATACGGTCAGCGCAATGGGTAGTTTCAAGGGTTTAAAGGAGGTTCGGAGAGTGGTGGAAGATTGCATGGCAAACATCCATCCAATCTACCATGTAAAGGAATTGATGGTATGCACCCTTTCCGAGCCATTCCCCACCTTTGAGTAACTTGACTTGGGTCCTCATTTGTTGCGGGAGCAAAACGCCAATTTTGCTGCATACAACCCCCTTAGACGTCTCTCGTAACTCGATACTTGTCTTCAAAGTGAAGTGCTAATTCCCAAATGGTAGATCAAGAGAGAATTGATGAAGGATCCTGATCTAAAAAACGAGAACTGGGAACGGTTCCTACCCCACTTCAAGAAAAGAACCTTGAGCAAGAGAAAGAAGCCTCTAAAGATTACGGATAAGAGCAAAAAGCCATACACACCATTTCCGCCGCCTCAGGAGAAGAGTAAGGTTGACCTGCAAATCGAGAGTGGAGAATACTTTTTGGGCAAGCAAGCCATGGAAAGGGCGGCGAAGGAAAGAAGGGAAGAACAGCAACGGGAAAAACAAACCGAGAAAGAAATGGTGAGGCAGAAGGAATTCGTGCCGCCGCAAGAGAATGGTACGACCTCGTCAAAAAAGGAGAAGAAGAGAAAGCATAAGGAAGAAGATCAGGTAGAGGGTACCAAAAAGAAGAACAAGAAGCAGAAGCGAATTGCGAAGGATGAAGTACAGGCTTGAGTCCTGATGAAGATTTTGCATTTTAGTCATATACCCCCACAGAAAGCGATTTTTTCCATTGATGTCTGTCTAGTTCTGACTCCCTTGCAACTTGGATCCGTGAGGAACGGGTGCAGCTCTATAACACAATAACCCCGCCATGAATGGCTTATTGAATTGACGGTTTGGGGGGTTTTTTATTCAGCATCTACAGTGTTCAGCAACACATTCAGACAGAATTCGACCATTCAAACACAGCAACCTGGCAAATTCTAACACATTTACCGCTCCACTATATATGATCTCGTCTTGCCATATCCTCTGATGCTTTATTCAAGAGTCGAGATCCTTGCAATCCACCTCTTCCCCCTACAAATAAAATGTCTGTCCGTGAACTTCCCGTTCATCAGCCAAAGCTCATACGACAGCAGACGACTTTGCTACAGAACAAGCTTCACTCTACATTTTATTCGGGAGGAATTGCCCATCCAACAATCCCTAGATTCCTTGATAGGGTCAGCATGTTGCAGAACCAAAAGGCAAATTCCTACTCCCAACCTGCTCTACCCGTCAACACTCAAGCGGCACAAAAACATGCGGGTTCGGAGAAGTCCTCGTCACCAAGAGTCCAACATAACCTGTTACCTCTCAGCACCAAGGAGGCCCCTCCAAACAGTGATAGTTGGACTACCGTCTCCAACTGGCTAGCCACAAGTCAGACATTTGAGAAGCCACCAACACCAGCGCCTGTTGCGGACCCAGCTCCACGACAACGACGTCCCAAAGAGTATTGGCTCCAAGTTGCCAAAACCCTAGATCTTCGAGTCAAGTCACGCTCAGAGCAGTTCAAGGCTCCGATCCGTTCAACCCCCGACAGCATATGCGCGAATCCCGGCATCAACGGCAGCATCTCCAACCCTCAACCACACACCCAGCTTCGAAAACCAGACGAGCACACTCCGCCGGACCAGCCCGACACAGCCACGGACACAGTATCCCCACTCTTGCCCGACACGATGGGCCCACCCCGAAAGCAAGAGCGTGAGAGGGAGAGTTCCATCGAGGCGAACTTGTCCGAAATCCAAGGGAAGCTCGAGAAGCACAGGCGAGGGCAGGAGCAGCAGGGGCGGCTAGAGGCACAGAAGTTGAAAAAAGCGGACGAGGCGTTGAAGGGGAAGGCGGAGGGGCTTGCTGCGGACGCGATGGCGACGCACGAGAAAGAGCAGGAGCGGAAGGAGTACGTTGAAGGGAGGGCACGGGATATCCATGAGAATCTGTTGCAATGCAAACCCTTTGACATGGATGCTGTGAGGCGAGAGTTCTCTGAGAGAGAGGTTCAAGGCATCACGAAAATTGTGAGAGAGTTGGGCTTCGCGAAGAAGGAATGAGTGGTAGGCTTGTTGGAGACTAGGACTGTGGATGATGTCAATAATCTTTAGAACAGTGCGTGTTCTCGAGGCCTGTAATCCACGATTTGGCTCAGAATCGCATCTGAGCTGAAACCTTGTTTGACCTTAGATACTGCGATAGCTCTAGCATCTCCTATTTATGTACTTTTCTCTGTAGAGCAAAGAACAGAAGTGAAAACCTGCGTTGGAAGAACAGAAACCTCAATGTCGTCGCCAGTCTGGGCGCAAATTAGATCGAGTCTCCTAAAATAGTACCGCAACTCAAGGTTGTGTCCCTCATAGTCCCTTTTTGCCATTGATTCTAGCCTGCTTCGCCAACGCCCTCTTCCTGATGTCCTTGTGCATCCACCTGTTATAGGTCAACAGTAACATGTTCCCCGGCCCCACAAATGCATTGACACTCCATTGCAAAATCGCATGACTCCAGTATGGCGTACTCGTATGAGTCCATCCCTGCGCCCCTCCAGTCCTGCCAACTTTACCCAGTACGCTCTTGACAAACGCCCTCGGAGTCGGCACCAAGGCACTGGACTTACGTATTTTCGACATGGCGGAAGTGACCAGGTAAGATTGCACCAATTCGACTTGGACGTTATAGGGTGCCAGTTCGGAGCCAAGGGCGGTAGACCACTGCTGCAGGAAGGCTTTGCTGCCGCTGTACGTTGCGAGGAGGGGCGTAGGGAACAGACCGCCAAAGGAGCCCATAGTAACTATCAACCCGCGTTTCCTCTGCACCATACCGGCAGCCACAAGCTGCGTCACTCTCAATGTAGCCATGCAATTGATAGTGATGATAGAATTCACTTCCGACTGCTCCGTCTGGGTGAAGGGTACTGGTATAGAGTGGCTGGCACCAACATTGTTGATCAAGATAGCAATGTCCAAGCTATCGACGAGTGCCTTGAGCTTAGCATAATCGTCGTCGTTGTTGGCTCCAAAGTCCATGGCCAGGATTTTGGTGGAGGTGTTGTATTTGGACTTGATCTCTGCTGCCAAAGCATCGAGCTTACTGGCGGTGCGGGACACGAGAAGGGTGGAGTAGCCGGCGCGAGATAGCTGAAGGGCGAATTCCTTGCCAATTCCATCCGAAGCTCCCGTGACAAGTGCCCATGTTTTAGAGGGCTGGCCAAACGTGCGGAGCTGAGAGTGCTCATTTAGTCTGATGGAACTGCATTCCAGGGGACAGATAAGTATACCTCTCTGCCAGGAAGGACGAATAGACTGAGCATTAATCGTGCGAACTGTATCAGTCTGGCGAAGACGGTAAGAAAACCGACAACAGTGCACGTGACCAACATATAATATACAATTTTATGGTCGAGAGACTCTGACAATGTAGCAGATTGTTCCATCTTTCCTCTATAGAACCAACCAAGGTTGTCCAACTTGAAAGACATGTCACTGTCGAGTATCGAAGTCAAAGCGGTTCAGACAGGATGGTGAGGGTTCTTGTAGGTGAACAGAACGCTGCTACCTTTTTATTTTGTTCGATAGTCCCGCATTAGCGGCGCGTGGTCGCCAACTAGATTGTCGGCACCGGCGGGAGGTTCCAGGGTTGTAGTTCACCATAAAACACGACTTTACCTGGCTTGGCGACCGTTGGACTTGGGAATCGCGTATCCTATGGCTCTTGCTTACTTGTTTTGAGAAACAGTAACGGAGCACCGAGAGTACGTATTCACAGACGCAACTAGAAACCAGCAACCACCCTTTCTGTCAACAGCCTCCAGACCCGATAAAATGTCTTTCCTACCGCAAGGTGAAGGCTGGCTGCCTTCATGGCTTCTCCTAGTCTGATTTCCCTTTCCCTGCCAAGCAAATCTTGAAGACTAACGAGGAATTCAGGTCTCCGTTGTGTCTGTAGGCAACACGATTCAAGCTTACACGACCACAAAGAATACGCGCGAGGTCTATCTTCACTCAGGCTCAGAAACCAGTGCCCTCTCTTCAAGGATCTTCGGTACTTGGACCATCGTGTCTGCCATCATCCGCTTCTACACTGCCTACAACATATCCAATCCCCAGCTCTACCAGCTCGCAATGTGGGCCTACGCTATCGCATGGAGTCATTTCATGAGCGAGTGGCTGCTATTCAAGACGGCGGGGTGGGGCAGGGGTTTGGCAGGGCCAATTCTCATTTCCACCGGAAGTTTGGTCTGGATGTTCAGCCAGTGGGGCTATTATGTTGTTCAGTAGCAATGGGATCGGCATCGTATTTCGTGATTCAGAGCAGTGATGGTACAGCACTGATTCAGTTCATATGGCAAGAAGATCGTTCAAGCGTATGCCTCTTTCAGTGACCCTCTCTGTTGCTCAAGATGCTCATTTAGGCATCAGATGATGTCTTCGCTTCCTTATTCAGGCGCTATAAATATTCGGCTATTTGAGCCTATTCCGGTACAGCTCTCCTCCGCAATCTCGAAGCCTTGCCGCAGCTTGCTCAGGTGTAATATCTCTTTGAGGTTCCGCCATCAGCTCGTATCTATCCCAGCCTGTTAGTGTTGAAATGGAACAGAACTACTTTGTCTACTCACCCAACTAAAAATTTTCTCACTGTTGCACTCCTCAGCAATGGCGGGTAGAAATGTATGTGAAAGTGGCTGGCCTCAATCTCGACATTTGTACCCTCCAAGGGTGCTTGATGAATGCCCATGCTGTAAGGGAATTGCGTTTCGAATAGATTGTCGTATCGCCGAGTGACTTCCGCAATCACCTCAGCAAGATCGTTTCTCTCGACGTCGTCAAAATCTACCAGCGCTCTTTTGTGTTGTCTCGCCACAATCATGACTTCAAACGGCCAGATTGCCCACCACGGGCACAGTGCCACAAAACTCTTATTTTCAACTACAACCCGTTCTCGCTTTTCGATTTCCAGCTTCGCATAATCTTCCAGTAGATGCATGCCTCCTTGTTCACGCCGATAATTTTTCAATTGATCAAGCTCAAGCGCAGGCTCTTCGGGTAGCCCTGTTGTCGTCCAGATTTGACCGTGTGGATGCGGATTTGAGCAGCCCATTGCCGCTCCCTTATTCTCGAATATCTGCATATACCGGTATTGTGCATTTGATGCTGAAAGATTGGTATGTTGGTGATTCGCTGGTGGTCGCGTTGTCGCACTCGCAACCTGAGCCAATGGTGATTTTGGAGAGATATGAGCGGTGTATAGCCGAGTCCAAGTATCGATAACAGGCACTATTTGGGATGGCTGGAGGTCTGCGAGAGTGAGGTTATGGTTTGGTGAGAATGTCACAACATAGCATTTCCCAGTGACAGGATCAGCCCGTAGAAGCAGCGACGAGAGGCCTACATTGGTCAGACCTGATCAAAAAGCATACTTTTCTGCCGTCAGCTTACTGCCACTCTCGTCACTTGGCTGATACTCAGCCTGTTCCTCTTTGACGGCACTGTAGTCATTGACGAAGACGAATGTACTCTCATACTTAGGATTGGTATCACCCTGGGCACGTTTGTTGCCCGGACAGAGATAGCATGATGGATCGTATTGTGGTAGGGTCGTCTGGCTTGCTGCTTCTTGTTGGCCTCTAAATTTTCAGCTGAAATGAACGGACCATTCACGTCAGATAGGGGCCCTCTTTCATTCACCACTTACTGCCAAGGCCGTTTCGTCCTGTGAGGGGATACTAGAATCCAGCTCCCACGTAGTGGATTGTATCTTCGATGCGAGATGTCGTCTAGGATTGCATCTGGCATGGCACCGATGCAATTATGATCAGCAATAAAAACAAATTTTGATAGAGTTGGCCACGTCCTGTCGCAGAATGGACAGCTCCGCCGCCCCGCAAACCGATATATTAGCGTCGGATTTAAGTGTAACTGACCGGAAGTCACAACATAGCTGTCACAATCGTGGCGTGCGGTGGTCCGAATCGCCCAAGTATTGTGATAGAAGAGCAGCGAAAAGAAACTTCACGTCCGCAAAGCTTGGTCACTCAATAATTGCCGGATTCGCTCGGTTTCAAAATCTCAATTGTCCCCTTCTTCTGAACTGCTAGTTTGTCACGGCGACCAAATTAAGCTCTCTGTGTCAGATCAATAAGAAGATATATATCCGCCTTCTCTTTGGAATTCGAGCCCGAGTTATTTCACATAGTCTGGGAACTGAGCTCCATGGCGTCACTCCATGAGATTCGTATTACCGGTGACGATTTAGGCCTCTTCGACCTTCCTAACGAGGTCCGTATCCTACTATTTTCACCTTTCGCGCGCTAAAGATTCAAAGATTTTGATCCATATGTTGGATCTACTCCCCACGCAGTCGCTGCTTCAGACCAGATCCGTCTGCCACCGCTTCCAAAACCTGATCATTCGCATTGTCCATGGGCGGCTGTTGCGCGCAGCAACACTCACTGATCGAAAGCTGATTCTCGAATGCTATCACCCGTCAGCGCAGTACACTGAGCCATACTTGTACTGCGATTATCTTGGCACCCCTGGGCTCAGTGATGAGATCGAAGGCCAGGGCCGGATATCCGAGGTTGCAGACGATCAAGCAGCCAAGCAAGGTACATTTGGGAGGCTGTATTCCCACTTTCGGCCCACTCGAAAAGATCCAGATCCAAAGATCCACCGTCCGCATCCAGCTGGCGATGTACCAGGCTCTAGAACAAGTGAGGTAGCAAATCGAATCAGAGAACCTTTTGAAAGAAACACTGTGACGCAAAATGTCAGTTTAGAGGCCCATGAGCTTTTCATGCAGCTCCGCTTTCTCGTAGCTGTGGTTCAGACCGGCCCGCGTCGGGGCTTTTTCCTCAGCGTTGAAAACATCATAGATAAAACCCAGCGGATATTCAGGAACTGGCTCGCTGAGAAGGCCAAAGCCACAGAAAAGCACATGACAGGCGCCTCCGACAGCGTTGCGAACGAGCTTGGCCGTGAAGCCGATGACATGCTGTGGGTCGATCAAGACAAGAAAGTTGGGCTGAGAGTGCGGGTCGAAGAGAGGAAAGGGCGAAAAGATTCACCAATATTGGTTTACAAAGATGAGGATCAAGCGATCAGCTACTCCCTGGAATTAGAAGGTAAGTCGCCTGCCTAACATTCAAAGGGAATGCAGTGTGCAAATCAAGTGCTAATGCTGATTATCTGCAGAATTGATTGTTAGTACCACACATCTAATGCTCGCCGTGGAAAAGCAGTTGCTCGCGACAGGAGAAGGAAATGGCCAGGCCATGGTCTTTGGGAACTTCGCAATACCGAACGCACAGTAGACCCCCGGAGATACGGTTTGATCGAGATTGGGGGAAATATACATATTGCGTAGAGCCCTACTGATAGTAGCATTCACATTCTGAAGAGCCTATGAGATACAGCAACCCGTTATCGGGCAGCCTTCGGGCACGAAGGCCGAGCGTAACACGGAATACTTTGCTGACCAAGTACTAATTCCTGTGTCCTATCGCTGGAATCCGGATGTACTTGAAGTCAATTCCCTGGAAAGTAGCCACATTTGGACTCGTATGTGCAAAGTGGCAAGCTTGTAAGATATTGATTGGGCGCTGTCGTGGTCTTGGTCAGGTCTTTCTACTCTAAGAGCACACTGCTGGAGACGTTGGTTTTCACTTCGTCACCCTCATGCAATCTGTTGATATAGGCCGGACTCTGAATCTTAGAGCTCTCTCTGACGTCTCCCCGTAATGGTGACAAAGTGATCTGGATTTCAGCGATCATAGAGTGCAGTTCTGTAAGACCTAAATCACTTTTGAAATTTTTCATAACATGCCTGAATGATTTCCAAGTTAGAATGTCAAATCTGAGTCGTCCGTTTACTTCTGGGACAAGTCTCGCAACTCACTGTGCAGAGCAAATCTGGAAGAAACAGCTCGGAGAATGTAACTCACCCTTGACCAGTTTTGCGACAACCTGCTTGTCGACCGTTTGGTTCTCTAAGGTACCACCAGGTCCCACCATGGATTTCATGACACTTCCCTGATTCACAGTCTTCTCCTCCGATCTCAGTCTGCCAATGACATCCTGTATGGCTCTTATGATATCGTCTTCTCCCATTGAATCATTATCACCGATGTACGCCTCTAGTACCGCGATCTGCGCAACCTCTCGCTCTTTGAGGTCATCCCGCTTCGCACTTTGGAACTCCTCTACAGCAGCTTCGGAGCTCTTAACGCGTTTTCGTAATATCTTTAGCATTTGGGCATCTGTAGTAACTGGTGCTGATGTCTTGGCAGCATTCGTGATATCTGATATTAGACCTCGAAGGACGTCTAGTCTGTTTCCCTCTGGGCGTAAGTGGTTTCCCCTTAAAGAAGTCAGGCGGATGTGCACCGTTCACCACGCACCGAGAGCTGTCTTTCGCTTTCATGGCAGCCTTCATATCACTTCGGACCTTGACAAGCAATGAAGGAGTTGTAGCGGGACCACTAGTAGTAGTCATTGAGTAGGGACATCGCAATAATAGTCGCGTGAGCCGCACATTACACCGCCAGAGCGACATTCTATGAGCACAAACACAAGTCCGACAGCCGAATCAGCTGGCTTCAAAGGCGCAAAATCTTCAGGAGCAGACTTTGAGGTGGTAAGTTATAGAAGGAGGAGCCCGTACTCTCAGCAATCCATTCCTGCTATGAGTGAGCATTGCTGCTTTTGTTCCGGGACGACATCTGGTACCTGACTAACAAAGTTTGACCGAGGTTCCGCCCTTGCTGCTTGTCACTTTCGAGATATATTTTTGATGCGTGTTGACTGCAGTGAATAACGCATAAAACAACGCGTTTTACGACATTTCCTTCCTTTATCCTTGTCTTTCTTTCTTACTCTGGTGATTGATGGCACTAGAAAGAAACAACAGATGAAGCATCACGCTGGTGAAGAGCTTGCGAACAATTTCTCAAAGCGGGAGCAGCTTCGTACTCGAAAAAGGTCTGAAGCATGTTTTCGATGCCCCAGACACCACAAAGACCTTTACCAGGTGCATATATTCAAACGCCAGCCCATGGTCTCGCCAATAAGGCTGGCCAACTCTATCAGCCGAATCTTCGGCCGAACACCATCACAGCACAAAATGCATCCCAAGGTCAGAGCCAGGCGCTCACCCAGCAAAAGCAACAGACCGGACAGGTAGCCGGAACCTCGTCTGGAGAGGATCTTAAGCCAATCGCACGGGCAGCGAGGACCATCAATGAAACCCTCGACCAAGAATCGCGGTACCCTGAGCTCGACAGCTATGTTAGCCGTAAGTAGCCAATTCCCCTTTGCCTCGCATTCGCTCACACCCTCGCAGAAGGACCTTCTTCGGACTATGACATCCTCTCACAGCCAGCATGGGCGCCTTTCCAGAGAGCCAAGAGCTACAGCATACCCGATTCAATCTTAGCACAATGCAACAATGCAAAGATGTCCACCATGATGGGCTTGTTCGCAGATCTGAACCATGCCTGGATTGCAATCGATAACTCGCTCTACCTCTGGGACTACACACATCAGGACCCTGATTTGATCGGCTTTGAAGAGCAGCAGCAACAGATCACAGCAGTGCGCCTTGTGACCCCACGGGCTGGCGTCTTTGTTTCTACAATATCACGAATGCTGGTTGTTGCCACCTCGAGTGAGATCATACTCGTTGGTCTGGCCTCGCAAGATGCACCCGGTGGTGGCAAGTCTGTCAGCCTCTTTTCAACACGATTGTCAATATCCATCAAAGGCCTGACCATCAATCTCATCGAAGGATCAGCGGCCTCTGGAAGGATTTTCTTCTCGGAGAGTACAAGCGATGATGTATACGAGCTCACCTATCAGCAGGAAGAGAAGTGGTTCCAGAATCGTTGCACTAAGATCAACCATACCGGCAAAGGTGTCTCAGCTTTTAACCCTGGGCCAATATTCGGCTTCGGGCAAAAAACGCAACAAGAACGCCTCGTCAATCTGACTGTAGATGATACAAGGAGTCTACTATACACTCTTTCGTCGCGGTCAACAATCAGAGTCTTTCATATGAGACCCAACAATGGGCTTGTACTTATGATTACCAAGACGTTGCCTGCGATACTTAATGATATTGGACACATGCCTAATCTAACAACGGATCTACTTTCTTCAAATATCACGATAACATCGGTCGACACTATCTCGTCCAGAGAGGCTGTGAGGCTGCATTTGATGGCGACCACGTCCACAGGTTGTCGAATCTTTCTGAGTGCCACATCAGGCGACTCCTATAATACGTACAATATATCGGCGATCAAATCTTCAGATGCGCCAACTAGTATGCAGGTACAGCACGTCAAGTTTCCACCAACAGATCCTAAAGGACCGTCACCACGTCAGCAAAATGCAAGACAAATGGTACCCTATGGCAATAGTCAAGGACCAAATACGAATTCCAGAGCTCTGACTGGAACTCGTCGGGCTGTCAGATATGCACCTGGCTATTTTTTTTGCTTTGTACCGAAGGACGCTCAGGGAACCTCGGATTCCCTATTCATCTCTGCGCCCGATGCTGGGCGAGTTGCGCGTCAGCGTGAAAACACAAGCATGGCCAAATACCCTGAATTTGGCATCTGGCCGGATCTAGGCAGTCGCGCCGAAGATATTGGTCTGGCTTCGGATCCCTTCTCTGCTACTACATCACCAGCTGGCTTTGGCAACGAGCTTGCGGTCCAGTACGACGAGCCTGTGTCCGAAATCGCCATCTTGACCAACACTGGAGTCCATACTTACAGAAGACGGAGACTGGTAGACATGCTTGCATCTGCCCTGCAAGTCGGAGGTGGAGATGAAGGTCTTGATGGGGACATCAAAAAGTTTCTTCGCTTGTATGGTGCTGGTGAAACTGCATCAACTGCATTGGCAGTTGCGTGTGGGCAAGGTTTGTACGTTACCTCTGAGTCTCGGATTGCTCGAGTCACCGATCCAAAAGTGCTGGAGTACGCTCGAAAGGCGTTCATTGAGCACGGCGGAAAACCGCATATCAATGAAAACCAAGTGATGGATCACCCAACACCAGCAATCGATACCGTACGTCCGTCGCCGCGCCATGAAGGCGTAGCGCTATACGTTGCAAGGTTAGTGCGCTCGATCTGGAAGGCTACTATAGTGAAGGAAAGCGTATCACCCATGAGCGGTCTGATGGTGTTTCCCACCATGAGTATGGCTAAAGTACAAAGCATCTCACAAGACCTGATCGCATTGAAAGAATTCTTGGGATCTAATAAGAATCTTATTGATGGGTTGGCGGGACCTGAAGCACTAGGTCTTGCATCGACCAAACAAGACGAGATTTCACTCCAAGCGGAGCATCGGGCGTTGCATTCTTTGGTCGTGCTGATAGAAAACATCATTGAGGGCATTGCCTTTGTACAAGTCTTGTTCGACGAGCAGATTGCGGAGATCATGGCCTCACTCCCAGCCGAGATAAGAAAACAGGTTCAGGATCTGACCTACGAAGGCCTGTTCTCCACTGCCAATGGTAAGGAGCTTGCTAAAGAGTTGGTCAAGGCTATCGTGAACCGCAACATCGCCAATGGTTCGAATGTCGAGACTGTCGCGGAGGCTTTGAGAAGACGATGTGGCAGCTTTTGCAGTGCTGATGATGTTATCATCTTCAAGGCGCAGGAGTTGTTGAAAAGATCATCTGAGACTGGTGGCGAGTCAGAATCAGGACGAAATCTGTTGAATGAGAGCTTGAGACTATTCAAGCAGGTTGCTGGCAGCCTACCCATGGACCGATTACAGTGGGCGGTGGAAAGCTTCATAACCATGCAATTCTATGCCGGTGCTATCCAGCTAGCTCTTGACGTAGCTCAGGAATCCGATCGGGGAAATCGAGCATTGGCGTGGATCCAGGACGGCCGCCCAGATCAGGTAGGTTTCACTGAACTGAATTGAAGATGCGAAAAGTTGCTCATTAGGAACAGGATCAGCGAGCGGCCGCGTTCGATGCTCGGAAAAGATGCTACAACTTAATCCATCAAGTCACTACCAAGTTCGATCAAGCTTCGACCCAAGGACCGAGCATGATTGACGGTCAATACACCTTAGCTGCCAAGCGCAGAGCAGAAGCCTATGATGTCATCAACACTTCCAATGATGAAGCATTTCAAACAGATCTCTATGATTGGTACCTGTCACAAGAGCGGACGGACCGGTTACTTGATATCCAATCTCCATATATAGTGACTTACCTGGAACGGAAATCATCAGACAACATTGAACATGCCGACTTGCTGTGGAAATACCACAGTCAGAGAGGCCAAAACCACGAAGCAGCTGTCGTTCAGCTGATGCTAGCGAGGAGTGATTTTAGACTCTCGCTGGATCGGCGAATTGAGTATTTGGGCAGAGCAAAAGCCAATGCATCTACTACATCGCCCGGCATTGCTAGACATGCACGCTATCAACTCCTGCGGGATGTCTCTGATCTATTGGACGTGGCTAACATCCAGAGTGACCTGCTTCAACGGCTTAAAGGCGACGAAAGAATCCCTGCTGATCGTCGGCCTGCAGTCATCAATGATCTCGATGGTGCCCTGGTTCCCTTCGATGTGGTAAGAAGCTCTTTGACTCTTTTCCTAATCGAAAACCTTTTGATTAATCATTCGACAGCTGTACAATGGGTATGCGGACCAAGCCGGTTACTTTGACCTTTGTCTCCTGATTTATCAAGCCGCCGACCACCGCAATCCCGCCGACATTAGAGCCACATGGCAGAACCTGCTCGATCGGACACACGAGGATATAATGACACGTGGTACGCCTCAACCATACGAGGTAGTTATCGAGAAAGTCCAGAGTCTTGCGAAGCGCCTGAACCTCTCGGAGACGATGTTCCCCATCGCCGATGTTGTTCCCATACTCGAGAAGTATGCCTTCGAATTTCAGAATGGTGTTGGTCCCAGGACATGGCCCATGGATACCCTAATCGGCGTTGGTGTACCTTTTGAGTCGCTATTTACGGTGTTGGAAGGCATGTTTTACAACGACGAAGCGCCTTTCCAAGGCAGAAACCGGCGCTATATTGCCAATGATATCATCTATGTCGCTGGGCTATGGTTTCAAGACAGTAGCCGGGGAGCGGGAAAGATACTGGGAGAAGAGGGCAATGCTGCTGCGATCACTCAGACGCTGATGATGTTGCAGCAGAGCGGCTTGCTAGACGAGAAAGCTCTGGATGAGTGTCGGGCCCTGAGGGCAAGGATTGAGCATATGTTGAGATGATGCATTAACGTTCTTCTGGTGTTGCTATTGTAGTTGAGGGTTGTAACAAAAGCCTGCGGCGTCTCTTGGGTATTGTCACATCATCACATCAAAAGAGAAAGGTCGTTTAAAGGTTGATACCAAGAATCTTTGCATCGAGCTGAGGAAAGGCTTCAATAGTCATGTCATACATAGCCTTGGAATTTACGGATTCTCATAGACAATTTAAGGATGTATTGCGGGCCTCGAGCAATACAGCTCTCTCGACGAGCTTTCTCCTCTGTAGCAGATAGAAGATAATACGTTGATCATTTGATCGAAGAAAGCTTTCCACTCAAGACCGGCTTGCGGATAACGGTAGATCTTACCCTGGCCCTGACTGCAACTGTCTCGTTGTCCTGCCGAAACCAATTCTCTTGTTCGCGACCACCACCATAACAATTGCCTCAATCCTTCAAACGATCAACTATACATCCCAGAGCGATGGCTCCATCAGCATGGCATCGTAGGCTCGACCTTGTCTATCTAGCATTCTTCATCATTCACGTCCCTATCATGTTCGGTGAGTTCCAGTGTACCATCCCAGGACTCTTCGTCGACGTTCCATCAAACCTGTACCATGGGCTCATGCCGGATCAAGTGAAAGGTTCTCTCTATACATGATCCGTGCATGTCCCACACTGCTGCTTCCTGACTGCCAGCCTTCATGTTGTAACAAGTACCTAAAGCAGTGGATCTGTACCCTCTCTACCCACTTTCTCTACGGCCTCCGTTCCTGGCCGACCTACGCTCGTGGTACATCGCCACGTACAAAGACCGTTTCTTCACGGAGGAGCAGCCGGCGTGGTTCTGGATGTTCACCGTGATGGAGGCTGGTTGGCACGTACCGATTGGCTTGACTTCTATCAAACCTCTTTGGAAAGGCGATCGTACGTCAGTTCCTTTTCGTTCATGTTTTGGCTTCTAGTCTGGAGTGTAAATTTCGGCCAAGTTTCATTGAATTCTTTTTGCAGAGCCATTGTGGATGAATCCTGATTCCTCGTATTTGGGTGAAATTTGTGAAATTTATTATGTCGATTATAACAACTTTCCCCAAATCTTTGTTTGGACAGCTTTCTTCAATAGCTTTGAAGTTGCTACTACTACCTCCTTTTTTTTCCGTTCCCTCATGCCAGTAACACTATTCCTCTAATGCCGTTCATGCTTTGTGTATTTGGATACACAACTAATATCGGTCTTCTCACCGTCTTGCGGTTCTTCCTGGCAGCCTAGAATCCGCCATTAACGGCATAAATCAGACTCCCCAATGCTCCATCTCCGTCTCCTGCTCTTCGCCTTCCAAACGGCCCTCACAACCGCCGTCTGTGTCGTCGAATACACCTCGTGGCCCGAGCTTTCCGCTGCCGAAAAGTCGAGCCTTGGCGGACTTTACATCCCTTATCTAATTTTCTGTGAGTCAAAGCCTTGATATCTCCTATATTTCTCTTCCTGGGCAAACGGAAGTGGAAAGGCAGAGGGTCTGGATTTTAAAGGCTCTTGCTGATACGGGTTTACCAGCTCTGGTGATGTTTGCCGACATGTATGGAAGGGTCAAAGCACGATTGATGGCTACTGGAGAATCCTCGCACAAGTCGAATTCTTCATGACGATGGCTGCGTTGATTGGAATAGCTTAAATAGCAAGAGTGTCAACGTTGTGATGGCAGAATGCTTGAAATTAGCGAGAGACCCAAGGACCTTGGTGCCGATGTTCCCACTTCCAGGCATGCCTTCTAAAGCCACTGGAAAGAAAACAGATTAATGAAATGCTTCCGGGCGTGAAGCTGAAAGAAGACTGGCCCTAAAAGGCACGCTTGAGTTTCAACAGAGCTGTTAATTGCTTTAGGATTATAGGATTCTTATTCTCTTGCCATCATATGCCAGGCTCAATTCTCGAACTTTAGTCCTGCTTCTTGCCGTACAGCACCGTAAATTCCCGCAATGTCGCCTTTTGATCCCATGTGCTTCTGCACATCAGCAAGATGGCCGTCAGCAATCTCTACATCCTTCATCTTTGTGCCAGACGCTTCTGCAAGATTTAAAGCATGTTTGGCGTCTTTGCGTGCCAAATCTACCCCGAACAAGGGCTAGAGTCATTCAGTCAGTCTGCTATTTCATGGATCAAGCCTTGGTTGAAACATACCTCGTCCCGCTTGTAATAATCGCCTGCCAGCAACCTTCCCGAGTAGGCAGTATATGGACCGGGAAACATAGTCTCAATAAAATGATGTAAATTGTCGTTGCCAAGCCCGCTCCTTTCCGCCAGGGTGTGCCCCTCAGATAGTGTCTCTACCATGTTGAGAATGAAAGTGTTGCCTATGATCTTCAGCAGTGTGGCCTTCCCCTGCGGCTGGTCACTGAAATCGATATTGGCCCGACCCATGACACCTTTGCAGTAGGGCTTCACTCTCTCGACTGCGGACGCGGGACCAGCAAGGACGCAGACGAGTTGCCCATTGTCGGCCATTGCTGGTGCACCAAAAACTATTCAAGTGGCGCGTTAATGAATGACAAAGAGGTTAGACAAGCCTCTGACATCGTACCTGGGCATCTACACCATATTGGAATCAGCGCTCCTCTTCCAAGATGGACTCTTGAGTCTGAAAATTGAGGAGCAAGGACAGGTGTCTCGCTCCTCAGACACCTTCTGGGACTCTGAAAAGGATTTGAAGTGGAAGCGATGAGTCAGAAGGGGAGCTTACGCCACCAGTTCCGCCCCTTGGTCGTGTATACTCTTGGCTAACAGATTTGTAGTATCAGGGTGAACTGTAGAGCAGTCCACGAAGAGCTTGCCTTTGACGTTACCCTTTATCGCGGTTGCAATTGTATCTCTGATAGCAGCATCGTCGCCCAGGCACGTGAAAATGATGTCTGCTCTGGACACGGCTTCTTCTAGGCCTGATGCAATCGTCGATTTCCCAGAAGGCAATGTTGCGTTCAGATCGGTGGCTCGCTTTTGTGTGCGGTTGAAAATAATAAGTGGCTTGTCGAGGTCGCCCTTCTCCACCAAATTCTTACACATACCCTTGCCTTGGGTGAGCAAAGCTCTGACGTACGAGGTATAGGGGACTAACCCGACCCATGTTTCCGAGACCAATCCATGTTAATTGAGGCGGCATCTTGATCAGAGCTTATATGAATACCGAGAGGTGCAGAGTGGGAAGTAAAAAGTGATGGAGAGTGATGGTGAAGTGAAGGGTTAGAGGAAGATTTAAGTGGACATGATGTAATTGAACGTCTACTGTCAGGCCCCACAGTAGAATTAAAGGTCGGAATATTCTGACATGTGAAGACGCTTGAGGCCCAGTATCAACGAGTGTCTGCGAAGACGAATCATCCCAGCTATTCACTTTCTATAATTTGGACAGCGAAGGAAGACAAACCAGAGGATGCTGCTGTAAGAGATTCCAGGTCGACTCACGCAACTCGAGCGATGGGAGAGATAATCCACAAACCCTAAGCGTCTCGGGTGCGTATCTTAATGGCTTGGCATTGCCAAGATTTCGATCTCTTCTTTTCCGCTCCGACGCACTTCTGCACCTTCAATTCGCTCCCTATAAGCCCGCCGCGGCCGAAATCCCCATGCACCATACTTATTGTACCATTGATATACCTTATCCCACCAAGGATGAGACATGAAAGCTTGCGCTAGGGGCTTGCAAAAGAGCAAGACCTTGCAGTATTGTACTGTAAGCTGCTCTTGAGCCTGCACTACCATTGAGCTGTCGTAGCGCAGCACCGACATATTTTACTGATTTACGTTCGTAGTATCGACCGGGCGGGCCCCTGTATTCAAGTATCAGGCACCCAAAACGGCGATTAACGTCGACATCAGGACCCATAACAGCATCTGGGAAACTAGAGGCCGTGCAAGCGAAGTATACGACTGATTTGACGGAAGAAGCAAGTAAACGCAAGCACGGAGACAACGTCGATCAGGTACGACTGTTGTCTTCTGGTCCTTATGCTATCCAGCTAATTTATTGCCAGGAACTCTTCTTGGACGTTCTTGGCTCTACGGCCACGAAACGCGAAGCAAAGGCTTACCTCTCGCGTTTCAGTCCCACAAAGACTGCTTCTCAGCAAAGGACGCAGCCTCCATCAAAACAGAGAGATGTGGGAGTCAACCTTGGGAGTCTATTTGTCCCAATCAGAGCCGTTGACGAGAAGGCAGTGTTTTCGCAAACAGCATCTCAAACTCCTTTTCGAAGCCAAGCTCCCGAGTCCCTCCATATTGCACTCCTGAAGATTCGAGCACCGCAATTGATTGACAATGTTACTTTACGGGGAGTTGGACATACGTTATCGCAAATTGCGAGGTTGAGCATGAGCCCTGTTGTGGTTGTGGATCACGAGGATGGGCAAAGAAGGAAGCCTCTGGATGCGGCTAAAATGGCCATTTACCAGGCGGACCGCATTGTTGAGGCAATTGGTGCATATGGAGGTCAAGGTGCACGACGACTAGATGGCGTCATTGATATATCATCGGTCGACGAGCAGCTCCTGCCCTCTGTGAGGATTAGTGGTGAAGTCCAGGTCGTCCACCGAGATCTGCTGATGGCACCACTTCGAAGAGGGATGATACCAGTCATTGCGCCTGTTGGGTTCAACTCGAATACGCAAAAGGTGGAACCTGTCGCAGCCAACGAGCTTGTTTTGGCACTGACTCGAGAATTTGCTGGCATTCGGAGTAGGCCGTTGGCCGAAATAGATACCCAGAAAGTGGTCGAGGAAATCCTGACGTTACAGAGGCAGATTTCTTTGGATCGTATTATTATTCTGGACCCGCTTGGTGGTATACCTGCGACAGAGCGAAGTCACGGCTCTCACGTTTTCATCAATCTTGAGCAGGAGTTTGGTGCGATCAGAAGGGACCTGCTAGTCGCCGGAAATGAACCACCCCAGGATTCTGAGAGCGTAGGGTCTGTTATGACAAAGGAAGATCCCTCCGGCGCTTTCACACTGAGCAACCCATTCTCCAGGTTGCTAGCGGACGAGGCTGCCAGAGCAACAAGCGGAGGCCAAGAGCAAGCAAGAACCTTAGAGGATGATCTCAATCGATTCAATATGCAAATGCACGTCAAAAATCTAGATTTGCTCAAGGACTCCCTTGCGATCTTACCGCCTACTTCTTCTGCATTTCTAACAACCCCTTATGCCGTCGCTAACTCTCAAAGCCGTCCACCACTGGCCAGCCAGGGCCCTAGAGTAAGAACTCGAAGACAACGCAATCCGCTCATTCATAACTTGTTGACCGATAAGCCTGTCTATTCCTCTTCTCTGCCCCTGGATCGTTCTCCAAATCCAGCATCACAGGCGCTATATCCCGCCATCACTTCATCTCCCGCTACTTTTTGCAAGCGTGGCATGCCCATCAGCATTATTCCAGATCCTCTCGAGCAGCCTTGGGCCCCTCCGTCCCTGTCAAACACCTGTATCGATCTTTCGGATCCGCGTATAGACCTCCCTCGCCTCATCCATCTAATCGAGGACTCCTTTAGTCGAAAGCTCGACGTCATCCACTACCTCTCGCGCATCCAAGGCCGTATAGCTGGTATTATAGTTGCTGGCGAATATGAAGGCGGTGCCATATTGACCTGGGAAACACCACCTAGCTTCCCTACTGACGATCCCAATCATATAGTGCCATATCTCGACAAGTTCGCTGTGCTCAAACGTTCTCAAGGCGCCGGCGGCGTGGCTGATGTAGTGTTCAAGGCCATGGTGCGCGAATGTTTCCCGAACGGCGTTTGCTGGCGCAGTCGGATAGATAACCCAGTAAATAAGTGGTACTTTGAACGCGCGAAGGGGACATGGAAAATGCCTGGAACGAATTGGGCCATGTTTTGGACGACCGAGGGAGTGGAGAGGGGGGATGAGATATTCTTGGATTACGAAGGGGTGTGCAAGGCTGTCATGCCAAGTTGGGCAGATAAAAAGGCGGTAGTAGATTAAAAAGAATCTAGACGCACTTTCTTGTTTACAAGTACACCGCTACCTGATATCTTGAACACCTACCTCTATGCAATTATGACTTTGCTGAAGATCTTAGGTGACATGAAGTTGTCAATCCCTCGAAATCTTTTCACTCTTCACCGTCTTCTTGTAAAGGTACAGTCTTACCCAGGTTGATTATAAGGTATACTGCAGAGACCCCTATCGCGCCGGCTGGCAAGCGTTTCCGTTTGATATCCATAGCAACACTGTAAAGTAATCCTTGCTCTTCAAGGCTCGAACCTTTTCCGCAAACGCTTACCCACCGGTGCGATACGGGGTCTGTAGACGTAGGCTAATTGGAGATAGCATGAGGTGCTCAGCAGGCAATGAGAGGCAAAGGAGATGACATAGCAGAGCTGGAGCTCACGGATGAAGAAGCAATTTCGAACAAGAGAGAAAGATAGGAGAAAACTGACAGAGGTGACTTCTCAAAAGTCGGCCGCTTGGAGGCCAGGAGTGAAGAGCATCGTCGCACTCGCTAGAAGTATCTGGACCGTTGTAGCCCAAAGGAGATATGCGTAGAACATTCGCACTTCTTCTCGCTCGTACATTTTGACCGACTTGGCTTTTCTCGGGCTGGAAAATAACACTTTCTGCAGCCAAGATCCAGTCAGTTGTATTTATGCCAGGTTAGCACGTTCTTGGCTCGTTGTCAAAGCATGGTCAGGTCGGCTCGATACTGGATCCGTACACTAGATATGGTGGTAGTGCAAAGACTGACTAGGAGCTCGTGGATCAGGGAGGATTCGCATACTCTGGTGTCAGGCTACCAAAGCAAGGTGGTTATTGGTTTCCGATGACCGAAGAAGGGCAATTTCTCCGGTATCAATGCTGAGGAGACTGAAAACAAAAGAAAAAGAGATGGAGGGAGGGAGGGATGGAGGGAGGGAGGGAGGGAGATATAGAGAGGGAAGGTGAGAAGGATGAAATGGTTGAAGGGGGGAAGGTGACTTGGTCGTGGTTTTATGATCGTCGATGTGAAGGTTCGGTAAATGCTCCCCGGTGCTGCACTGCTGCAGCCACGGGGCGCCCAGACGTCATCAGGATTAACGTTGGCCACTCAGATGGCGCCAATTTAACTGGGAAGAGTTCCAGACATTCGCAGACCTCAGCCTCTTTTTCCCTTGGACGATTATTAATTTTATAAGGCAGGTATCTGACTGGATCTATCTTTTACGTATCGCTTTCTCGCCTTTCTTTCTCAATTTAAGTACCGACTCTTTCTTCCCCATCGCGGCCATATCATTATATCTCTTTCGATGCAGGGAACGGAGGAAGAAAGATCAGGTAGAGTACAAGTACCGAGTCCAACTTTGCTACCTTCGTCATCATCTTGTTGCAAGGGAAACGGTCGCTGCGGCTAGCAGTCTAGAGTACCTATTCCATCGTAGAGTAGAAAAGTAGTACGGAAGTACATAGTAGTAGTACTGGTACCTCCTTCTCCTCCTCCTCCAGTCCAGCTGAGAAATTCCTTGAGGCGGCTCGTGCGTTCCTTCCGTGCATCAGCGTCCGCTCGACCAGTAAAACCGTTGCAATCCATCCTTCTATTCAACCACCAAAATTTCAACTTCCACATCCAGATTTCTTCCTTCGCACCCTACCTACCTCCACTCATCCTACTTGCTGCGAGGACACTCCTGCAACAACTCCAATCCTTCATCTCTCGGATTCCCTCGCCTTTCCTTTGCACTTGTTCATATTCCACACATATTCTGCCAACGCCACCCAAGATATATTGACCACCACGTCCTCAGAAATACCACTGAAGCTACCATCTTCTTCCAGCTCAACCGATCCCTCCCCTTTACCGGATCGTCTTGACTGTGTCAGTCCAATGGGATCTGAGCGTGGACTGTATTCCACTGCAGCACTCTTAGTCACTATCGGAAGCAGACACGAATAAAAAGGGAATACACTACGGAGTCCTTACGCCTGTTGACGAAAACGCTGGTATAATCCTAAGCGCCGGCTGCTCCATTCGTTCTTACCTCTTCTTCCCGAATTGCTATCCGTTCACGACATCCGAGACATTGATACCACCAAATTTTTCTGGGAATCTAAACCAAGAGTTGGGACCATCATCAATCCGGGGAATACGAGGCTTTGTATCCAGGAGAAAGATTCCGAAGAGCCGGGCAAGGAGATAGCATCAGAGCCTGGCCTTGTCCGTCTTTGCCGGGTTTCGTCCGCGTTTTGATTGCAGCAGCTGTGCGAAGCCGTTGCGGTCAAGCTGCAGCTGTGCGGTGTGCTAGCCTATTGTTGCATTCCGCAAACTTACCCGCTGTGAGACATTCTGGGGGCTGGGTGGTTTCCAGATTACGCGTACCTGCAAAAGGAGCGCTTTCCCGGACTGAATATACCTTTCGTCGCCAGAACTACCACCTCAAGACAGCTATCTGACATTGGAAGACAAGCTTTCTAAACCAGATCAACCCCCGTCCTAGAGCTTTCACCTATCGCCACAAGTCCGTCATGGAGACCACATTCATCTCAATACATGGTAAGTACAGCGTTCGATACGAGGTCCGCATTCTGGCTAATCCTACCTGATTAGATCTGTCCCTCGACGCTCGATTGCTCTACGTCTCATCCTCAATCGAAGATATTCTAGGATACACACCGCAAGAAGTAATTGGGAAGTCGTGTTGGGACTATTTTCATCCAGATGAGATCCCATTCGCCCGAGCTGTACATGGCCGAGGTATTAAGATGGACAAGGCTGCCGCGCTCAACTATTGCCAGATCAAGAACAGAGATGGCCGATGGGTAGGTTGCGAATGTGTCTTCACAATTGTACATGATGTTCTCGTGGGGTGTACCAGTGTCTACCGAAGAGGCACGAAAAGTGACAGTAAGTGTGGTCAGATTTGAACACTACTATTGTTGGAACTACACGGTTGCTGACTACTGCATAGAGCGAGCTAGAGAAGCTCCAGTCATACGTCGGCTGTTTTCATCTTCACCACGAGATCCTCGATACCATATGCTTTCATATATTTCTCACAAGTTTTCCAAGGAAACGCGGACTCTTACTCATGAACCTAGGGCGGCTTTGTTTCTCAACAGATTTTCTCGCACTCTAACCATAATGTATGCCACCAATGGTTTGGCCGACATTGTCGGCATCCCTGCCCAAGAACTCAACGGCAGAAGCTTCTACTACTGCATCCAAGAGAACTGCCTGCGAGAGGCAGTCAAATGCCTGGAAAGTGCGAAAGCCAATGACTCTATCGCCTACCTCCGCTTCTGGTTTCGCGATCCACGTCAGGACGATCAGGTGGATCATGATGAACACATGAGCGACGGTCACAGTAGCGGTGATGATGATGACGGCGGTGTAAACCTCTCCGAACTCATGGATCATGACGGGAGTGAGAACGCTGTTGCTAGCGACTCATCCCACTCGATGAGATCATCTGTTGAGCGGGATCAGGGTCGTTCACGGGACGGGTATTCATTGGATATCAATTCCCGGTCGTCATCTGGCAACAGCACCGACTTGGACGGAAACTCTAATGATGCCATTTTCGATCAACCGGCCGGCGGCCAAACACGGACCTCGTCTGTCTCCACCACGGATGAACGGATGTCGCCCGGGGCGTCATCCTTCATGCCAGACGCCTCTCACATCGAACTTGAAGCAGTGGTCTCTTGCACGTCTGACGGTCTCGTGGTCGTTCTTCGCCGGGCTAGACCTTCCATTCCCCATCTTTCCCAGTCGACGTCAGACGCCGCAAATCATTCATACGCGAACGGCTTCTTCGCGTCTCCGTGGGCCACTGACCCCATTTTACCAAACATGGGGGACAGGCCGTCCCAAAATCTACCCAATTTTTTGCAGCCCTCGCCAGTTGCCCCAAAGCGCCCAACGGCCGCACGTGGTGGAACTGCCGCGACGCATGGACCAGCCACAGAGGACTTCATGAATTCGATCCGTGAGGTTGCTGTTTTTGCTTGGGCTCTCACTGGTATCAACGGGTCGCTGGCACAATATACAAAGGGAACGCCAACTGGCGAGTCCCAGCCACCTGACGGATTACCCGTGTGGGAACCTCCTTCTAACGCAGGGGCTGAGGCCGAGCGACGGGATGGATATTTTGATAATGGCCAAAATTATAAGAACGTCCATGGTGACTGGCAAGGTCAGAAGGCTGAGAACACCCAAGGCTACCAGCATCAAAGCCAGAGTAGTGGCGGATTCAGCCACAGCAGCAGTGGTTTTCCACAAGGCTCTAGCAATCCGACACAAGCGACCGACTATAACCAAGCTTTGCACGCCAACGGCTACGACGATGTCATGCAGAACAAGGCCAATAATACTTTTGTGCCCAGCAATTGCCACATTGAGCCTATGCACACTAATGACTACAACGATTCTATGCAGATCAAAGGCTACGACAACCTTGTGCATATCAATGGGTCACAACAAACCTACGCAAGACCACGGTTACAATGATCCGATGCAGATGAACGAGCACCATGATGCCATGCGAACCATGACCCGAACAATGCTGCACACACCATTGACGCATCAATCCGAGCTTGGGAGGGTTGGGGAGCAGTAGGAAATTTGATTTGGAAACTGGACTAACATGCGAAGGAGGAGTTCGGTTATAGGATAGCACCGTGTGTACAAACATCCGGGAGAGTCGGAGCGGCGCCATCATAGCGCGGCGGCTGATACGAGTCTCGCAGAGTGGCCATGGTATTGGATTTATCATGAAGTTCGAGCTGGAAATCTTGAAAGGCCTGTTTGGGAAACACAGGGATTGAGTGGATGGTGCTTGATGAAGTGACAGATGAGACGACATGGCGCTAGATAATGAGGTTGTAGAAGTAGAGTAAATTGTCTCCAAACGCAGCGGTGCTTCGCTCTAGGCTCACTCAGGCTTGCACGAAGGAACCCGAGATACACTTATTTACACTGATAATTTATGAGCCTGAGTAAGTAAACGACTTATGTCTATCTTGCTGCCGTTTTGCAGTATTGCATTGGTACTATTTCGAATTTGAGTATCCTTGCTCAGCTCATCGGCTAGGAGGGTAAGTAAATATGAAAACTCGGGCTAGAGGCGGCTGCACCAGGCGGGACGAAGCGCTGGGCCAGTGCCAAGTGCCAAGTGCCGCAAATTTGATGACGATGATCTCCACACTAAGCACTGTAGTGGAAAATATCAATCGCGCGCCAGCAAATACTTGGACTTCTACTTTACTTATCACTCTCTGATCAATCGAACACTCCCTTACCTACGCTACCTTACTACACCAAACCCGCATTGTTTCAATATCTTGAATGGCGCAAAGAAAGGGTGGAGAAGCAGACTCGTACTACAACCAAGTGCCTGGCGGCCAAAGCAACGGTGGTGACGGGCAATATGCAACCCCTCCTCCCATGCAATATCCTCCTCAAGCAGCAAACAATGCATACCAAAGCAACTCCAACCCCAAATATCAGCAGCCTCCACCCAACTATGGTCAGAACTTCCAAAACTCCGGTTCCCCGTCAATGGCAGCAGGCGATGGGAAGCAAACGTTTGATCAGGTTTTCAAGCTGGGTACGTGATTTCGGACTGATTCCTCTCTATTCGGCGCTTTGGTCTGGATCATGAGTCATGTTTTGGCGGGGGAAGAAAGGCTTTTCCCCCAGCTATGCTTCTGAGACTGGTCTTACGATTCCAGTGCGTGCCAGGAGATGGGCTTCGTTTCCTTGTTCCTTTTCCAGATCTGTCTAAAAACTGGCTATCATCCCCTTCTCATACGTCCTAAACTTATATTATGAGTGGAAATATTTTCTTGAGATGGGCATGCTGACTCCGAAATTATTATCAGACAAACCCAAGTACAATGACGTTTGGGCCGGAATACTCGTGCGTCCAGTCTTGTTATGGTTGTAGACCACTTCGCACTCACTGATTCATTCAGCTCATTTTGACATTCCTCGGCTTCGCTGCCGTCTCTGGCATCTCTCTGCAGGGATATTCTGCAAACAAGGGCCTTAGTGGAGGTGGCATCTACAACGCTGGCAACAACTTCTCCCTAAACACCAATACCATCGTCCTATTCGTTTTTGTCCTCGCCGTCGCTTTGGTTCTGTCCTGGACATACTTCACCCTTGCCCGTGCATTCACAAAGCAGTTCATCTGGATTACTGGTATCTTAAACATCCTCTTCGGCATTGGCACTGCCATCTACTACTTTGTGCGACACTACTACTCCGCTGCAGTAGTTTTTGCTGTCTTTGGTATCTTCAGCATTGTATGTACATCTCAGAGCTTATTCTTCCTATTGCGGACGACTTTCTGAGCTGCAAGATTATCCTGGGGGTACAGAGCTCTTAATACCTCTTTGAGTTGTCTTGTTGCTCGGACTTCTGCCGCGAAGAAGGAATGCTCACTCCGATATCTTCATAGGTATGCTTCGTCACGTGGATCCCGAGAATTCCTTTTAGTGTGGTCATGCTTCAGCAGACAATGGATGTCGCCAGTACGTATTTTCGGAGCCCATATTTCCCCTTTTGGAGCAAGTCTTGAACCTTGAGACACGTCTCGGTGATCCAAGGCTCAATGTACCTCCTCGAGTAGGCAATACTGACTGCGGAATTCTAATATAGAGTCTTTCGGGCATGTCTTCCTCGTCAGCGCTATTGGCGGTATAGCTTCAGTTGCTTTTGGTGCCTGGTTTTCTCTCACTTTAGTCTCTGGTAGGTGATCATGCGGTATTACATTCCCAGCCCATGCCGCCATTTCATTTTCAAGGCGTAAGCTGAGAATTAAAAGCCCATCCTGTTGCCGGATCTTATCTTCTACTCAATCACTGTCTCAAAAGAGCAAAGGCTGACCCTGAAAAGTGTACGTGAAATATGAACCTTCCGGTGGAGGGTCAAACCCTGCTTGTGCCAGTGGAAGCAGTGCAGGTGGTTGCTCATCAGCCAAAGTGATTGGCTTGATCGTTTTTATAACCTTCGCCGGTACGCTCCTTATAAGCTATCCATTTGCCTCAAAGAAGGCTTACTGACTCCCAGATGCGCAGGATACTGGATCACTGAGTGGTAAGACTTACCCAGCCCCAAATTTCCCGTCAATGGAATGTTTTCAAGAGCGCCGAGAGATGTCCTGGGCGTCTCAAACAATCCAGACACATATCCCATGATTCCATCTCCCGGCTTAAAGAGAAGTTACTGACTCTTTAATTCTATTAGGCTTAAGAATACAATCCACTCCATCGTCGCAGGTATCTATGGCAGCTGGTTCTTCTGTGCTGGGAAGCCAGGAGGGATGCCAAGTGGTGCGACAAGGGGTGCAGCCAAGAGGGCTTTCACATACTCTTTTGGCAGTATCAGCTTTGGATCACTGGTCGTGGCTCTCATTAATATGGTGCGCCAGGCAGTCAGCATAGCCCAGCAGCAGGAGGCTCAGGGAGGGAATATGGCCGCCTCGATCGCGTTTTGTTGCCTCGGATGTATTATTGGATTGATTGATTGGGCTGTTCAGTAAGAACCTCTTGTACCATTTGCGAAGACCCCTACTGACCATTCAGATTCATCAATCGCTATGCATTCATACATATCGCCCTTTACGGCAAAGCCTACATCCCCGCCGCTAAAGACACCTGGACCATGATGAAGGACCGTGGAATCGATGCTTTGATCAATGATTGCTTAATTGGACCGGTCCTGACAATGGGATCTACGTTCGTGGCTTACACTTGTGCCCTTCTCGCGTATCTATACCTGCAGTTCACCAAGCCGGGTTATAACGACGGCGGAACCTTCACACCAGTGGTAATGGCTTTCTCATTCTTGATAGGACTACAGGTCTGTCAGATTTTTATGACGCCCATTGGAAGTGGTGTGGATACAATCTTCGTGGCTGCGGCATGGGATCCAGATGTTTTGATGAGGGATCACCCGGACTTGTACCAGAGGATGGTCAGGGTCTACCCGAAGGTGCAGCAGATGATCCATGCCTGAGAGGCGGAGCAGCGAGGTTTTGGATAGTGGCTCTTCTCCCGCGATGACCTTTTCTTAAAACACTCTTAATTCTCGTCACGGACCGGCGCTTCATTGAATAGAGAGATACCCGAGCATGCGTACACAGCGAGGTATGGGAGGAGGAGACTGCCGACGCAGAGACAAAGCAACGTTCATAGAAAACCCTTTTATAATCGATTGGAAAGACTCGCGACTTATGCTCTTACCCAATGCTTAAATTTTCAGAGCATTAATATGTACCGTCACTCATACCACTGAAGACAAGCCGTTTCTTACCTTAGAATCCCTCTCGATCTGGCTAGCGTACATTCGCCACACCAAGAGATATCAAAATCCCGCCCATTAATGTATGTTGTTCCTCACTCAACAAGTACACGTACAGTCCACCATAAAAATGTCTAAAATCGCTAAGTATATCATCTCCTTACCACTGTTGCTTATCAGGGGCCTTTCTGACATTCTACCAGCCGTCCAGACTGGGCCGACGATGTCGAAAATGACCTTGACGATCCCGCAACCCTACCTCCGCAAACCGTAACCACGAACAAGGACGGTACCAAAACGGTCACTTCCTACCGGTTCAACGACGACGGCAAACGGGTCAAAACCACTCGCCGCATACGCACCACCATTGTCAAAGAATTCGTCAACCCCCGCGTCGCCGAGCGCAAAGGCTGGGCGAAGTTTGGGCTCGAAAAAGGCCATGCCGCCGGACCGAGCTTCGACACCACAAGCGTGGGCGAGAACATTATATTCCGACCGAGCGTGACGTGGAAGAGAGACGGGAAAGAGGAGAAGAAAGTGGGGGATGACCCGAAGGAGAAGCTGAAGAACATGAAAGTCAAGTGCAGGATCTGTGACGGGGAGCACTTCACAGCCAGGTGTCCGTTCAAGGACACGATGGCGCCGATGGGAGAGGACGGAGCCGGTGCCGCGGGCGGGGCGGGTGCCGATGGGGACGAGGATGGGCCGCCGAAGGAGGGCGGTCTGGGTACTGGGGGAGGGGGTTACGTGCCGCCGCACCTCAGGAAAGGAGGAGCCGCCGGTGCCGGCGAGCGGATGGGAGGGAAGTACGAGAGGGACGACCTGGCTACGTTGAGAGTGACCAATGTGCGCCGGTCCAGAAATCCTCCCTTGCTTTGGCTTTACGCTGACGTTCGAACGTGTCTACAGGTTTCCGAGTTCGCGGAAGAGAACGATCTGCGGGAGATATTCGAACGCTTCGGCCGAGTCACGCGTGTGTTCCTCGCCAAGGACAGGGATACGAACAGAGCGAAAGGGTTCGCCTTCATCAGCTTCCAAGAGCGGACCGACGCCGCAAAGGCTTGTGAGAAGATCGATGGCTGTAAGTGCTGCCGCGTGCCAAACATTCCGCAAACGGCAAACATCGTTCGAGGCTTTCTGACATTGCTGTGCAGATGGCTATGGACACTTGATCCTTCGGGTCGAATTTGCCAAGCGAGCTGCCAACTAGAGCTACGGGCCGGTGTGCACGGACACGAGATAATGCATTGCTTGCTGTAATCAATGAGACGACCCTGCCGATGTCGGTCTGGCCGCTCCTTCTGATTTCTCCATCCGCCTCTCATGCTTTCTTCCCCTCGTGAACTTTCCTCCCGATCCCTACGGGTGATTCCGGCCGACGTGGACGTGGACAAATGCTCACGTCCATTCTCGGCCCCGCCGAGCTTCCGTCGGAGGCTCAGAATGAGGTGAGAAGGACCATGAGATAAGTGAGCCCTACGGCCCTCCTATATACGCATCAACAACAAAGGACCGGCTAGTTGCTGCTGCTGCTGCTGCAAAAATGGTTCCCGACACCATCGAGTGGCTCCTAACCACCCCTTCCAAGTATGCGATGCCACCAGGCCTTGTCTTCGTCCATGTCCGCGTCCGCGTCCCTTTACCTGCCCGTGCCCTGATTATTCTTCTGTCTCCTTGATCCTTGATCCGACTGCCTTTTGCTCTTGGTTTGTTGTCCGTGGTCTGTTGTGCGCGATCTGTGCTTGATGCCTGCTATCGATCCCCCATCGCTTGCTATGAGATCGTGATGCCTACATGCTGAGTAGGGCTTTGTATCCTCGTCCAGTCGTGCGTTCATTGCTGCGATTGACTGTGTGTGCGTACTATAATAGGGCCTTGGCTTGTCCGGTTGCGCTTCCGTTGCCCATTGAATATGTGTGTGTGCTTGTGTGTGTGTGCCTACGGGGGTCGAGATGTTGGAGTACTTTCGCTGAACGACTGTATGTGCCTATGGCTTCAGGCTTTTCGTTGCCGTCGGGGCCTTTCCTCCTGACTGTGCCTACCTCGTGCTTGGGCTTTGTACCTACGAGAGTAGGGCTTTCGGTTGCCGGTGGGGGCTTTCTCGCCTTGGATGTGGTCGTGGGCCTACGCCGTGGTAGGGCTTTCCGGCGAAATGTTCTCCATCTTCCCTGGCGGAAATCCTGCACTGTACCCTCCTGAAACCTAGTCCTTGACCCCTCTGAATATTGAATGCCTCAGCCGCTATCTCCCTTTGTGAATCGTGGTTGGTGTGAGAGTGTGTGCGAGGATTCTCAGTGCAATGTATACATCATTTTGTACACAAGGGATCCTGCCCCGCAGCTGCGCTGCACGGGCCCAGAACCTGTTGGACGCTTGGAACGAGATGAGAAGGATGATGAGGTATGTGCGCCTTACGACCCTAGTATATAGACATCAACAACAAGGAAAGGGTTAATCGTGGTAGTAGATATGGCTTCCAATTTTCTACATTTGATTCAATCCTGCCTATCGAGTCAAAGAATGTAGAGATGCTGTGCGTGAAAGATCAAGCACGGCTATCAAACGGCGTGTTGAAATGCCACAAAGCTAGGCCTCATCCCCGAGCAGCCGACAACTGAGACGAATGCTCTACAGGTTATTTACTTTGGACACTCTGGTTCCATTTTTTTTATATAGGGAGATTTTGCTGCGAGTGAAAATGCTGTTGAGGAAGAGGAAGACGAAAAGTCAGAACAAATCCAGGAGACTCAAAGACGATGGCTGTGTGGCCAGAGCCACAATGTGAGACCCAATATCTCGACGACTGGATTTTGAGGATCGTGTGAGACTAAAGGGGTCAGAAACGGATTTATTGATGCAGCTGGATGGGCGGGCGAAGGAAGAGAATTCGCAAGACCACAAGGAGGCTGTAGGACCGGTCATGTGTCAGGAAGACCAGTATGCGACATGAATGGTAAAGACTTATTAATCTCTCTTTGTTGTAGCTAACGGCCTTCTTTAAATACATCATTCACCTTCCTCCAAAGACGCAGATAGGCTTCCACGAAGACAACGACGTCGGCGAAATCGCGTTTAGTGAAGACGCCCATCCAATGTCTGATTAGATCTGTTTCTGAATCGAGGTACACCAAACGGGCAGATGGTGGGGAGGCAACCGACGGCTCCGGCTCCTGTGCATCGGAAGTTTCTTGAACATTTTCAGTTTTGTAGAATGATACGCATGGGCGAACCTATTGTCCGTAGGTAGATTGCCAGCAGTCCATCTCGCATTGCGCTGTCCATGAGTGGAAAGCCAAACGCGTGATCAATTCCCACGTTCTCACTCTCCTGTGCGATGATGGCTGGGGGTTAGAAGCTCAGAAATACCTCTTCATCTTTGTAGCAAAGATCTCTCTTTGATGTCGGGTCGTAATCCTCTCATGGCAAACTTCAAGGGATTGGGCAAGAGGCTGGCTTTGAATATTCTCTAGAATTGTATGGCCATTGTTCCTACCCCGAAAATTCTCAGAACTTTCAGAATTCTAAGTAAATTTCTCTATGATTTCGGTTGTTCCTCTGCCTGGGAGCTCTTCTTCCGGGCTTTCCCATAGCAAATTCGACTCGACTTCTTGCGGGACACTGAGCCGTGTGCTTCTGAGAAAGTCAGGGCATGCAGATCATCAGGTAGGAATGTGTCTGCACAATAACATGTCAGCCGTATCCTGAAAACTGCAACTGTAGGCTGGAAATTTGCCTGCTTCAAGGCCCGCGACGCTGTCAACAGTGTAGTTTCGAGGCCAGACTATACCACTCATCAAGACTCGCTGCGCACCGTGTGGTGCAGGGGCTACATGGCATCGCACTGCGCACACTTTCAATGCCTTATCTGTGTCGTGGTGTGTACGGTCAAGCATCGGATTTGCTGATACTCATTTCGCGGGGTTGATTCTTCGATTGTATCTTTGGATATCTTGAATGATCCGCCGTTACAGCCCAGAAATGTCCTGTTGTACACTCTTCGAGTTCGTCAGATCTCAGTGGACGTAGTTATGCCCTCAAGGATCTTCAATACACCTTGATCAAGCTGTCAGTACATTGACAATGTAACGATCTGATCTCACGGTGACACCACACTATCTCGTATAGTAAAGAGCCGAATAACACCGTACTCGTCAAGACACTGGCTGTCTCACTGGCTGTCACACTGGCTGTCACACTGGTTGCGCACGACACCACCGTGACAGCATGGCGGGCCTTGGGCTACCTCAACATATGCTCAATACTTGGCAGCTTTGGAGCATAGGACGAAGAGAGGCGACAAGATGGGATTGGAGCGTAGGAAGTCCGAAAGTTTGGTATGCCAAAATACAAAGCCGGCCTGGCATCTGGGGAGTGCTGGGGCAGAGCTCGAGCCTAATTCTGCTATGGAAGCAGATTCTCCATAGCTTGGTAAATTGAGAGAAGGGGCCCGTGTTGGGACAGCCAATGGCAAGAGGTGCGTCTAGTTAGTGTCAACGGAGGAAAGGCTGGAGACAGGTCAGCGGATGGCATCTAGAGCATTCCAAGGAAGCAGAGGATGAGCTCGTCTAACGGTCTGCCATCCAATAAATCGCTTAACGAGACATGGTGAAGAGATCAACGGGTAATGATTGCTAGACCATCCCGGACGGTGAGCTCAGCGGCCAGCGAACAGGTCCAGCTGAGCTCTGCGTTGGGCTTCACTTGATCAATGTGCTCCAGGCAAAATGAATACGTGCCAATGGTTGTCCGATCCTATCCCGATTCCTATTTGCCTCACCCTCTGGTGCCTCGGAATAGGCCTACGCACCAAAATGATAAGCTGCATACCTCTCGGCACTAGAAGATCCGTCTAGTCTCGGTAAGATCAAAACTTGATGTTGCCTCCAGGCTTACCACCACCATCGCATCAATCCCCCTAAGTATGCATAGTCCGTGCAGCTCATCAAACCGCCGATCGACGGGCTCCTAAACTTGCTCCCGTACTTGTTCGGCTTTCCTACAGCCGTGATATCTTTCGTAATGACTATGGAATATACTGAGAGGGTGTCGTTCGCTTCAAGGCAAATCTTGTGGGAACAGTGCGCTAACACTAGTGCTTCCCTTGATTTAATCTAGAAGGTTGCAGTGACCTCGAGTGGCAGTCATCGCAGCGGGGCTATATTGAAATCTCACTCACTGACGCCGTGATGCGCCTCACGCAGCCATACTTAGGCAGGTGTCAATATCAAGGGGCCCGGGAGTGTGAGACGACTCCTGCCTATACATCCATCTTTCGTACCCTGATACATGGTGACCTGACTCGCTAGCAATGATTTAGCAGTGGCTAGAATCGGAATGAGAATCAGGAATACGGGAGGCTAGCCTATGTGAATAGCCGTTGGTTGATCGTGACTCTTCAATCCTTTGGCTTGGCCGAGAGCTTCTGGGTGCAGGTGTGCAGGAAAGAGGCGCTATCTGAAACCCTTCTTCCAAGGACATTTCTCCAAGGTACTGACTGTCCCTTAGCTAAGGTATCTCGGACTCGGTAAAGTAGACGCTGGGTAATTTGAGCTACGAATACTAAAGTAAGATACCTTACTTTACCCTCACGGCCGGAAGCACCAAACCCTCATTTCAAGACGTCTCAACGCTTAGTGTAGAGAGACACTAAAGCACAGTGCGTGACCGATGGCATCATTTGCCCATTTCCAGGCTACTTCCGTCATCAGTCATCCACCAATCTGCTTTTGAGCCAAATAGCCGAGAACCGCGTAGTATTGCATGGACTTAAAAGCGCTTGTAGTCACTGTCCTGAGGCAGCAATGATTAAGAATTATGGAAAGTCGATGGCAGATACGCCTCAGTACGAGCATGGCGAAATTCTTAGCTTTTTTTTTGTTTTTTTCTTTTTTTGGAGATGGGTAATTAACGAGGGATGAAGGATGTGGGATGAGGGATGCGTGATGCGTGATGAGTGATGCCATCGATGCGGGTCAAGGAGGACTGGGTGGCGGGGATCGCACGAGCAGGATATAGAACCAGGGTGGAAGGCGGGTAAGGTAGCTAGGGTGCGTGCGGTGCTAAGATATAAGGTAGGTAGATCTATTTAGGTACATGTACTAGTACCTTAGGTGGGGCGAGGGTTGGGTGAGAGTGATCGGATAACAGGAAACAGGATACATACTCTAAAAGAAGACAAGGACGGTGCGGGGTAAAATTATCGTGGTGCGATGGTGTGGTGGTGTGGGTCCCGCAGATGCAATCATGTCTTTCTTGCATTCACCTTTTACATTGGCTAAAAATCAACCTTGAATTAGTGGTGTGCCATTTGTGACTGTGAATGTCCGGTAATCATTACGAGAATGCGGCGCTGCTGAACTTGTTTGAACTTGCTGGAGTGCAGGGGGATGAGATGATGTACTCACAAGCATGGCTGATGATTTGCCTCGTCGCAATCATTGGGAGTGAGAGAATGTGAGAACTGGAACGATCATGCTGCTTATTTCTCAGAGCCCACTTCATGCGGCAAGGTCACATGGCGGCAACGCTAGGAGAATAGGAGAATAGGAGAGTAGGAGAAATCCATCCCATCCTTGAGATATCGGCTGCACAGAAACGATCGACGGTAAGATTCCTTCCCTACGGAGTATGCATAAGCAACGGAGGGACAAGCCAACTGGTGCCTTCGTGTGTGCTGTGCGCCTTGAGTCAGTCAGTCAGAACGGTTTGATATTCGTGGCACGGGGGCACAAGATATGAAGCTTCTTTTGATTTGTCTAACTTCTCAAATCTTACCCCCAACCACAGACACTCTATTCCACCGTTTCATACTTACCATTTCCCACCACTTCACTTTCCATCATTTCTAAAGTATGTGGGAACCTTTTTAGGTTGCCTTGCCTCGGTTCTGTGGGCAGGGCCGCTGCTGCCGTCCACTAATAAGGCAACTACAAAAGTATCTACTTATAATCTAAGCTAAGGTACTTTAGACCCAGTCAAAACATCTGCTAGTGAGTTTACGGCAAGGAAGTACTAAGGAAGCACTAAGGAAGCACTAAGGAAGCTGAGGTGCAATCGCTATATCGAGGGCAATCGCTATAAGATGGGTTTGTTATGGATGGAAGTTGAGTTACAAATCCTTATATCCATCCCTGCTTGAGTCAGATCAATCCCATTACAGTTCCCTGCTTGAGTCAGATCACTCCCATTACATTTCTCTGCTTGAGTCAGATCAACCCCAATACATTATGCAGTAGTCCTCAGGACAGTACGACTGTACCTACGAGGGTAGCAGTAGCCGGCACACGGGCAGTGTCCAAGCAATTACCATCCTCGATGACTTAGGGGTAGTAGTATCGCATTCATGCGTGCCTTAGCGCAAGCCCTAGTCAAATATAGAATAGCAGGTAGCAAGGTGTACCAATATACCTTATGATCTTTATCAATTTGCGAACATTCCAACCCCATTCACTCCACCATGCGGCCTGCCGAGAACGATTCGTCCGTAAGACTGGATGAATGGCTCGGAGAATTGGTTGATGGCTTCACATATAGCCTGCTGCATGTAACCTTCCCTCCCCCACCAACGGAATCGTGCTGGAAGCCTTGATCAGCAGCCTCTATAACGAACCCCTCAACGTTCCCAAGCCGTATCCTGCATCTGCTCAACACTTTAGCCGCTAACTTCTTGCCCAACCTCCCAGAGGCGCTCAATCTTATGAGGGGTCATGCATCTCACGCTTGCCACTCATTCAGCTATCTTTAGTGTGCCTCGATGGGGTGACAGTGTGCGGTATCATGTAGAATTACCCTCCTGGCTCCTTTCCCTGGCAAGATCACGGTGCTAAGGCTAGACTGCCCATCTCGACCCAGGCCTATATAGAGACCACCCTTCCCCACTGCACGATAGAAATCATCATCAGTCCAAGAACCCAAACCCCTTTCAAAAATTTCTCTTCTTTCAGTGGCTTTCTCTGTCGTGGCTTCCGAAGACATACCTGTCGACCCTCCATCTTTCTTCCAACTTCTCTTCTCTACACCCGCCTCCCTCACCCTCTCACAGGGAGTCGACTCCCGTGGGAAACAGCACAACATTCTCTGGCCTAGTCAACGCCGACCCTTGATCAAATCACCAAGGCGTTCATACCTGTACACAGGATTTCAGCAACCCCGTCGTACCATTTCATCTTGCCAGTGGTCAGACCGAGAGACTTCACTTTGCATTTTCTTTTGCGATATCTTCCAACCAGCACATCGGAGCCTTGGCCGTAGCCATGGATCGTAAGTCTGTTCCTACTGCTGAGAATTCTGTTATCACATTGTCTTGAAAACTTCTAAGCACATACCACTATCGGTACACACTGCGCCATACTTGCTCTCTGTCAAAGTGTGTCATCCACTGCTGTGTCTTTTCGTAAGATTGTACTATCGCATCAGGCAAGCTGCCAAGAGAAGTGATAGTCTGAGGCGCCAAACCCTCTCATTCTCACGTCGCTGTTCGGTTTCAACCCGACTTTTTTTTCTTCAAGCAAGACAGAGACCATCCGAGAAAGAGCATTAGACAGCACAAAAACTTTCTCGTTGATGCTGCTCTGATCGAAGTTTTGAGGATGTATATGTCTTCACCTGCTACTTTTTCTGACATATTGCCTGTGCATTCGTGTCTGCCTGTAACGTCTGGGCAAGCCATAGTGATCTCAGGTCTTTCGTGGCCATTGCAATATGCGTGCATGGCCTGGCGTTCTGACAGTATCTTTTGTACTTCAGCTGGGAAGAAAGAGCTAATGTCTTCCATTCCAGCTACTCAGAATAACTTCCCACACCACGGTCACATCAAAGACGAGCCAGTTCATATGTACAAGCAAGAACCTGTACAGGAAATGCGTTTGGCGGCAATACAGCCGGAGCACGGAGCAAGATGGGCAAACTCTCTTCAACCCGCGGGATTGAGGCAAACTTTGTAAGTCTAACGCAGAGAGTCATTCGACACTTCGATCCGGTTATGATTTCATCCCAGCACCCACTCTTTCTGTATCCATACAACTTACATTTTTTCCCTTTGTTTCGGTCTTGAATATATGCGAGTGCGTGCGAGTTTCGTCGTCCATCGTTTGCTCATCTTTTCCCTTTTGCATTATACGAGTCACATAGACACTTTTCACCTTTGAAGTGCAGGCCATGGTTCCTTTGTCCTTGCGCAATTTCAACTTAGGTGCTTGCACTACTTGAGGATACACTTGCAACGAGTCAGACCGCCATTGTCTCCGAAGCTAATAAATGGCCACCAAGGGCTGCAAGCTTCCACGATGCCCATGACATGGGCATGGGAAGAAACCGTATCCATGCGGTATTGAACGAAGCTTCGTCTCCTTTACCACACCAATCAGCGTCAAACGGAAACACTTTCCACATACCCCCATTTCGGTGTTTGGCAGAGACCGCTGGTGCAGGTGAATACAATCTGAGCTCACCATCAATGATGCCGGTGATGCAAGCGAGGCAAGAGGATCGATATATGCCTCATTATCTGTGAGTCCTGTCCGTCTTTTGCTCCTGTCTCTGCTCTATTGTGTGCCACTCTGATGTCCTCATAATCTGAATCAATATTTTGTTGGCAAGGTTGCAAGAATTCAGTGAGCTAATGCCTATCGACGGAATTAGTTGCCAAGCTCCTCCCCACATGCCCCCAGATGGTGCTTTCCTGAGTTCGAACCATCTTCCGCTGCGAAACCCAAGCCGGCCGGCAGGACAATGCGATCTGCCACGTTTCTCTCTTCAGGGAAGTGCTTATGCGATTGAGAGTGGACTCGGGTATCCCCTAGACATGCCCCCTCCGCGTGTACGCCCTCATACCCTGGATCCGAGCAGACTACTGCATAGGCAGAGTCCAATGCCCAATCTACGAGCAGAATCCGTTAGCGAGTCTGAATTCGAGATGGACGATGCAGGGGAATCTGATCGCGCTTGGGGCCAGCAACTCGACTATGACGATGCAGCTGGTTGGGGAAGACACCCGGACACCATAGGATTGGGTGCCCCTGGCTTTCGCGACACAAAGACCAAGGGAGATATGCGCGATGCTGCGGGTGTGCGAGTGCGAGTGAAGATGAGTTCAAAATTTGTGTTGAAGAAAAGGGCCGCGAGACAGCGAGATTGCTGGATACTTTACCGCCGGAATTATTTCGGCATTCAAAGTTCTTACAACTTGCAACCCATCACAGACTCATCCCCGGACGAAACGTTATTTCTCTATCGTAATAACCACAAGCCGGAACCCATCAAAACCCTCTTGATGTGCATGAGAGGTGTAGTGGAGACAGAGGAAGGGTCAGAGATCAAAATCGTGGTGTTCAACGCGAAACGGAAACCACTGCATGAAGGAAAAGATCCTCCACAAATCGAACCCAAGAGAATGAAGCCACTCGCAGGCTCCAATAGACACTATACAAAGTCCACAGGCGACCGCCAAGACCATATAAACGTGCCCATGAACCACACCTTTCATAGGAACCAGTTCAGGGCTGCAACGCAAAACAACGGGGCGAGAAGAACAGAGCAACAATTCTACCACATCCTTATTGAGCTCAAGGCCGAAATCATCGTCGATGGAGTCTCAAGACTATTCACAGTTGCCTCCCAGATGTCAGAACCGCTCGTCGTACGGGGTCGATGTCCCTTGTCGTTCAAGGAAAAGGACTGCAAGGACGGCGACCCTAACCGCAAAGGAAGGAAACGTCCCCGAGACCGGGATGGAAATGAGAAGAAAGGGGGCTCAACCACGCATAGCCAGAAGGAAGGACAAACGAAGGGAGCAAGCCGTGGTTCCTGTAACAAGACCGGCGATAGCCACCGGCGATCCACTCGGACTTCCTCCCATCTCACAGCGTCACATACCAGTGTTGATGGAGAGGGTAGTAGTGGGGATCGACTGTCCATCGGGTAGGGACTAGACAGCATATTGCTACTCTGGAGACTCGACATAGGCGGCCTGAGGTTCCCACGAGTTTGAGGCTGGAACCCAATGATCCGTATCGCTAAGGCCACAACCGAGGTCGATGAGTTCTGTAGGCCGAGATCAATGCACCCTCTTCTTCCTGGCCACACTCAACCAACGGGCCTCCATCTTGCCATATCAATTCCTTGGAGACAAACATGCGTCTTGGATCCTGCTCAGTCACTGGTTCTTACAGTCTCTATAAAATCTTGCAATTCTCGAACATATCAGGCTCCATCAACATTGACTTCGAACCTAAAGATCCCGACAAAGATAATGGTCAACCTGCTATTCTCCGCCTTTCCTCCAAGAGTGGCTCCTCACGCGTCTTGAGATCAACAGTCTCGGTTCCCACTCGTGACTAAGAAATGGCAGTCAAATCGCTCAACGGTGGTATAGACCAATATAGCCCCCATACCTCCGCTACTAACCTCTCATGCAACTGGTACTGTCAACAGGGAGGTCAGTCCCCGCAATGACCGTACATTGGCTCACTCTTGTACAATGTGTTTGGATGAGGATCAGCCGTGGGAAATGAGCGCACTCAATCTCGCAGATCCGGTGTCGGTAGCAGTCTCAAAAGTAGCATGCCGAAGGTGTTAATGCGGGCTTCGCTCCTTACAGCATGACCTTGGATGGGTAATCACGATAGCGTATGATCTGGTGCATCCGGCAAAGGAAGCCTATTAGATGCTACGCGTCGCAATCGGTGGAAGCCCGGCCAAGCATGTCGCTCCATGACGGCACCACCAATCTCACGGCTCGACCACCTCACAGACTGGCTTCCGATTTCTCATGCAAGCTTTTGTAATTCTCACACAACAGCAATGCATTTCCCGCAATCACCTACCCATCGGATTGTAGCTCCTGGGTTTCACGATTAGACGATCTTATGACCCAGCGATCTAACGACTCTGTTTCCTGACGCTCGACACAGGCATGCGAATTGTCTTTTGAACAGCATAGCATTGGAGTTTCGGCGCAGACGCTTTTCGCTTGAATGGCATCAGAGCAGTCACCTGCAGATTCGAAGACAGGTTGCATGTCTGAGGTAATGTTTGGCTATTGAATGTACATATAGGTCCTCTAGATAGTATGATGAACGTGTATATAACCCTGCCTCGTGCTCACATTGCGACAAAACAAGTAGAAATGAACGAATAAGCTGGCACGTCTGGCAGGGCAGGAATCCCTGCTGTGATGACAAAGCCGGGCTACGGGCTCCCACTCTCCCACTTCAGCGTCATCAGGTGGGATTCTCGTATGATCCTGATTTCACGCTCGACATCTTTTTCCAACAACAGCTGCAGGCGTGAGTTGAGTAGGAGTAGCTATTCGGAGTTTTTACCGTTGTCGGTTTCAATCTTCCAATTTGACTGCCAAGAGTTGAATCATCCTCAACATTTTCGTGAGCATTCAATTGCATTATTGCTGAAGGACATCAATCATTCGACCGCCTGATTCTCAATTAGCAGAGACTGTGCTTCCACCTGCTTCTCCATCTCTAGAATCAGTTGCCATGTCACGCTATGGTGACTACGGAGGAGGTGGTGAACGCTGGAACGCGGAGCGATTCAACCGTGAACGAGGCGGACGTCAAGTGATTGAGCGTGACCGTTTCGAAGAACATGAACGCTATGCACCACCTCGAGCTGGTGGCCGAGAGACTGCTGTCGAAGAGTTCCAATCCCCTCCTCCTCGTGTTGCGCGTGGTGAACGTTTCGAGGAGAGAGACCGCATTTTCGAAGAAGAGAGATTCGGCCCACCTGCTCGCAGGTCAGTGGGCAGACAGCAGCGCTATTACGAGGAGGAGGACATCGATACCTTTGAGAGTAGTCCCAACAGGGGGCCAGAGCCACTGGGCCGAAGGGGCTACGAGGCGACGCGAGCGCCTCCCAGGCCAGGCATAATCCGTCGACAGAGCAGCCTAGACACCTTTGATCGGAAGCCGCTACCTAGATACCCCAGGGAACCACCTGAGGTTATTGCCATGCCAGCTCCCGGTAGACGCAGGAGAAGCCCACCCCGATACGAACGAGATTTTGAAGAAATTAGGATTGCAGAACCAGACTATTACGGCGATGAAGAGTTCAGAGGATACAAGGAGAGAGAAGTTTCTACGGTCAGAAGGAGGAGGGGTGCTGAACCCGAGTTCGAAGAGAGGGAGAGTTTTGAGGTCGAAGAAGAAGAACCCTTTCCAAGGAAAGGCAAGACTAGAATGCCGGGGAAATTGGTGAACAAGCGAGCTATTATAGAGCTAGGCTATCCGTTCGAAGAAGAGGTAAGCAATGGTTTCGTCAAGAATATAGTCAAATTGATTGATCTGTTTTGTTTAGGGCGAAATGGTCATCATCTTGAAGGCTTTGGATAAAGAGCGGATTGATGAAGTTATCAACGTCAGCAAAGAGATGAATCGTGGCGCAAGTAAGTCAAATCTTTTCCCATGGTCTCTCGTCATTCCCACTCATGCGAAAGCCAGGCCGCACCACATACATGATCGAAGCTCCGCCGCATCCACCAGAGGAAGTTATTGAGCGACGCGAAATCGTCATTCCAGAAATCATGCTTCCCCCACCGCCATCCGAAGTGCCACGTTCAGTCCGCGAGTGGGACGTTATGGGTGGCTCTATTCCTGGCGGACATTCCGAGCATGGTGGCGGTCATTCCGAGCATGGTGCGAAGTCTACTCATGGTGGAAAGTCTACTCACGGCGGAAAGTCTACTCACGGCGGAAAGTCTACTCATGGCGGGAAATCCACGCATGGCGGCAAGTCCCACCACGGCGGTGGTAAATCTACGCACGGTGGCCATTCAACCAAAGGAGGCCATTCGGTCAAAGGCGGCCACTCGACAAAAGGCGGCCATTCGACAAAAGGCGGTCATTCAACGAAAGGCGGTCATTCAGAGGAAGGCGGCGAGTCCGAAAGCGAGTCCAGTAGCAGCAGCAGCAGCCCCTCTGAACCTTCGGTCATAATTGAGAAGAGGTCAACCCGCAGCAAATCTCGCCATCGATCCAAGTCGGTCGGGCACGGCGAGGTCATAGAGGAAATTGGCGAGTCAAATGCCATGCACAACGGTCCTTTGGCCTTGGTCCTTCCTCACCGTGAGAAAGAGCGCAACAACAGCAGAGACGAGCGTAGCATTAAGGCTGAGATACGAGCCCTTGAAGCGGAAAAGAAGAAGCTGAAGATCGAGAGAGAGATTGAGAAGGAGCACAGAAAGGAGAATAAGTATGATGAAGTCATCATAGAGAGGCGTGAGAAGGATGTCAAGATTGAGAAGGACCGCAAAGGTAACCTGAGCTTTGTACGGTGATTGGCAAAAGACATTGAGCTGATCAACCTCAAGCGCCTGACTCGAGAGTGATGAAGGCCCTGTTGGCGACTCTGACATAAGTCTTTGCCCGCCAGTGCTGTCAATCCACTGCCGAAACCTATAATCCGACCACTCCATGATGGGTCGCAATAGCAAACACCACACTGTTGCGTTGACGGGATAATGAAACGCCCGGAGAGCATTGGCGTAGGTTCTCTTTCGTGATCGCCTTTGTGAACAGCGATGAATCCTCATGAGCTTTGATCTCCAGCCGACATGTCTCGTGGCAATATCCAGTCTGCGAGACTAGGTGAATTGCTACCCTAGGCTGGCATTTGATATTTAAATTATGCGATAGCAGTCTGTTGAATAGAAATGAATGCATGAATGAATTCTCATGACCGTGACCAAAGTATCATATATTAGAAATGATCAGTAGACGTCCTTCTCGTGAGTGCGAGTACTCTGCCTCAATCCCACATAGATTAGGCTATTTATAGGGTTAAAGTCGGCGAATATTTGTTCACTTTCACAACAGCAGATTTTCATGGATCTCTAGGGATCTAGGGAATACAGGAGCAATGATGTGAAGATCCTCTCTAGGGCATTATGCCAATATGTATCGAATGTTGCTATCCCGTCTCTCAGCTCTACCACGTCCTCCATAGCCGAAATCACAAAGCCACCGCTCCGCCTGTCTCTGACCCAACCCGCAAGAAGTCCACCTCAAATCTCTCAAGCCCACAGAGGCCCGTTCCCAACGTACCAAAGGTTCCGGAAAAGAAGCTCAAGACTACGAACACTGGATCGGGTGGAGACGTGAGGTTGACGCAATGCCCGCGTTGCAAGCGCTTTGCGGACAAATATGTCGAGCACGACTTTGTAGTATTGTTTATTGATCTGGTGCTTGTGAAACCACAGGTAAGCAAGATTTGACTAAAGAAGAGGAAGGAGAAGAAGAATAAGAAGTAGAAGAAGAATAAGACGATCAGCCTGTTGACGTTTGTTTGTCATCAGTTATGCTGGCGTTTACTGAGAGTGCTCAAGGCTAACGATCTGACAGGTCTACAGACACCTTTTGTTCAATCGCCTCTCTCGTGATGATGATGAGCTCGACGTACACTTTTCTCTACCAACACCTTGTGAAAAACTACTAATAGCTTATATATCAGCCCTCCATCACCCGCCTCGGCACCCTTCTCCTCCTCTTCGACGTCTACCTTACCTGGTCCCACATCGAATCCTTTCCTCCATCCCTCACAGCCAGTTCGCCAATCCCAACGCTCCCCGTACTCCTCCAATACGCTTTCTACTTCTTCCTCTGTGCCTTCACCACACTTTCTCAGCACTTGACCATCCGTTGGCTGGCTATTGTTTGGCGGCTTGGTGCCACAGCAAAGGATGAGCATAGCAATGAAGGCGGCCCCAGCGTCAATTCTGGTGGTAACACCATCGCTCCATTTCCAGCTCCGCCGAAGAAGCCAACCCCTAATTCCATCTCGACGGCTCTGTTTGTCAGCTCCTGCCTGTCCTTATTTCCCATCTTGATGGATGTCTGGAAGTATGGTGATACATCAGAAGCCACGAATCCTACCACGACCACGGAACCACCACTCAACAGCTCCAGCGTGACATTTGTGTTTAGCTTCCTCTCCACGCAAGGCGGAGGCGTTGATTGGGTGCGACGAGGTGTTGCATGGGCTGTTGCTGTCCAGAACATGGAGGCGTTGAGGATACTACTGGGATGCAGATATTTGACAGCTTTGGGCTTGGTAGCTGCTGGTGGAGCGGTAAAGTGGGTAGTCAGAAGTATAATATTGGGAACTGTTGGACTTGGAGCCGAAGGATGAAGGGACAATATGACGAACGGCCGAACACCAAACCCAAATATTCTCCGGCAATTATCGAACCAACGGCGTCATCAGCAGAATAGCCCATTGCGTTGAACGTGCACGCGCAGCGATACTCACAGATGTGCTGTCTGCAAGGCTGGAGGACCAGCTCTTCAGGACTTGAAGCCGTTTCACTTCAAGCTCGAGACCAACCGAAGAACTACCAGACGAAGTGAGATTTCTGACGGCAAGCAAGGACTAGCTCTGAGATCTCGAGTGCACTCAGAGAAATTCAGACCAGATGCTTATGCTAGCAAGAGAGATACTGACTAGGATGCTATCAGTATGCTCTTGCTGCGAAGCTGGATGAACCTGCGTGAATTCATAGGCAAATTGTATGGGATATAGAAATTGATGGTGGTGGTTTCGCATGCGGAAAGGCTTTGAGCTCGGTCTTTGCTTCCGCGTATGCACTCCCAAGGACCTGAAAACCATCTCTGGTGTGAGATGCCGTCGCAATGCATTGATTGGAAATAGCAGAAGTATGTGATTCAATTGGTAAAGCGGCATTCCAAGGTGCATCGTTCTCTAAACAACGCCGGCTACGGTTGCTGTTGAACAAGCTGGAGTGGACAGAAACTGCACTGGACAGAAACTGCAGTTTGTGTTCGTAACGGAAAATGGACCACAGCCCATGGAAGAAAGAATCAGTTTTCCTCCGGTTCGATTCCCCGTTTCAGGGGCCCATTCAACTGCCATCACGGCTCTTCCTATCGAGGATCTGGAGTTAGCATGTTCATTCAAATGTAGTCTTACAGTCAGATACTATGTCTGGAGCGTTTAATATCCCGCAATCTTGTCTTCCAATACTGAACCCTCCCTAAACTGCGAGAAACCAACTCCGAAGAGCAGCTTACCTATAGCTCGCCTCTTGCTCAACCTGAAGCCCGTCAACAACAGGTGCCAGCTCGCTCAAAATCTCGTAGGCCTTTTTGTGATATTCCAGCTGCGCAGCGATAAGATCCGCGAGGTTGCGTAGAGGCTCCGGCGTGTCAAGGACCTATCATCGACCTCTATGTCAGCAAACCCGTAGTTGGACACTCGTCCATGGGAGAGGGCAAAGCGCACATTCTTCATCACACCCACTGCTTCCTCGGTAACCCCCACAAACTCATCCTCCTTCCTCTCCACCTCAGCTCTATGCTCATCACTCATCGGCAGATCCTCCTCCCCCTTTCCACCCTTCCCCTTGGCCTTCGTAGCGTCGAGCCCCAACCTCGCATTCTCCACACCCCTCCTCGCCCTGGTTGCAAACATCAAATTCGTGTTCAGCGTAGTGCTCCAACCTGCCAAGAATCTCTGCTGAATCTGTTGGTCTTGCGCCAAGCGGGCTTCTCCCACCTTCTCGCTCGCCAAGGCATATCTCTCGAGAGCGGTAGCTAGTGGGTCTTCGCCACTTGACGAGGATGGATTGGTCTGGATGAGCAACTGACTGCCGGCGAGGGAGGCGCGAGCGATAGCATGGGGGAAGGTCTTCGGCTGGGGCTTTGCGCTAGGGGGAGCGGTGAAAGCTGCTTGGGCTTCGGCGGGGGATTTGGCGTGGGAAAGGAGGTTGACTTTATCGGTTATGGTACGTCCAAGGTCGTTGAAGGACTCGCGGATGTTGGGAGGGTAGTCATAGGCTTCGTTTGAGTATTGCGAGCTTCGTAATTATCAGTGGGGAGTGGACGGTGGGTATTCAAGGTAGTCCAAAGCATACGTGACTTGAAGAAGCTTCTGGTGTACCTGTTTGAGGGCATCAACGCGCTTCTCGAGCTCGATGTAGTCCGGTGGGAGCTCAGTCTAGATAGGATATTTCAGCTGCGCTGACAACATTCACACAGCTCTTGAAGAGTCTTGGAGGAGGGTGGTACCTTGTCGTCAGCAGTGCCTAGCTGCTCTTTGACGTACTGTTGAGTCCGAGCAGCGAAAGGGGAGAACGAAGACCTGCCCACTGTTTAGCTAGCCAGACAGGACTAAGGGGAGCCCTTACGGATACCCACGTTATGTTCTTCCCAAAGGCTTGGAACTTGTCCATCGTATGAAACTGGCTATGCTGCTGAAGATTATGTTGAGAGTATGAACATGCAAACGTTGAGGAACTGGCTGTGTTTTGAACCTGTATTTTATTACATGTGATACTGAGCAACTACGGAGTTGTTCTAGGGCAAATTAGGTGGGAGACTGGAAAGCACCACTGGTGCCACGGGTACTATCATTCACTAACATTCATTATCATTCTCAGTCTTCTGTGAGAGGAGTGTTCTTTGTTCCGTCTAACATTAACCTATGTAATTACAAGAAGCGCTTTGACCATGCTGTAAGATCCAGTAATATCTGTCATCGTAGGGAGACAACAGGTGAAGAAACTGCTGGCGCCATATGCGAGAGAAACGCCAGTAGAACGGAGTACGGGTACACAAGAGGTCACAAGATGAGAGGCTTCAATGAAGACAAGGATTCAAAGGAAGAGTGCTTTTTCAACGTGGTACCCTACGGCTTTTTCTCGCCTTGGCTGTTACCTTGTTGGCCCTCTGGTGGTGTCTCTCCTGCATTGCCCGGTGGTGGTGTCTGCTGCTCCTCTGTGCGTGCCTTGTGCATCTTGTCGAATAGATTTAAGCTTGCCACTTGCAGCTCATCTGTCTTCTCCTTAAGCTCCTCTGCCGTTGCACTTCCCTCACCGCTTTGGTTCTTCGCAACAAACTCTCGAAGCGTGGAGATCTTCTCTTTCAGTTGATCCACTTCAGCCTTGTCGAGCTTGTCAGCAAAATCTTTCAAAGCCTTCTCGGTGTCGTTCAAAACACCGTCAGCGCGGTTGGCTGCCTCGATGGCTGACTTTCGCTCCTTATCCTGCTCTCCGTACTTTTCGGCATCGTTTACCATCCCTTCGATCTCTGAGTCCGAGAGACCAGATCCAGATGCAATGGTAATGGATTGATCCTTGTTGGTGGACTTGTCTTTGGCGTGAACGTGCACGATGGAGTCGGCGTCAATGTCGAAGGTCACTTCAACTTGAGGAACACCACGGTGGGCTGGCGGAATACCGACGAGCTGGAAGTTTCCGAGCAACTTGTTATCACGGACGAGCTCACGCTCACCCTGGTACACTTTGATCTCAACAGCAGTCTGAAAATCTGCTGCTGTGGAAAATACTTGCGACTTCTTGGTGGGTATAGTGGTATTCCGGTTTATCAGACGCGTAAAAACGCCACCAAGAGTCTCGATACCAAGAGATAGGGGCGTAACATCGAGCAGTAGTACATCCATAACCTCACCAGCTAAGACAGCACCTTGAATAGCAGCACCGATAGCCACAGCCTCATCTGGGTTAACCGATTTCGCAGGATCCCGGCCGAAGATGCTCTTTACTGATTCGGTGACCTTGGGCATGCGAGTCATGCCTCCAACAAGAATGACTTCCTGGATATCCTTCGCCTGCAGGTTTGCATCTTTCAAGGCTTTTCTCACTGGATCGATGGTCCGGCCAATCAGGGGCTCGACGAGGTTTTCGAGCTGGGATCTTGACATCTTCAGGTTGATATGCTTGGGTCCTGACGCGTCAGCGGTGATGTAGGGAAGGTTGATGTCGGTTTGAAGAGTTGACGAAAGCTCGATCTTGGCCTTCTCGGCAGCCTCACGAATACGTTGTATAGCCATCCGGTCGTTTGACAGATCGATACCAGATTCTTTCTTGAATTGCTGGACTAGGTGGCGAACGAGGTTAATATCGAAGTCCTCACCCCCCAAATGAGTGTCGCCGTTGGTTGATTTGACCTCGAAAACGCCCTTTTGAATCTCAAGGATCGAAATATCAAAAGTTCCGCCTCCTAGGTCATAGACTGCGATAACACGATCTTCGTCTTTTTCAAGTCCATACGCAAGCGCAGCAGCTGTGGGCTCGTTTACAACTCGCAAGACGTCAAGACCAGCGATCTGCCCAGCATCTTTGGTAGCTTGACGCTGTGAGTCGTTAAAGTAGGCTGGCACAGTGACGACACCATTCTTGATGCCCTTGTTGAGGTACGACTCAGCGGTTTCCTTCATTTTCTGGAGAACGAAGCCACCAATTTGAGAAGGTGAGTATTTCTGCCCCCGAGCCTCGACCCAAGCATCTCCGTTCGTATGCTGGACGATCTTGTATGGTACCTCTTTGATATCTCGCTGACATTCGGCATCGGTATACTTGCGCCCGATGAGACGCTTCGTAGCGAAGAGAGTATTTTCTGGGTTTACGACAGCCTGGCGTTTGGCGGATATGCCGACAAGTCGCTCGCCATCTTGCGCAAAGGCGACCACAGAAGGTGTTGTCCTCGTTCCTAGAGGGGATGCTTTAGTACAGTTGCACGAAAATGCAGAGCACGCCTAGTAATACTGACCCTCGGCGTTTTCTATTATTCTGGGTGTTTTGCCTTCTAAGATAGCGACAGCTGAGTTGGTTGTGCCTGTATTTGGTCTCAGCAGATAGTCATATGTGGGCTTTGAAGGCTTTGGCACGCACCAAGATCAATACCAATCACTTGGCCTTTTACCTTCCCTTCGCCACCTGAAGACTGGCATCGAGTGAATGAAGATGCTAAAGGCGAGCGGGCGACGGGGGAACGTGAGAATGCTGAGATGGTGCGAGGCAGCTAGAGCTCCAGTGGTGAGCTTGCGAGCAAAACGTGATGTTCCTGGGGCGGCCTTACCGATCTGGCGACCCTCGACGAAAGCATTTTTTGACGGCTGACAGCCACTGATGATAAAACAGTAAGAGGTGTTGCACCTGCAGATTTTTGCAAGGAGTGATGGAAAATTTGTCGAGAGGCGAGAGGATGAAGTACTCAAGTAGTAGAAAAAAGATTTAGAAAAAAGATTGACGGCGGCAAACTTCATCGAAGTGGTCAGCCCTATCCGCAGAACGCCAACTCCTGCCATTGATTCGATGACATTCCCAGTGCGTCAAAATTTGATGCAGCATTAAGGCTCCTTGCGACCACATAATGACAATTGACTATATAAAGTAAGATATGGAGTTGTACAACGAGGCGTCGTCAATCAAACTGACCACAGACTATAGACCTTGTGAAACGAAGTCTTTGATCCATTCGTCCTGCGGGCATTTCTACCCTTTCAAGATTCCCCAACAGTAAGAAGTCTCTCTTACTACTGTCCGTTAAAGGTTTCCTGACCTTGTGATATACATAGACATAAGCAACTTAAGAATTTCATAAGCACCAAAGACCCCAACATCATCTACTATGCCTCTCACCATGAGATCTACGCTTTACACGTCTCTACACGGAAAAGAAAGCTGATCAAGAGCTTACCCTGGCAGCCTGTTTGTCTTGACGCTGGCTACGGTTGGATTTGTGTCGGTGGACGAGAAAACGGGCGATGTGCTTTTATCAGTATCAACGAAAGCAGCGATGGGCCGACGACAGCCTTCAGGCAGCATGCCGAAGTCGATGAGCTCTTGCCTCTGGACCTGGACCCCGAGTATAGACGTACCATCAGCGATCCAAGTGTAGTCCTGCAATGGCCTCGACCTTCCCATGGGAGCTCGTATGAGTTACAGACCCATGAACTTGGGGCCGATATTGTCAACTCAATCACAATCCATCTTCTACGAAGCGAGAAGAATTGCCGAGAGGATGAAGTCGTGGCTGTATTGGCGTAAGCTATGCTGAATTTGCGCCCTGGGAACGAGGATTGACGTCTTGTGCTCAGAAACAATGACCAAAGCGTCCGAATCTTCTCGCTGACACAGTCTCGTCTGCTTGAAACGCTCGAATTCCCGATTGCCATGAATCATGCTTCGATATCACCAGATGGGAAGCTTCTCCTTGCTGTTGGAGATAGACATACAGCCTTCTTTTGCAAAAGAGTGCGGTTACCTAGCGCTCTAAGCGATGGCGTATCGTCCTACGCAAGCTATGAGTGGCATGAGATTGCGGGGCTCAAATTGAGCCTCGCAGAATCGAAGGATGCCTGCTGTACGTGTTCTCTAGGGCTTGCCTTTTTATTCTGTACCGAATGTCGAGTCGTGAGACATGTCTCGAGGATCATTGCTCCCCATTCATGTCTCACGGCTCAAGGTTTGATCTCAAAAGGAAGTTGCTGACTGCGGGGATCACCATTAGTCTCTACTGCCTTCTCGCCATCCGGTCGTACGTACATTTCGGAGAAATCTATCCATTTTGTAACCGGACTTGAATCAAACGAGATGTTTCGGAAGCCAAAATCCCTTTTTGTTCCTCAAATTAGTTTACAGCTCGGACGTTTTGCCTCGAGGAAGTCATGCTAACTACAAATCCTGTGTAGATATTTGCGCCGTCGCTTCGCAGAATGGTGTTATCACGATCTTCGATACAGCCTTGATTCACGATGATATGGATGCTGAGGAAGCGGTAATCGATGTACTCAGGTCTTCTCGACCTTCAATGTCCCCTATCCACACAGGGGCTGTCCGATCAATGAGCTTCTCCCCAGGCCCATGGGATCTCTTAGCCTGGTAAATTGCGTTTTTCTAGCAATGTTTCAGTATCCTAATACATTTTCAGTTGCAAGACTTGTTCAGGGCTGCATTACTCCACGGACCTTCTTCACGACATGAAATCGATCCTACAAGAGATATGCTAACTTCGAAATGATGTAGGGTAAGCACAATTCTGAAGGAGTTTTCTTCGATCTTGTACCGCAATCTCAGTCACAAGGCGTGGCGGGGGGTCGAGAGTTGATCAATATTCCCACTTTCTTCCCCAATTCGACTAACGAGCCAGACTCTACGTTGATAGTGAAAGCTAATATTAAATAAACACAGTCCGAAGATCAAGGCCATGTATGCGTGGTAGATTTGCGCAACGCATTCCAATCGAGGCAAACTATCGACCTACACACCGACTCCCCAGGTCTCATTAGAGCGGAAATAGAAGAGTACGACACTACATCAGAGCAGCGGCAACTAGAGATCGAACGCAGGTTTGTGGAAAGGCACAGGGAGGCCTTGGAAGCACAAGATCAGCTCGCTGCTGTAATACGTACGGCGAACAACGTGGAGCTTGGCGCTGAGCGAAGAAGAATTGAACGTGACGCTGCAGCAGCACAAGCATCGCGTGAGCGGCAATTGATTGACTCCATTGGCCTGCGACGTCTACAAGAAAGTAATTCCGTTTCTTCTGGCAACCTTCCAACCGCTCCTATTAGAGTGAACTACAACCCATCGTCTACCGGACGGACAGAATCTCGTGAATGGAGTGGCATCCCCTCTCCTTCATCTAATCCTCAAACTCGTTCATCAGCGAGCATCCATGATTTCATACGCCAACGGGAGAGAACTCGCTTGAATGACCGCTCATATCAACCGCGCCGCCGCAGTTCAGTCGTCATGTCCAACTCGAACTCGAGTTCTAATACCTCATCACCTCACACTTCGAGCCTTACACCTGATACGGCCACTCCAACCCTCTCTGCTTCCCCTTCGCGCCTTTCTGCTAGCACAAGCGACGCAATCGCCACCAATACCCCCTTCAATCCCACGGATCCTTGGCAAACCATCACTGATGCGATGTCGTCTGCCGACATCCCGCCTGATACACTGCGCAGCCTGCAATCAAGAAATCTGGAACGTCGTGTGCAAGCTACAGCGGTACAGCAAGCTACCCTTGACCGTCCAAACGAGCTCATGATGGTCGAACATGCAGATGCGTTGGAGGCACGCGGTAATCGTGCCAGAGATAATGTGCGATCGTTGAGGCAGATGAGAGCAGCCCACAGCAGAGCTGACGTCGTGTATGATGAGATCGATCGGGAGTTGCTGTTGAGAAGGTATCAGAGAAGTCCTAGGCGGGAAGCGGGCCTCATCACCATGGGGATCGGATGGAGCGAAGACGGCCGCAATTTGTAATTCCCGCTTTATTTCTTCTCAAATGGGGGCTCTATTGACTGTGCACCTTAGGTTTGTCGCGACCGAGGAGGGAATCTTGGAGTACAACGTCAACATCGAAGGGAGGAAAACGTTCCCTGGTGCCTCATTCTTGTGACTCTAATGGTAGGACTTGACCTTTCATGTTAATCGTACATGCGTTTTTGGCATGGATTTTAGCAATAGCCTCGCTTGGCCGCGCAAATGCGTAACTGTAGCATGGCGTTGAAAGCGAATGACGACCTAGACTTAGATGTATGTTCCTAGGAAATCCACTAGGATCTACATGAACAGCACATTGGCCGCATTTCCCGATGCTGCAAAATCGTCGTCCCTAGGCCTTCACAATCCAGCCCGAGTGCACAAAGAAATCGAAAAGCTTTACGCATTTCGAAGAATCAATCTGTTCTCACACCATCAGTCATAAGCATCTTGAGCCAAAGCCAAATGACTTCAAAAACTCGACGTACCTTACACAGCTCCCTAACTGTCTTCCTCTTTAACGCACCTCCATTCTTCATGGCTTCCCGCAAGACCGTTTCTTTAATGACTAAATATGGCTTTGGCATCAATCGCACGACGGAACACAGCTCTGCTTCCTCATTGGTTAACAGATGCAGGTCCGTCGCATTTTCGCTGGTTAATTTTAGGGGGGCGGTGCCATTCAATGGCGGTACAGAATAGCGAGTTTTCTTTTCATGCTGTGGAGGAGGAATATTGGCCGTATTTGATGTGCCATTCGTGAGGGGCCCTTTCGGATGGACGCCATTTGTTGTAGCTGTTGTCGATGGAGGTGGCACAGGGTTTGGAGGTATCGGCTTCAGGCGCTCGGGCAGTTCCGGCGCCGTAAGTTCAAGGGTTACAGCAGCCTTGACGTTCGATTCTTTTTCACTCTTCTTCTCCGGACGCACGCCTGCTTGGCGGTCGAACGCTCCTGTAGGAGCTGGACGTGCAGCGCGCGCTTGTTTCTCTTGCTCATACTTTTCACCCGTTTTGAGGTCGCCAATGCGCATTTGGCGCCAATCCTGTAGCTGGGCGATAGCTTGACGGAGGTTATGTTCGAACTCGAGGTGCGATGTGAAAGCCTCGAAGTCGGCGTGATTCATTATTCGCGCAAAAGGCTTGGCTTTGTTAGCAAGCGTTATTTCTTCTTTTGTCTTCTTTTTGTCAAGCGCGACGCTCTTCTTGTATTCCAACAAATTGTGTTCGAATATCACCTTTTTCCGGTCGGCTCGCGAAGTCAGACGTGCATTGTATATGTCCATTACTACCATTTTCAATTCCATTTCTGGCTCGACTTCGCCGTTCCGCGGGTTCAGGCCGTCACCGGGATCAAATTGCATATGCTGAACTGCTTCTTCGGCTTCGTTGGCAAATTCCGTCTCGAACTCGAGGCGGCCAGGCATGTACCCAGCGACTTCGTGGCATGCTGGGACGCTTGCCGTAGGTTTCTGCTTAGGTGTCGCTGGTGGGGCTGATCTGGCTTCCTCTCTTCGTTCTTCTATCCGCCGCTTCTTGCGTGCTTGGAACATCTCCCGCGGTACCTCCTCTGACAAATGCTTATCGCCGGGATCCGCATTCTCTGGTAATGGAAATTTTGAACTATCGACATAGGTCTTGATATAGTGGTCGCGGACTTCGTCCTTTGTCCGATAGCCCCCAATGTGGTCGGCTATATCAGCCCAGGAGCCAAGTCCGTATACCTCTGCTCCTTCCAAGAGGCAAAGCTCTTCATCCGCTCCCCAGTCTTTGTCGTAGATTGGGATTGAATGCTGTTCGATCACCAGGAATTCATGGGTCGCAGGATCATGATCGCGTGACTTCGATCCATCCTTGAAGCATTGCACACATAAATCGTAGTCGGTGCAGACGTGGCAGCGTATGCGAACCTAAAATGAACTTAGTGTTGTGGCGCTAAGGCTGAGGCACAAAGATCAGAAGAGGAAAAGCCTACAGTGGCAGTGATATCGGCGGAGCATATATCACAGATATACTTGAGTCCACCCTCGGTCCCACGCGATATGGTCTTCTTCCTTATCACCCCCATCGCGCACTTCCGGGAATTTGTCCTGCTTTGATACTACTATACACACACTGTCAGACAAAGCCACGCTGTGCACGCGCCGGCGTTTCTTACATCAAGTCCAATCATGAGCCTGAAGTTAATCAAATGGTTACTTGTGTATGAAAGCAGTCCGCTAAGAATGCTTTAGACGGGAGAGTTCTCTTCTTGGTATCGGTACGCTCGATCTCGGAATCCGTACCGCTTCAGTTGTCACTTTCGGTGGTAGCGGCCCTGATTGCTAAGCTCTAAGCCGCTGGGTGCATTCGAGCACAATGTCTTGGATTGAGGATCTGCAGGCAGGAATAGTCATTTGGTGGTATTCTGGAAGATTTTAGAGAGATTGAAAGAAGAGGTTGATAGACTTTGAACAGCCTGCGATGTTCATCTTATCTACAAGTATGCTGCATCTCTAGAGCATGCATTGAGGTTGAAAGACGGCATGAGCCGCCACTAGCCTTGAGCGGACCAGCGTTTACGTAGAGTAGGTAATCTTAAGCGAGCCTCCGCAATGTTTTGGAGAGCGTTTGTAACTTGTACCCTCGTACCCTTTACTCTCTTGAACAATACCCTTGAACACTTGCTCACCATGGCCCAGAGCAGGGTTGAATGCCTTCATCGTTGATACCCCGCACCCTCTTTACCTGTCTTGCCATCTTTTAACTGTGGTGGTTCGCTTATCTACTAAAGAGACCGTGACGGCCTTTCTCCCCAACTAGCAACGATACGACCCTTCGCCATCCTACCGCTCCACCGCTATCATCTCAACCCCTCTTCCTCTAGCCCGCAACAAAGACTTCCCAAACCAACAGCATGTCTTGGAACCTGACTAAGAGTGAGGTTTGTCGTACCATTCTACCAGCCAAGACTGACTTCCCGTAGAATTCAAGGAGACCCACCTGGGTCCTCTGAAGAATTCCCTTGGAGGCCGGTCGACCTCTACTTCGACAATCAAAGCAGACTCAGTCGAGCCCATGGAAGAGAAGCTGAGTACCAGCAGCAGCAATGATCTTGGTAAATGTTACGTTCTTCATGTTTTTACCAGTGCTCACTGTCGCTAGCTGCGTCTGAAGCTATGATTTCTCCACCTCAAGCGCCACTTAAACCTGGTATCCTTGTTGTAACTCTTCATGAAGGCAAAGACTTCTCACTGCCTCCTCATTACCAACAACAGTACAATCCACAATATCAGAACTCGGCATCAAATGGCTTCTCCGTGGCTGGATCGATGCGTGGCGATTCTTCAATGTCACGTACTCCTGGTGGAATAGCTGGATCCTACGCTCAAAATGCTCGTCCCGCCTCGGGCGGAGGTATCAACGCCGCCCCTACCATTCATGGTCGCTACTCCTCGCGGTACCTTCCGTACGCCCTCCTCGATTTTGACAAGGTCCAAGTTTTTGTGGATGCTGTATCTGGAAGTCCACAGAATCCATATTGGCCTGGCGAAAATACCTCCTACAAATTTGATGTCTCTCGTGCTACAGAATTAACGGCGCAAATATACCTTCGAAACCCTAACGCAAGAACGGGCGCAGGGAGGAGCGAAGATATTTTCTTGGGCATAGTTCGTGTCAATCCACGGTTCGAGGAGGTCAAGCAATACGTAGAGGATCCCAAAGCTAGTAAGAAAGATCGGGAGCGAGGAATGGCTGCATTCACTCAGCAGGAGCGACAAATGGGACAAGTGGGTAGTGAATGGCTGGATGTTGCTTTCGGAACGGGGTCGCTGAAGATTGGTGTTGTATTCGTCGAGAATCGGCATAGAACTTTGACGATCGAAGACTTTGAGCTCTTGAAGGTCGTTGGGAAGGGTAGCTTTGGCAAAGTGATGCAAGTCCGGTACGTGCAAACAATGCTTAAAGTGAGCTCGAAGGAATTTGCGCTAATACAGCAATAGGAAAAATGATACCCATCGAATCTATGCTCTCAAAACGATCCGCAAGGCCCACATTATCTCCAGATCCGAGGTTGCGCACACGCTTGCTGAGCGGTCAGTCTTGGCCCAGATTAACAATCCGTTCATTGTTCCCCTCAAGTTTTCATTCCAATCCCCTGAAAAGCTCTACCTTGTGTTGGCCTTCGTCAATGGTGGTGAGCTTTTCCATCACCTGCAGCGCGAGCAGCGCTTCGATGTCAATAGAGCAAGGTTCTATACCGCTGAACTCCTTTGCGCCTTGGAATGTCTACACGGTTTCAACGTTGTCTACCGGGATCTTAAACCAGAAAATATTCTCCTCGACTATTCTGGACACATCGCTTTATGCGATTTCGGACTATGCAAGATGGACATGAAGGACGAGGATCGAACGAACAGTAGATTTCCAGTACCCAAACATCCGCAAGAACATATTGCTAATTCGCGTGGCAGCTTTCTGCGGTACTCCTGAGTACCTTGCGCCAGAACTACTCCTCGGTCAAGGTTACGACAAATCGGTGGATTGGTGGACCCTGGGTGTGCTCCTCTATGAAATGTTGACAGGCCTACCTCCATACTACGATGAGAACACCAACGAGATGTATCGAAAGATACTATCGGAACCTCTTCACTTCCCAGGACCGGAGATTGTGCCGTTGCCGGCAAAGGACCTTTTGATGCAGCTTCTCGATCGTAGGCCAGAGCAAAGGCTTGGGGCCAAGGGCCCGTCTGAGATCAAAGCTCACCCATTCTTCAATGCTATCGATTGGAGGAAGTTATTGCAGCGAAGATACGATCCTACGTTCAAGCCCAATGTGGTAGGTGCCCCATTGCCCTTGCTCGTCTTGGCCAAAAAAACTGATTATCATAGACCGATGCGCTTGACACGGCGAACTTTGACCGGGAATTCACCCAAGAGGCGCCCACCGACTCTTACGTCGAGGGACCGATACTCTCGCAAACCATGCAACAGCAATTCACAGGCTGGTCCTACAATCGTCCTGTCGCTGGTCTCGGAGATGCTGGTGGCAGTGTAAAGGATCCATCGTTTGGGAGCGTTACCGGCTGAGAGGGTATAGAAAGGAATGAAAAGGAGAGACAAGCATGAAAGCATCTGATCAGGCGTAGAAGAGAGCGTGTCCTTCCAGAAGCTGGGCTTACTTGATAAAGGGGCATGTGATAGGCAGAGACCCACACACATACTCAACCATTGTCGCCGAGCAAAGCAATGCGAACAAAAAATCCAAATGTACCGTGCCAAGCCACCATGCATCATCCCTGAGGGTGGCACTACGACTAGGTGACCGTTGGGTAGAGCGTAGCATGCTAAAAGTGAGCAGTGTAGTATTGTCCTCGCTGTGCATTTTGCCAAGTACTTTAGGTGAGCTAATTCTGCTGGAAATCTTGGTTGAACGAATAGGAATTACACGACCGCTGGATTGACCCAAACAACTCGGCCTACAGCCTTAATTCAGGCGGTCAATATCGAAATATATGCAAAAACGTGCAAGCCAACGTCTTTCGTCTTTCACGCCTTTGATCATAAAATTAACTTCTTGGTGGCTGAGGAATTATGCAGAAATGGCTGTCTAGGTACTCAAAAGTTGGGTCACTCTAAATTCACCGAGGCTACCAATAGGTCAAGCTTGCTAATTACCCTACTTAAGGTGGGAGCTTTTAGTGATGGTGGGGCACTTCTTTCTCAATTTTGGGCAACTCATTTCCAGCTTCACAAGAAAAACACTCGCCTCTATATCCTCCACCACTTCATAATTGCTTCGATCTCTTCATAAGGACTAGCCCCCATCCTCTCTATCTACCAGACGCGTTCACAAACCTCATTCCGACAGTACCGCGGCAATGTCTGGCTTCGCCCAAGCTAGTGACCTCCAAGCATGGCAGCAGCTCCAGCAGCATCACACTACACTGGGCCGCAACATTGTCTTGAAAGAATTCTTCGAAAAAGACCCTAGCCGCTTTGAAAAGTTTTCCCGTACCTTCAAGAACACAGCCGACAAATCCGAGATCCTCTTCGACTTCTCCAAGAACTTCATCACCGAAGACACCCTCTCGCTGCTCATCCAATTGGCCAAGGAAGCTGGCGTGGAAAAGCTGCGAGATGAAATGTTTGCCGGAGAGAAGATCAACTTCACGGAGAAGAGAGCCGTGTATCATGTTGCTCTGCGTAACGTGACCAATCAACCTATGCAGGTTGATGGGAAGAGCGTCGTCGAGGATGTCAATGAGGTCTTGGAGCACATGAAGGTATTCTCCGAGCAGGTCAGAAGTGGAGAGTGGAAAGGGTATACTGGAAAGAAGATCAAGACAATCATCAACGTTGGCATTGGTGGATCTGATCTGTGGGTCGAGTCAGTAACGTAGAGGCAGCAGATCAGGCTGACAGAAGCTGTAGTGGACCAGTCATGGTGACAGAAGCTCTGAAGCCCTACGGTGACCGGAATCTCAACTTGCATTTCGTCTCCAATATTGACGGCAGTCACATGGCAGAGGCATTGCGTGCCTCCGACCCAGAAACAACTATGTTCTTGGTTGCTTCCAAGACATTCACCACCGCTGAAACGGTCACCAACGCTACCACTGCTAAGCACTGGTTTCTTGAAACAGCGAAAGATGAATCTCACGTTGCAAAGCACTTCGTTGCCTTGTCCACCAATGTCGAGGAGGTGACCAAATTTGGTATCGACAAGGAGAATATGTTCGGCTTTGAGAGCTGGGTTGGGGGCCGCTACAGCGTATGGAGCGCCATTGGTCTGAGCGTAGCTCTGTACATTGGCTTCGACAACTTCCATGAATTTCTCTCAGGCGCCCATGCAATGGACAAGCATTTCAAGGAGACCCCGCTCGAGGAAAACATCCCTGTGCTCGGTGGCCTTCTCAGCGTTTGGTACTCTGATTTCTTCGGAGCGCAAACACATCTAGTCTCGCCTTTCGATCAATACATGAGCCGCTTCCCAGCCTACCTTCAGCAATTGTCAATGGAGTCGAACGGTAAGGCCATCACAAGGTCCGGCGATTACGTCAAGTACACCACTGGAGCCATCTTGTTTGGCGAGCCCGCAACAAATGCCCAGCACTCATTCTATCAGCTTTTGCACCAAGGGACGAAGCTTATCCCTACGGATTTCATCCTTGCCGCCGAGAGCCATAATCCCATTGAGCACAATAAGCACCAGAAGTAGGCTTCTCAGAATCGCTCGACTTGGTATGTTGAGCTGACATGTCAACAGGATGCTGGCATCGAACTTTTTCGCGCAAGCTGAAGCGTTGATGGTTGGTAAGACACCAGACGAAGTCAAAGGCGAAGGAGCCCCGGAGGAGCTGGTTCCCCACAAGACATTCCTCGGCAACCGACCTACAACATCCATCCTCGCCCAAAAAATCACACCAGGGACGCTTGGAGCGCTGATAGCATACTATGAGCATTTCACCTTTACCGAAGGAGCTGTGTGGAACATCAACAGCTTCGACCAATGGGGTGTAGAGCTGGGCAAATCGTTGGCAAAGAAGATCCAGGCGGAGCTTGATCAGAGTGGGGAGAACACGAGCCACGATGCCAGTACGAGTGGGCTGATCAATGCGTTTAAGAAGAAGGCCGGTATCTAAAAGGTTGTTGCGAGCGTGCCTGAACAAGAAACCATCAAAGGGAAACGGAAAAACGTGCATAGCTGGCTCACGAACATAAAAAAGTAGATGAGATCTCAATAAAATTGCTATGAATATGATGTTCTGTGAGCGTCTGTCCGGCCTCCTCGAATGACCGTATGATTCTTGGGGGGTGGTGGGGGCCTTTGGAGCCGGCTAGGGTCCCTCGGGTCGATCGACCCGCCAAAACATGCACCCCGTAGACCCAGGAACGAACAACAGTTCGGTGCAGTATGAGTGCGCCAATACTTCTTTTCCGCTTCTCCTTGAAATGAGTCGGTAAAAAGTCCAGCTCGCCTTTGGTATGGCGGTCCTTAGCTCTCGCAGCACATGGCTAGTCTGCTCTACCCTTCTGTCCTTTTTCTCTTCTCTTCCGAAGGCTGGCAGCCCAGCCAAAGCTGAACAAAAGGCCAGCTATGCGCCTGGGGATGCAATACCTGTTAGCTGTTTAAACAGGACGGTGTGAGTATTCTATCCTCCGGTTCAAGAGCGGCACGATTTTACATGGAAGGCAAAGAAACACTGGGACGAATGGCTAACTGTTGTGTCTTGTGCGCAGTGACACTGGAGAACATGTAAGCAAGCAGAGACCGTCGACATTCAAGCCTCGCCTGGCCATGCCTGCTCGGAGTACTATCCAAGCACTGACTTTGTCAGATCACAGATGATCAGGGCCAGCTTCAGTATATTTCTTTCATGACGTGCAATGAGACGGGGCGACCTCTCGAGCTTTACTTTGGCGTTGAGAAAGGCATGCCAGTGTCTTATTTCGAGTGTGCACATCTTTTGCTGACTATCTCAGACATTAATTGCACCCTCGAGTCCATTGACGATCCCCTCTTCCACCTCCTCGAATTCTACATCCACAATGATGCCCCTTTGACCTGTCGCATTCCCACCCATCCCCTGACCTCCACCCAAATATCTTCACCCTCAACCACTTCTCCCACAACAGACGACTTCATACCTCTCATATTTGCTCTCTCCGGCGCTCTTCAGCTTTCACACCTACACATATCGCCAAAATTGAACGTGCTGCTGCACACGAGCCCTGAATTAGCGACTCAGGATGCAGATTTATTAGCCGCGACGGCATACTCTTCGCCTTCACTGTCCTCCGCATCTACGAGGATAGTGATTGGCGATCCGCTTGCCCTCCAACTTTCAGTGCATTGGTACACTAGTCCAACTCTACCGCCATCAACAACGGGGAAAGCTGGTCTAGGAGGCCATGTACATCTTAGCACGGTGGTGTATTGTCTTTTAAGCGGGGGTGTGGGCGTGGCGGCGAGTTTGGCTTATTTCAGAGGGGTGGAGTTGCCGAGAAGGATCAAAAGGTATGGAAAGGACAGAACAGGAGGGGAGAGGGGTGGTGGCTACGCATTTCCTGGATCTGGAATGAACGGTTATGGGACGGGGAAGAGGGATTGATTGCTAATAGAAAAAGTAGTCCGCCGTTTCGTGGGCTTTTGTGAGTGTATATACCCCTGCCCTTGTTTCTAGTCAGAATCTGTGCACCAAAAGATTCAAAGCACATCCCCTCTGTACCTCCATTCATTGGCTCGCTTCAGATACGAGTTTCGGCGGTGCATATTGGAGTGATGAACCCTTCATGTGGCTCATCAGCACTATTCCATTCCTGGCGGCTTGTACAATCCAGGGATAATAGCCGAGTTACTCTGAGATTTACTTGCGTCGCGAAATGAAGGGCTGAAAAGCTTGCAAATCCAGAAATCGGTCATTTGGAGACCGCTCAGTCTGCGAAAGAATGCTATCATGTTCTAGTGAGCCTTGCACTCCACAGGCCAGGTTTTCTTCGAAGCTGTATCTGACATTCTGCCTTCTTGGGAGCAAGGTGACTTTGAAAGAGAAGTGAGTGAGACTATCGTTGAAAGATGGCTCCTTATGCTTCCCACACAGCCTTCCAATTTCAACAACCAACATCCTGCCGAGGGTCCTCGCTGCCTGATATGTGTCAACAACAACTTATGAAAGTAGGTCACATAGCTAGCTGTTCATTGGGGGGCTTCAAATCTCATGTTTCTCGTCAAACGCTTCTTTTCTTCTGCATCTCCGCATACAGGGACAGACTTTGCGATCAAGGCAATCACTGCTTTTAGCCGAACAATATAATCCAATCCGCTCCGGTCGGTTCGGTGTCAGCACGCGGATGAAGAAGAAGAACAAGGCTACAGGTCACGTGAGGCCATCAGCAGATGCACGTTTTGGCGACGGAGGCCTGCCCGTGGTATCAAGCAAGTATCGATGGTTGCCGATCTTTCTTCTTGTTTGACAACACATCGCAAGAGCTTCATCTCCTTCTTGCGAGCAACAGGCCGCTTCCCCACTCAACCTCAACCTCCTTCTCCATCCAGGCCTCGTCTTTCTGCCAGTCCGGTTCCGCAGACCTCATCTTGTCAAACATCTCGTCTACAACATCTCCTTCACCACCATCACGACGCTTCTTGGCCTGGAACTTCTCCTGCCAAGCACTGTACGCGCTCCATGTTCTAATGTAGTTCATACACTCTTCAAGCGCCATTCGCCTACTCAAGAACATGGTGCCTTCGCCAGTCTTTGGTCCACTCGTTCCGGGTTCGTACTCAACCCGGCGTACATCTTCAAACTCGTTTACCGGCGGTTCGATGTCCCGAAGTTTGTTTTCTACCTTTGATCTGCCCGGTTGTGACCAGTATGGACCGAGCGATCGCTCATCGTTGCTATAAGCATACTCATTCAGGATTTTGGTCGCCTTCGGATAATCTACAAAAACGTGATCTTTGTATCCCCAGAATGCTAGGGCTTTGGCAGTCAGTAATGCCTATTGGAGGAGGTATATCGAGCCTTGAAATAGGTATCGAGAGTAAATACTCCCGAGACATGTTCTCAAGACTCAAGATTTGCTCCAAAAGGGGAAATATGGGCTCCGAAAATACGTACTACCACTCTTTCGTAATATTCTCCCCATCTCAGGAAATAAGACCTTGGTATCGAACCAATGCGCCGCTTGGCCTGCCACAACGAGATCGACGCTTTCGCTTTTGAGGAATTTCAAGCTCTCCGCAGACGAATTCTGAAAGGTGACATTCGGATAAAGTTCGTGCGGCGTCGAAGAAAGCGCTTGCTCGATCATCCCGTCCGATGGGTCAGTCCCAACAACCTGGGAAAATGTTTGGGAGAGGTAGCGAGCAACGACACCATGCCCACAGCCAAGGTCTATACAAGTTTCCCTGGGACTATGATGGTACGCCAAGACGGTATTGTAGACTTGATGATTTCGGAGTCAGCATTACTCTTTCGGGAGGAATGCTGAATCGCGAGATTAAGAGACATAAGACTGCGTGATTGGGCGAAGTTGCCTCGGAACTATCACGTACGGGATGGTGGGTAAGAAGGACGGTACACGGCATAGGAAGCGTGTGAGAAAGTAGATTTTCTACTGGGAAGTCAGCAGCTAGTAACGATGAGGGGAGTAGAGTTACGAACGCAAATTGCGCCATGTTTACGTGGGAATGCAGTATTTCTGAAAACAGCTGATAACGATGTGATCATTTCGTGGCCTTTGATACCCGCTTGTAGCCGAGCGCCGCACTTTGGATCTACTGGACTTCTACAGAGGTACTCGATCCAAATCTCGCCGTCCTCGTTGCAGATTTGATCATGGAGGCAGCAGCAAAAAGCTTTCTCTCGTCTAGCTATTTTGCCGTGGCAGGTCGGTCTATTGCCATCAGAAAAGATCGCAGTTTGACCCTCCTGGTGTAGGTGCAAGCCAATCTCCTCATAAATTCGGCTACCAGGGTATATTTCCCTTTCATCTGCTTTCTCCCACTTATACCAACGTTGCATCCCAGTATTGAAGTGGTACCACGCCCGCGATTTACCCGTTCAACCCATTACTCCCTCACGTCCGAGTATAACCGTGTTGTCCACAACGTACTCCACGATCCCGTCGCCTTTAGCCCTGCCATATCCAGTAGAAACCTCGCTTAGCATCATCACGCAGCCATCGGTCACTCTCCAAGTACTCCGAGAAGCAAAAGATGCCGGGGTGTCCTCGGTCTGGCTTCAACCGGGAAGTTTCGACGATGAGGGACTGGAGTATGCTAGGAGGGAATTCAAAGCCGGGGTTGGTGGGGATGGGGGGGTGGGTGGTGAAGGGTGGTGTGTGCTTGTGGACGGGGACCGGCTTTTACAGGCCGTGAGTGAAGAGAAGACGACGGAAGCTTTAGGGACCAAGTAAAGAAGATGGATTTTACTTGAATATATGTTGAGCCAATCTCCCAATGTCTCAGGGCAATGTAGGTCGGGCGCCCTGCCAGAAAAAGCGGAAGTCTGCAGCGGTAAGACTCCTTCGAGTTTGAACAAGATCAGCACTATCGACAAGCGTTATGATCCATGTGAAAATCTGTGTATACTGAGCCTGCGCATCAGGTGTTAAGTTCACTTGGCCGTATACCCACAAATGTGTAAACTTACGAGAGGCTAACACCCCAAGACTGTCACCCATTGTGTGACAGCCTGCCTGACTCGTCTACGTTTTCACCGTCTAAAGGCTTGTGAATTGTGACCTCGTTTAGGATTACTCAATGGATATCAAAGGGAATGTGAGATCCAATCCCAACCCTTCTATGGAGAGCACACCAAACGCCGGCTCCTATGCAAGTCATCCCACACCAATATCAATCACTCTTACCGCTCCGCGGAGACTCCCCAAAACCCCTTCCCCTTGGCGGAAAGTGTTCTCGCAGCATGAGCTCTTGCTCCGCAGACCATGCCCCAACCCCTGACCCAGCGTTGGCATTCCTGATTGTACTTCGCCTATCCTCGTCCTCGGCGTGGTTGTCATCTCCAACCTCGAACGCATCTTCACTTAATTCAATCAGATCACCTACACCAGATCTTCCCCCAGGAGTCGGCGGCTGAACGGAATTGGCTGCTTTGGTCGCGAGCTTACGCATCCAGCCTTCAATGGCCCCGCCCACGTTCTCAATGCCACCATTACCGCGTGAAGAATCCGAGTTGACAGACTCAAAAGATTTACGAGGAGCCAGGTTGGGCAAATGCGCAGCAAACAACTTGTTGAGTCCATCCTGCGCTGGGCCCGGGCTGCGCACGTCCCTACCCATCGTGCCAACCCCACCAGGACCTTGTAGTTGATGATTTAAGTAGGAGCCGGAGGATGATCTCGACTTGGAGTTCTGCCCTCGTGGTGGACCAGATTGATAGCTTCCTCGAGGCAGATCAAGTGATGCCGGTGGCGTTTCCACGTCTGAGAATGTCATGGATTTCCGCCTGCTGCGGGGAAAGTATCCAAGTGTTTTATGTGACAAGCGAGCAATTTCGACGGCGTCCGGGAAGCCATCAATCATGACCCATGAGTCATGCTTCCAGGGGGCTTCTTCAGGGTTCGAGAGCGAGATTGAGATTGAGGGAGACGTGGGGATGCTGGATAGAGGTGTCTCCTTTTCCTTCGGGCTATCGTGTAGATCGCCCCAAGGGGATTGAAACGCCGTGGGCGTAGGCATTGTCTCTTCAGTGTAGCCGTCTCCTAGACGTTCCGAAGATTGACCAAGCTCTGGTAATTTTCGTCCCTTTACCCCACAGGCATCGACGGGTAGAACGACCGTCTTCCGGACCTGGATACTGTCGTTGGGCCACAGTCGGTTTGCCTTCCGGAAGATGTTTGGCTGGCAACTATATTTAATCATGACTCCCGCAAGCGTGTCTTCTGGCTTCACTTTGTGTAGATAGACCAAGGCATCCCTACCATCCTGCTCTCCCGGAGGCGCTGAAGTGTGATTCCTCTCATCCGAGTCCCTTCTCTTATAACGACCCGAGACATCTGGTGTAATATGGCCATTGGCCACCAACAACGTCTCACGTTTCCTTGCTTGCACAAGCACCCTTCGCTTCTCTCGAGTTCCTAGACCAACCTGTCTTTCTCCACCAGATGGCCCCCATTGAGCAGGTGGGGCACTGGTATTGCGGCCGTGGGTGGCTTCTATCGGACGTCGCCTACGCTGTGGCGAGCGGCCTGGACTTGACGCTCTAAAGCTATCACGGCCTATGAGATTGGACGCAAACCCTTGTAGAGAGGACCATGAGCTTTCCCAGAGACCTGTAGCGAAAGTCGATGGGTTCGACTGAGATCCTAGAATGCCGGGTGTTCCAAGGAAGCGGCTGGTACTGCGAGATCTCTGGGCGTCTCTGTCTGCTTGTGCTGGCTGGGAGGGATCTATTGGGGATTCCGCTCTCGAGGAGAAGGACGAGGTAGCGGGGCCGTCAAGCCATCTAGAAGTTGTTGCTGGAAGGGGAGGTGTCTCATTGTCTTCATGCGCTTGCCGACGGGTACGAGGACGTAGAGTGGTGGAGATGCTGACTGAAGCCGTAGCTGACGACGGTCTATTGATGTTCATCGCCGCGGGGGCCAGCTTTGGCGTTCAATCAGCATTGACATTTGGCTGTGGAGAACTTACTCCAGCCAAACGGTGATAGAAGGGTGCTTTGACATTGGAGTGGTTGTGTGGAATTCCTCTCTTTATACTTCAATCAAGATCCCTACGAATATACGTAGGGTGTTCAAAACTACAGTTCCTGAATGCCTCGAGAACAACTTACAATGGAGGATCAGCCCTATGTGCCTTGGAAAGCATACTTTCCCACTAGCAAATGTGAAACCGTACGTCCAAAAGATAAAACGCGAGTTCAGCCGAGGTCTACTTATACATCAAAGCAGATTACAGAGTACCAGTTGAGTGGTTCATCCTCTTAGGATTTGGATACCTACCTTATGTATTGAGTCAGGCCGACAGAAAATACCGCTTTGCATTCATGCATCTAAAGATGGCCCTCATTGAGCCAAACGCTTTGATAAAAATCCTAGGATTACATGCCATTCAATCCGCTCAGGTCACCCCCATTCATGCCAAAGAACTGAAACCTGTGAATTTACTTGTTGTCAGTAAATACGCTTCCAACACTATTCCTTTGGAAGAATGACCCACCAGTCTTCCACATTCAAAGCCGTTGGAACAACTGGGCCTTGGCCCCGGCTACTGTTGCTCCAGCTGTCCTCTGGGCTGTCGCCTGGGAATTGTCCTTGCCAGGCAGGAGCTTGCTGTTGTATCCCTGGCATTTGGGGCATACCTGCTACGTCTTGCATGTTTCGTGAAGAAGTTTGTTGCTGGCTTTGCATGGATGGTTGCAGCATGCCAGACGACTGCATCTGTGACATTTGAAGCTGAGGATCGAGATTCTGCTGACTCGGGAATGGTGGCATTGCAATGTTGGTGCTTTCGGGGAAGAGCTGGTCCGGCTGGAAGTTCTCCCAAAGATTTTGAGAGATATGAGGCGACTCGCGAGTCACTAGATAAAGATCCGGGGGTGTTGCGGGAATGGAATAGGAAGGGTTGAAGGGGGTTGGCGGACGTGTATTACTGCGAGAACTCCCCATGAATGCATCGTTTGATTGACGAACATTGAGGGAACCCATTGGTGCGGAACTTGGCTGTCCCAAGTCCCTCGATGGTGTCACCGCTGGAGTCTGAGGTCGAGATCGCTCGTAGGATACTTGAGGAGCTGGGGGTCCATTGGCGAATCCCAACTCCATGTCGTCGTACTTACGCTTTTGCTGTTGGTCTTCCTTCTCGGAGGGTGGGCGATTCTCAATCCTTGGCTTCTTGTGTCTCTTGCCTGCTGCCTTTTGCAGCCTGTCTTCGAGCACTTTGTTGCCAAGTATGGATTCAAATAAGGTGTGGACCATTTTAGCTACCAGCCAAACTTTCGATACTTCCTTGAGAGCATTCATGCATATTTGCAGCCGTTCTTGCGTGGCTGCTACGACGGAGGGCACCGACGAGCGCATCTGATAGACGTGCATAATGAGGGCCGAGAACAAGCTGTACACACTGCAGGAGAGCGTGAGTCAAAGCTTTAAGCTGCCAGGCTTTGGGATTGGACTTACACGAAAGCCGGAGTAAATCTTAGTTCATCTGACTCTTGTAAATGTTCGATGATAGAGGTGATCATTCCTGCAGCCTGAAAAGCAATGTTTCTTGAGGGATAAGCAGCGTCAGTAGGATAGCCATTCATCTGTCCGTTGCTTTCTGATGTCGCAGGGGGCATATGCGCCCTGTGTAAGAGGCAAAGCGTCGTACTGGGAACTGTCAGAGTGACTTATCCAGTGATCATAACCGCTCACTGCTTACTAGTAATTTGCGTGGAGTAGTGCCGACCAAAAGTTGTGCCTTGGTTTCTCCCAGTACACTTCTTTTGGGCAATTCTGGAGCCAATCTGCAAGAGCCATGTCGCTGTGAGTAAGATCAATGGCGTTCTGCCGCCGAGCTTTGGACGCTACCGAGTACTGTTGAGATAATACCAAGCCCATGATTTCGGTCAAACGGACATATTGGAGGAAAAATTGGACATGAACTGGATTCGGTGGATACTTTGCCGGCTGGTCTACCTCATCCTCGATGAAGTCGTCTTCAGAAACCATCTCAACGTCAGAATCATCCGTATTGATATGGACTGGACGACCGAGGGCCACGGCTACTGATCTGTCGCGCGTGAATAACGTCCACCATATGCGTTTCCACAGTCTTTTGTCGGGTCTGCTGAGCTGAGACCCCTCAACGCTGCGGGACTGTAAGTATCAAATCAAAGTGCTACTCCGGAACACCCACCTTCGATGCATGCCTGACCCTTGGGCAACAACAGTGGCTACTCTGGTCCAGTAGAAAACGTTTTTGGTCACATCTTCATGACCACAATGTCAGCCAGTTTACCGCATTCGTCCCCAGCGTCATCGTACCTTCAGGACCTTCCCAGTACCATCCCATCAACACCAAGGCTTGTACTATTGTGATTCGATCGTCCTCATAATTGGCGTCGTATAATGCTTTTGCACGCTTGTAGAACGTCATTGCGGCGGGGGTGGTCGACCCATTTGCATCCGTTAATTGAGGATTGGTACACACTCTTGAACCAGCAAGCAACATAGCCTGTAACAAGAGAAGGGAAGGCGGGTTCTTGGTGTCTCGATAGCGGGTCATGAATCGACTCCGATTGATGACAGGCACAACTGGGGCGACCCATTTGAAAAATGATTCAACAAGCTCATCACAGAGAACGCGAGGAGGGAGCAAAAATGCTCCTCGCTGATGCAATATGTTTACTTCAAGTTCGTCCATGTCTGTCAACTGAGATCGCGATCCTTTGACCGTATCTGGCAAAGGGTAATGCACAACATCTGTTGTCCCGTGCCTGTCATGTACAAGCAGAGACAAATTCGAGGACTCTCCCAGATATGCGACCCTTCCAGCTTCTTTGATTGGAGCTCTTGCAAACTTAGGCTTCATGAAATGTGCGAAGTGTAGGTTCTGGGCCCCCTGTTGAACGACTTGAGCGTCGGACAGGGAGGTGACTGGCATGCCATCGTGTGCACTGTAGTCGGAGTCGCGTGGTTTGTCAAAATCGTAGCCAGCAAGATTATCTGGCTTTGGGGATTGCGCCTGAACAGACTCTGCAGGATCACTAGAAAAGGAGCCACGGTCAGCACGCCATTGTCCTCTTCGATGTTAGTGAACCGAGCTGTTCACCAGCGCCCAGCACGAGGGCATGAAACCCGTACCAGCTCTGGCTCCACTTGGGTTCAACCCCTTCTTGGACGTCGCAGTTGAGGGAATCTACCTGTCTGAATCTCTCGATTTGCCAATAGTCTTTTTTCGTTTGGGCGCTGGGATCTTGCACTCGATGGAGAAGGCAACGCAGTTCGTGCCTGTTGGCTAGTCAGTATCCATGGCATGGGAGGCTGGATTTTCGAAGACAGCTTACAAGGAACTCCCAATGAAGCTGCGTCACACCTGACTTTCCGCGCATGGCATGTTTCACAGGCTCGGGATGCTCGCTGCCTCCTGAAGCTGGGATGTGTAGGGATCTGATCGTTCGGTGCCGGCGCACCGTTGGGAGCGCCAGGCGCACTCATTCTTTCACTATCCATATCGTTGAACAGCCCTGCATCGCTCCCTTCTCAATTTTGCACTTCCCGATTGCTGTCCTCCTGGCTCAGTCGTGGACGAGTTCGGCAAGCTCGGTGGTGGGTAGGACAACCGTCACTACTAACCTGTCGCTTATGGGATCCTTGTACTCTACCTGATAAGGCCTGGGCTTTGTGAGACAGAAGCTGTAAGAGTCCAAGAGAACCTTCGCCAGCAGAGATTTAACAGGTTATTTATGTGTTGCAGCCGAATTTGCTGGGTACCACTTACCCCATACTCCAATTACTATCCACTAAAGCCCATTCATTGCGGGGGCGATGAACCGTTCTCGCCATTCTAGTTTCTATAGTTTTCCAGCATTGACCACACAGCAAGCAGGAGACATTACAGCAATCATGCATGCTGCGACACGCCAATCACTAGAAGCAGTCTGAATATGAACCTATTTGATATCTGAAGTGCAGGTAACCAGCCACTACGTCCTCCGATGCATGTCTTCATTTGTATTAATTTCGATTGGCTCCTCTACTCCACCTTGGATCATTGGTCACGTGCAGCAGCGCCATATGACTTCCCTCGTCTTTCCATCAAGCTGTACTGCCTGACGACTTTGGCCAAAATCTCACAATTTCGCCTAGAATCAAAGACCTGTGCATGGTCCAAATCGTCAAACCACAAAATATCCAATCCTTTTCCTTTCCACTCCCGATGCTTCCACTCCTCTTTCTTCGGTTCGCCATTGCCATCTTGTGCTAGGTAGCGTCCCACAGCCTCGGTATCGACAATGAGATCCCGCGATGCAAGAGACACGGTCACCTGTCGTCCATCCATGTCATGCTTCCATAAGATATTCTCAGCCCAGAAAAATCGCCTAGATGTTATCATTAGAACTTTAATACATGTAACTTATCAACAGGTTCACCTACCTGCCTAAGGTATGAGCAACCCCCATGTCCATGCTGGCGAAATCTTAAAGGTGGTCAGCTAAATGGTGGCAATCTGCGGATTTCAGCTCACAATATAGCTGGTGTTCGTTTGCTCGTAGCGGTTTCCGGGCCGTGAAGTTGTAAGCCACGTCCGGGAGGTGCAAAAGGATTGAGACTGGATCGATGAGTAAAACTGGCCCGAACAACTGGGAGGTTTCGGAGTAGTGCAGAAGGTGAGAGGAGATGACACTACCATAGGAGTGGGATGCGAGTATGCATTCGTGCCAACCATGGTGCCGAAGAATCTGCTGAATCTCAAAACACATCTGGTCCTTTTCTAGGGCTGCACCAGTGATGCGGAAGGATACACTCATAATCTCAATCGCAATGATCCCAATATCGCCATCTTCGTCGCGCCCATTAGACGATTTGTTGATTTGACTTAGAAAGTTGACATAAGGATAAAGGCCTATACCGATTCCGTGTATGAACAAAATGGGTAGTCTCGCCTTCGATGTGTGGGGTCGATGCCAGTATGTAAGTGTTTTTGCGGGGGTTTTCTGTTCGCTAAGCAACCCGAATGGACGCAACGGGAACACGTCGAAGAATTGACTGAAAGGAAGACTATGAAAGTGAAAAGAGTTCCAGATAAGGGAAGAAAAGGTGATTGTATCGACAAAGAAGACACACTGAAATCAATCATCAGTACCATCCGTGTGATGTGCCGCTGTGACTTACAAAGTACCAGAGCAGGGACCTGTGTAGGCTCTGAAATCGATCGACGGTCACCCGCAACGAGACTGCGTTTCCCCGCCCTGGCTCCAGTCTTCTTCCCAGACATAGCTCTGTCTCGTCCGCGTATTCCTCCAGCTCGTCGTCATCTTCCGGACCATGATCCTTCTTGTTGAGAAAAGCCCAGCAGAAGAGTTCTGTATCTTTGAGTACTGTAAAGACGGCCGGAGGATTTGAGATTCACCTTTCACGTTTTCACGTTTGATCTCTGATGCCGGGGCTCCCCTCATCCAGCCCGAGAGATATTTTTCAGGGTCTTCCACGGTGTCCAGGCAGAGTTTGAAAAGCTCTCGCCGCTGCTCCCGGGGCAATAGCTCTGGATGAGTGGCTGCTCTTTGAAGCACGATAGTTCTGGGTACATAGATCAAGGCGAAGAAGGCTGTTTCCGCAATAGCCCATATCTCAAGCACTAGTGGAACGCGATACGTCGAAGGGCGTAAAAGCAGAACGGCCATGCAGTAGACAGCGCTTAACGGAGCAATGTAGTGAAGGAAAAAGATACAAGCCCGAATGAAGGCATAGCTTGCAGGCGAATTGTTGATCATCGCGTTTACTTGGTCATTCTTGGTGAAGTGACTACAGAGTATCTTTGTCAACGACAGGTCAGCGGCCAATATACCCTTGGATAATTTTCATTTGCTTTTCGGGGTGTTGAGCCAGATTTTGAGCAAAGCAATGGGAAAGGGTTTGTACCTTACTCAGAGACCCTGCATATGTAAGGCTGGGCTTGGTTCCCACTAAGGATCCCCAACGAAGCGAGGCTTGATTGATTTCTCTCGTCTCACGCCCTCGACATCATAGGTAGAGGTCTGTGCAGGACCCTTGTTATCTTATGCGATTGGGGTATACGCTATCACAATCTTTGCGTACCTGGGAGAAGGCGCAAAATGTCTGCGACAGCCACTAAGCCAGCAATCTACTTCGGCAATTTTGTGGTCACAGCACAGGTTCATCACAAAGAGCTCCAATCCCTCCAAAGCTCTCTCTGACCTGGCTCCAAGGTCTTTCATCTTACACCGCATTCATTCGCTTTGGTTAACTTGAAGCCTCTGCTCCCTGGCCATGTTCTCGTGTCTCCTAGGCGGGTCACTCCTAGGCTTTCTGACCTCACTCATACCGAGGTGACGGATCTATTCCTTACCGTCCAACGAGTTGGCCGCATGATCCAACGGGTCTACAATGGAACAAGCCTAAACATAGCCATGCAAGATGGCGCCGATGCCGGCCAGAGCGTACCACATGTCCATACACACATCATACCTCGAGTAAAGGCGGACTTAGACGATAGGGGAGGTTCTGATGCGATACACAATATGCTGGAAGGTGACGAAGGTAACGTGGGAAAGCATCTGCGGGAATGGTCTGAGGATAGGCCACGATTCCCTAAAGTCGACGATGATGCCAGGAAGCCAAGGAGTAAGGAGGACATGGCTAAGGAAGCTCAGAGACTTGCGCAAGAGATGGAAAAAGAATGAGGTGACGAGGATTTTAAGCTGTGATAAAAGATACGTACAGGTGTGGCTCCAGCGTATTGGAAGACCCGCAGGTACGTGCGGAAGAGTTCGTTCCCAAGATCGGAGGACATAATCTCGCAAAGCGTTTATTTCACAATCTCACAACTTCTCTCACTCTTCTGTCCCTCCCTATGACAAGCCTCAATTGTCTGCCTTTCCCTTCATCGAAGGCGCCTGCTCTCAACCTTGTCGTAAAGAGCTCGTATGCCGGGTAATCTGTTATGGTCAGTAGCAGCTGGGATTGGCGCAGGATTTAGCATACAGCCGTTCACAAAGTCGACCACTTGCTCGTCTGTCATTCCCGAACCTTTCTTCTCGCGAAGCTTTCTCTCGCTTTGAGACCTCCAATCATAGACGAAAATTGGATCTTCAGCATCAAGATGGATCAATGCATCCAGCTGGTCGGTCAGCTGATCATACCTCCGCAAAGCCTCATTCACAAAGTCTACATCCTCTAATCTGTTCCATCCAAGGCGTCCAACGTAATGTCCTTTCTCTCGTTCTCTTACAGCACCTTCCCAGTCTTGTACCAAGTTGTCTCTTGGCAAAGCTCGGAAGCCTACGCACCAGCCTTCGAAGAGTACCACTTCCGTCTTATGTGTTTTATCTCGATTTACTTCTGGCCACTCCTCTTTGGGAACTCTATCCCCTTGTCCACTATATGCACTCTTGTCATAGCTGGGAATTTTGGTGACTTTACCGTGTTGAAGGTCCGAAAACAAATAAAGAGCCAGAGGAAGATCATGAGTAGATGGTTGCCCGCGATGTTGGATCAGCGGGTTGGAAGGATGAGAAGCAGCAAGCTCAGATTGCTGCTCGTGCGTCAAGTAAAGATCATCGATGGAAAGGACTATTGTCGAATAAGAATGTGGGGGTTGGCGGAGCTTTTCGGCAAGTGTAGAAACCTACAGGAGAACAGGAAAATTAGACATGCAGTGGAAATGGAAATCAGGAACGTGAGATATAACATTGACAACTCAATCAGAGCCAAAGATGGACACAGAGAGCCTAAGGAGCTAAAAGCGTGGTTCCATCGAAAGCCTCGATGAATGGATGAGTGAGAGCAATTGATTTTTGGATTCGAAGCATCATCAATATTTACATTGTATGTTGATGGCCAGCTACACTTACCAAAGTAGTCTTCCCTGAACCCTGAGGGCCGTTAACGCCAATGAATATGGGCGATCGAGGAATATCATCGGTCACAGACGACTTTTCGCTCATGTGATTAAGGATAAAGGGAACACAGTGATCTGACTTGTCATCTACAACCCCGGACATGTTGATGCATTGACTGGTGATAATCTTCCGAGGAGCTTCCAAGTCAGGCAAGGTGCCAAAAAGAAGAGTGGAAGTGGAAGAGATATCTTGCATTTCCTTCAGATATAGAACAAACAGTACCAGTATCAGCGAGAGAATTTGTAAGTCAGATGATGCTCTTGTCGACGACATATGTGTCCGGATAGTTGCCCAAAATCCATGTGAAAATACATACTCGTGGATTCCAGAAGTGAGTTATTTGATAGAGCGAGGACCCAATAGATATTTCCACTAGCGGCATGTCGCTTGATTTTTGCCCAATAATCCAGGTGTGAGTTCTTTGATAGAGCGAGGACACCAATAAGTCTTCCACTTAGCCGAATATCGGTTAATCTATTGGTGTCCTCAATCTATCAAAGAACTCACTCTGGTAGTACGGAGTACCTAACTTTTATAAGAAGCCTTTTTTAGTCCACCACATTAGTCTTCCGAAAGGTGGGGCCTTAACTCCGTGCCGAGGCATACGAGTAGCAGGTACTCTTTTGTGTCCTGTCCGCTCTCGTTTCCTTCCTCCATAAAACATAAAACACTGCCTCAATACAGGTAATCACCATGTCAGAACTGAGGTTTGATGGGCAGACAGTCGTCGTGAGTGGCGCCGGAGGCGGATTGGGGAAAGCATACGCTGTATTCTTTGGGGCACGAGGCGCCAATGTTGTCGTCAATGATCTTGGAGGGTCGTTCAAGGGGTGCGTAAAATCCAGAGACTCACCTTTCGATGCCAACACCCGGGTTCAAAAACATCATGTGTCGTGATCAGAATGCTTTTCTTGTCCCTCAAAACTACCTCATGAATGTCCTTCCCCAGAAGAAGCAATGCTGACTCAGAAGCCTGAACAGGGAGGGACAGTCTTCCAAGGTATATACTCCTTCCTGATGCCTGCGAACCGAGTAGCCGATTTGACTCAAACCCACAGGCAGCAGATATGGTCGTCAACGAGATCCGAGCAGCTGGCGGTAAAGCTGTAGCTAATTATGACAGCGTCGAGAACGGCGAGAAGATCATTGAGACAGCGATCAAAGAGTTTGGCAGGATAGACATTCTCTTGAACAATGCCGGCATTCTACGAGATGTCAGCTTTAAGAATATGTCTGATGACGACTGGGATCTCATCATCAAGGTTCATGTAAAGGGCGCGTACAAAGTAGGTTTCGTCTTTCAAATCGTTTCTGATTGACAGCTAAAGCTACTTGTCCCAGTGTGCCAGAGCTGCGTGGCCACATTTCCGGAAGCAGAAGTATGGCCGGGTTATCAACACAGCGTCTGCTGCAGGCCTGTTCGGAAGCTTCGGTCAATGCAACTACTCCGCCGCCAAACTCTCTCAAGTCGGTTTCACCGAGACGCTCGCAAAGGAGGGTTATAAGTACAACATAATATGCAATGTCATAGCACCCATAGCCGCCAGCAGGATGACACAGACTGTGATGCCACCAGATATCTTGGAAAACCTCAAGCCAGATTGGGTCATACCACTCGTTGCTGTGCTTGTGCATCCTTCGAACAAGCACGAGACAGGATCGATCTTCGAGGTGGGAGGAGGACATATTGCAAAATTGCGATGGGAGCGAGCAAAAGGTGCTCTGCTGAAGACTGGCCCAAGCCTTACCCCAGGAGCAATCCTGAGACAGTGGAAGAATGTCAATGATTTCTCGGAGCCAAGCTATCCAAGCGGCGTTGCAGATTTCATGAGTCTGCTCGAAGAAGCGCAAAAGCTTGGAGAAAATGAGCCAGGCGAGCATATCGACTACACAGGAAAGGTCGCGGTCGTGACAGGTGGGGGAGCTGGGTGAGTTGCCCTATTGATTGCTACGTGGTGGTGCTGATGGTCGTAGACTTGGTCGCTCGTACTGCCTCCTTTTCGCGAAATTAGGCGCCTCCGTGGTGGTCAACGACCTTGTCAATCCTGGTGACGTGGTTCAAGAGATTCAAAAGAACGGCGGAAAAGCCGTGGGTAATAAAGCCTCTGCTGAGGACGGAGACGCTGTTATAAAAGCTGCAATGGATGCATACGGACGAATCGACATCCTCGTCAACAATGCCGGGATTCTGAGAGACAAAGCTTTTGCTAATATGGAAGACAAGATGTGGGATCAAGTTATTGCTGTCCACCTTCGAGGGACCTACAAAACCACCAAGGCCGCATGGCCATATTTCTTGAAGCAGAAATATGGACGAATAGTCAATACCACGAGCACAAGTGGTATCTATGGGAATTTCGGTCAAGCTAATTATGCTGCAGCAGTACGTTTCCCATATGAAGATCTCGAACAGATACTAAATTTGCCTAGAAACTTGGTATACTTGGTCTCTCACGTGCGCTTGCACGTGAGGGTGCAAAGTACAATATCAATGTCAATACAATTGCGCCGAACGCCGGTACGAATATGACAAGAAGCATAATGCCTGAAGAGATGGTCCAAGCATTTAAACCTGAACAGGTAGCACCACTTGTTGTCGCGTTGTGTTCCGATCAGGTCCCGAAGCCTCCAACAGGAGGCCTATTCGAAGTAGGCAGCGGCTGGCATGCGCGGACGAGATGGCAAAGAAGCGGCGGGCACGGCTTTCCAGTCGATGTAAAGCTTACTCCTGAGGCCGTAGTGAAGGCGTGGTCGGATATTGTCAACTTCGACGACGGAAGGGCAGATCATCCGGAGGATGGCCAAGACGGATTGAAGAGCATAATCAACAACATGCAAAACAGGAGTAGCGATGTCAACAAACCAAGAGAGGCAAACACTGACACTCTGGACAAGATCGAGAAAGCGAAAAAATTGCACTCCGAGGGAACCAAATATAAGTATGATGACAAGGATATCATCTTGTATAACCTTGGGATTGGCGCCAAGAGGACCGAACTTCCCTTCGTGTATGAGAACTCGGATTTCTTTCAGGCACTTCCTACCTTCGGTGTGGTTCCCTACTTCGGCGCTGAGATACCTTGGAGTATGAATGAGGTTCTCCCCAACTTCTCACCCATGATGCTTCTCCACGGCGAACAATACCTTGAGATTCGCAAATTCCCCATACCAACCGCTGCGACACTGGTCAGCTATCCCAAACTTGTCGAAGTAATTGACAAGGGCAAGTCCGCCATCATGGTATCCGGGACAACCACGAAGGACGTCGCTACTGGAGAAGATATTTTCTACAACGAATCATCCGCCGTCATCCGAGGCAGCGGGAGCTTTGGAGGTCCCAGCAAAGGAGCAGACCGAGGTGCGTCGACCGCAGTGTATCAGCCTCCAAAAAGGCAACCTGATGCTGTTGTTGAGGAGGCGACGACCGAAGAGCAAGCTGCTCTCTACCGTTTAAACGGTGATAGGAATCCTCTGCACATCGACCCAGATTTCTCGAAGATGGGCGGCTTCAAGACTCCCATCTTGCACGGCCTGTGCTTCTTCGGTATCAGCGGCAAGCACGTTTATCAGTCATACGGTCCATTCAAGAACATCAAGGTCAGGTTTGCAGGGACGGTGCTCCCAGGTCAGAAGCTAAGGACCGAGATGTGGAAGGAGGGCGGGAAGGTAATATTTCAGACCAAGGTAGTGGAGACGGGTAAGTTGTGCATTGCTGGAGCTGGGGCGGAACTGTTGGGAACTGGGAAAACAACGAAGCTGTGATACAAACGTTGGAGCGTCCAAGGGCGTTTCTCAGTCAAAGATAGCAGCTATATGTAGCTAGTTTGAAGAATTTCCTTAAGAGGCCTTGTAATCAGACGTGATACGGTACCCGAACTCCAGGACCGACACCACGATCTGGTAGGAAGGCTAAAACGCAACGCGCTAAGTGCAGCTCACAGCTCGTACATTAGCTCCGAGTCCCCATACCACAACCGACGACCGCATCTACCACCTCCTCACTCGCAACTCACGAACTCCGATAGTTACCATGGCAAACGGGTCAGTCCTTTGTCCATTCCTAATATCAAGCGCATCCCTTTGCTAACCCGACTTCCTCTGGTAGCGCTAGCATCATCATCGGCCTCGTTTTTGTTGTCGTGGCGTCGCTACTCGCCTATTTCTTCTCACCCAAAGGCGAAAACCAGACGTGAGTCCCTTGGAGTCTCCTGGACTGATGGACCGAGGCCGGCATGACTGACGATTGGGATCCTGCAACAGTGTCTGGCGCAGTTCTCTCATCCTAAGCTTCGCAAGCTGCTACATAATGTGGGGTACGTCGACCTTTCCTCAACCTGGCTTTCGGCCTGATTCAGAGCTGAATTTGGTCTCGTAGCAATAACATTCCTTGCACAATGGCATCCACTCATCAACCCTGAAAACGCGGAGCTGAGACCGGAGCACGCTCCTTGAGGGCTGCGGGGAATCTTTTTATATTTGCTGGCATGGTTGTCAAGGCACGACGTGTCTGGGAATTCTTGTTGTTTATACGGCTACGGTGACGGAATGGCAGTAACATCGACGTTGGCGGGTACTACATTGCGTGTTCGAAGGGGCGCGCTGACGCTTCCTGGAGAGGTAGCTACCCCGGAGGCGATTACTACAGGAGCCGTCAAAAGGGCACTTTTGTCATATACCGACTTCCCCAAAGCAGTTTCCATGCTCATGTACCCGCCGCTGCAAAGGATATCGTTCTTGTACGGTCCCTCGGAATATACTTCCAGCTGACATTGAGAAGCAAGGACTTGGCGAGACCAAGTCGATAGGTGCGCCAGCCTTTCATTGGGCATTTTCAATTGCCGTCTGTTCTATGGCTGCTTTCGGAAAGAATCCGGCGCAATCATCTTGTCAGTTCTTTAAGCTTTTATTGATGGCTGCTACAGTGATCGAGAATCCAAGAAGATGTATTGAACTTCTTGAAAAAGGAGCAGTCCTGTCCAAGTATTGAAAGCGTTGGCTTGAAAGCTGTTGGTCGTAGTTTTATTGGCTAACTATACAGACACACATACGCACACAAAAGCCACCGTAGCGGCGTGCCGCCAAACATGCCAATTATCACGCCTTGTGCATGCAGTCCTGGTCACATTAGGAAAGTACATAATCATTGAAAATGATTTTAGACCCTCAAGCATCACGAGTTCATTACATGACCTGGAAAACTATACAAAGGTAGTGTGAGTGACGACACCATCCTCCAATAGCTATAATGCTGGGCACGTCGAATGGGGAGCTGGAAAATCCCCAAATGCTCATGATGCCGAAGAGAGCCTCGGCGAGGATGAAGTTGGGCGTCCCTGCTGAGGCGCCTTTTGCTCATCAACCCCTTGTCCTCTGCAAAGAGGGCAAGAATTACGCCCAGTAGTGAGCCACTACAACCAAGACATATCAGCGTCGACCTAACAGAGTTTTAGGAGTAGTACAACGACATACCACATCGATACATTCACGATGAAACAGGTGAGAGCATTTCTTCAGCTGCCGCACTTGCTCTTCGGCTTGGTACTCTTCGAGGCAGACCAAGCAGCGCTCACTGGAGCCTATTCGAATCTGGCTCATACCCCGGGTAGCTTCTGCAACAAGTGTATCTGCAGACCGCTTGATACAAAATAATCCTGATGCTGAAGCAACATCCTCACGACTGGCGACGGGAGGCTTGGCGGGACCCAAAAGGGAGGATAACAGTAACATGTCTTCGTATGTGGGATTCTAGAGATGTCAGACAGCAGCAATGACTGATCAAACCCTTCGGAGTATTAGGGAAAATGTAGCATACATCTGTGAAAAGGCTTGGAGTGGTCAATGCAGGATGATCTTCGGAAAGGTTTGTGCCAACGACGTATATCAACCAGCTTCGACTTCCTGGGGCTGGAGTATCGCCAGTGTCGACCTCGTCCGGTTCTACCATTCCGTTTCGTCTAGCGGCACCAGCTCCAAGATTCCGGTGACGCGCAAATTCCGAATCGCTCCTTCGCCGGTGCTGCACACGAGTCGCTTGGTCTTCGGGGTCAGATGATCCCGCTTCTCGCAAATGCTGTACTGCTAGGTCTCGGTTGGGCATCGGTGGCTGCTGTATTGCTGATGCGGATGACGGTCGACGACTGGGCGTCGTAGCTGCAGAAGAGTACGCAGACAGGCCAGGATCTGCGGGAGTAGACGGTGGAGGATGGGGCCCTGGAGGGGATTCAGAGGGTGTAGGAGGGTTAGCTGAGCTGGGATTCGGATATATATCTGTAGAACCCTGTCTACTTGGGCTCAAGGTACGCTGGTGTCGTTGGCTATCATAATTAGCTGGAAATGTGTTAAGTCCTCCAATAGAAGCACGTCGACGATGTGGGAACCTCGATCTGCCATTAGCATGCCTAAGTAAGCCGCCAGCTCCATGCCTATGGGCGTTGGTTGGAGCCAAGGGTGAGAAATTGAGCAGGGAGTCCAAATTAGATTCTCCAGTGGCTGTATCTTCGAGACCGATGTTTTCCGACGGAACTGAGCGGACTCCAACTACGACCAGCGTTACGGTCCTTCCTTCGCGATCGACAGAAGCGTTTTCATCCGCTGCTGAATGACTGTTGGCTCTTGTTCGCCCACCCGTCCTCTCAGCATTTGACGTAGCATTTGCGGCTATCGTAGTCGAAGTTTGACTAACGAATCGAAAGACCCGTAAAAAATTCAGAGGAGGTAATGTACCTAGAGGGCGTGTGGAATCTTGGCTGCCGTCATGAGTACGTGTTTCTCCAGTCAGACTCGTCGCATTTTGAAGCGTCCGAAAGAGATTGTTGAGACTCCCGTCCAAATCATCAGGGCCAATTGCCTGGATGTCTGGGACAGGCTGTTCAGACGTTCCGGAAAGCTGGGCGGCAATTGCAGTGGCAGCTAAGTGTAGAATCCGAGGCAAAGGGCCATCGTTGTCACGCCTGATCAGCCGACTTGATCGGCCTCGGAGCATACTGGGCATCCTGCGACCTTCGCGTCTTCCGCCAGGCCCACGTTCCGTCCAACGTTCCGTCCAACTAGCCGGCTCAACCCTAGAGACAGTACGCTCAGGAGACTCGGACAGGGTAGCGACACCTGAAACTCTTTGTTCCCTGTTACTAGAAGGTGATGTTTCAGGTCTGGGGCTATTCATGCCAATGCTTGGATCGGCGACATCAAGTGGTGGAAGCGGGGAATTAGGATCATGGGTCGGTGTTAGTCTCAAGGGACGTTGAGGCGGTAGTTGACGACCATGATCCGGACTTGGCGCGTTTGTTGTAGGAAGCAAAGCTTCAAATGGAGTCGAGATAGATCGACGGACTCTCGATAGGCGAGCGCTACGAGAGATTGAGAAGAATCTTGATGGAGGGCTACCAGGCGCCGTAGAAAGTGTCCTTGATGGAAGTACTTCGCGAAGCGGAGACTGCGTAAAGCCAGAAGGGGGCAGTGACCCATCGGGGCTGAGAGGAAAGGGACGAGAAATTGGTGCAAGCTCTCTCGGCCGCCTTGGCCTTGAACCAGTGGAAGGTCTCGGAGTCAAGGAGCCAAATAATGACAGGCGATGAGTGGGGTGATCTCTTGCGTCGTTCGTAGTATTTGAGGGATCAGTATTCGACAATCTCCGTCTCAGGAAACGACCCTCTCCCTGGCCGTCACCTGGAATTTCGCTTGCAGCATAGCGTGGCATAATCATTGAGCTTAACCTGGCCATTCGGCTCGTTCGTCTTGGCATTGGAGACGCGGTAATGTGCGTGATTGGAGTACTCTGCATACCCAGGTCCCCCATGTCAGCCAGGGGCCGCTGCTCGTGCTGCTCATAGAATATCTCATCTCGGGTTAAGATGTCTCTGCTGTTCCCTGCTCCTCCTCTTAAGGCCGGTATTGATTGGGCGGATATCTGCCGGCTGAACGTTGCGATGGGCCGCGAGGACTGAGAGTCTTGTACCTGAGAGGGCGTTGTGGATGTTCCTTGGATCGGCTGATCGGTGGTTCGCGGACCAGAAGACCATAGTCTCGGAGATGGCCCATCTCTGGTTTCTCTATCCTGGACGATTTGAGAGAAGCGTCGAGAATTGCGGTGGAGGAAGTCTTCCCGATCACGTTGAGTCGAAGCACTTTGACCCATGGCGGGCGGAATCAGCTTTCGAGTCGGGAAAGACAATAGTGCATGAGGCTTGAGGAGTTGGGTTACTTCATAGCAAATGCCACGAGAAGGAGCCAGCGGAGTAGTTGTAAGACAGAAGGGTCGGAAAGGCTTCAGGATTGGATTCAAACGGTTCTTGCGTTGCGTGGTGACAAGTATGAGCCATATGTCTTTGACTGTAGAGTGACTATAGAGTGTTTGCGAAGACAGGGTGTAGAAGTGAAATAAAAGTGAATGCTGGATGAGGATGGCTCGAGCCACGAGATAGAAAGAAAGTTTGGAAGTCAGCGGGCGGTGTAATGGGGGACAGCAGAGTGAGTGAGGTGCTTCCTGGGATCGCGCTCCATGTCGAATACACTTGCGAAGTATTCAATGATGAAAGACGGTCAGTCACTGTTTATAGTATGTCTACAGAGTGATATATCATATACTCTATGTCTAATTTTACTAAGGTGACCCTGCTGCTGCTGATGCTGCCGATGCTGCTGCTGCATAAGGGTAAGTACCATATGATCCTTGTTCGTTTTGGCTTGGCCGCTGCTAGGTCGCAGCAGTCTAGCCTTCTTTCACTCCCACATCCCGTACTCAGCACATTATGGATTTCTGCTTATATATGATGATGCTTTTCTATGAGGCGTCTTTAAATTCCTCATCATGGTCATGCTCTAGTATTGTCCACGAACATGATGCGACTCAATTTCAGATGCTTGTTGAACATGCCATCTCCTGTTCCAAGGTTTCAAAATCGCTGACCCTACCACAATCTGAACCCTCTAAAGATAACCACATACTGAATTTGAGAGGACCAAAGGACGAACCAGCAGATGAAAGATGGTACTCTTCGAATAGATTGATGCTATGATCCATCTTCGTCCATCACACTCTAGCTAAGAAACAGCGATGTCTTCTATCCTGTACTTCTCGCCTGCTTTTAAGCCCAGCTTGTCACTTTCAGATCTTCCGTCTTCTCCCCGCGAATTGTCCAAGAAGCGGAAAAGGGACCTTGAGCCTTTGGACGGTGATGGTGGTGACGGTGGTGACGAGGGACTGGAAGCAGATTCCGCTGCTAACGGAACAAGCCTGCCCTCCGGATACTCCAACGCTTCTGTCACTATATCATCAGCAGCCCTAGATGTGGACACATCGCCTAGCGACAAGACACTCCACTCTCAGCCTTCCAGTCACACTGATCGTCAAGGACTACACGCAAGTAGTTTTCCTCAATCTTTCCCACATCACATCGCAGGGACTGCGCCTTCGATGTCTAAAGGACGGATCAGCGATGAGCTCGCCACACTCAAGCCCCCATTATATGTTACCACGGGAAGTGTGCCTACTGCCGCAGCAGAGAGAGTTCCTAGCAGCACGGGGTCACGACAGCATCATCTTAACACCATTACGGCAATCCTGCACAGGTGTCTTTCGGAAGGCGACTATATACGCGCAAGCAGAGCGTGGGCGATGCTTCTCCGAGCTGAACAGAACGGTCGTTCTATGGATCTCAGGACGCATGATCGTTGGGGTGTGGGGGCAGAGATCCTCATGCACCGTGAGTCGCAAATGACGCAGAAGACCCTAGACCACAACGTAATTGATTTTTCGAGTTTCACGTCCGAATTCAGTGTCAAAACCGAAAATTTTGAGAAGGCCAAAGAGTATTATGAGAGGGTTGTACTTCAGTATCCCTATCGTAAAGCATTTCCCAACGCCATAGGGTCTCTAAACTTCTCCATAGCCATGTTCAGTCTCTGGATATACACGATCCAAGAGCGGAGTTCAATAGCGCTCATGGCTGTTGGCGGCTCCGACCAAGGTATGGACGAGACCGATGCAGAAGCCAATGACGACGTTCAAAGGTCATCCGCATCAGATATGGAGCCTGATCGCTACCGAATGCGTGAGCAAGTCAGGAGAGACACCCTGCAAAGTGCTCACGAGATCGCTACCCGACTTGATGGGTTGCTCGTATCTCCGCCCTATTCCGACAGTGCTAGGTTCTGGAAGCTTTGTGTTCAAATGTATTTGTGGATCGCGAATCTTTCAGTTGCTACCATCTCTTCAAACTACGGCTCAAGTAGCAACGGGGATGATGAAAACCTGACTGTGGGAAGTTCATCCCGGTTGAGAAATGTCAGCTGGGGTACTCCCTCGAACGAGGAACATAGAGCTGGACAAGCGCGACAGAAAGCCCTTGCAAGGGCAGAAGAGGCATTCCAGAGGCTCAAAATTTATGGTGAAAGTTCGTCAGAGTAGCATGACCTCTATCGAGCGAAAACAACCTTGTGGCGGGCTCACCGTTGGCACAATGGTTAGGAGGTGGGTACGTCGCCTCATCCGTTACGATGCTCTAATCTTCACATAAAATGGTCAAAGGTCTACTGCTTGTTGCTGCTGGAAGCCAGAGGCTGTCATCGGTAGGTCAACGTCCCATAGATGTGACAATGTCGGATGGTGCATCAAAGGCCAGAGAAGTCTCCAAGATCTGCAACATGTGGCGACGGTTCGTCGTATTTGCGCTAGCAGACCCCCTTCAACTTTGTGCCCTCGTGCCAATGCGAGGTATCTATTCATAAGATGTGGTTTGACGGGTCAGAAATCGGATCAGTCCTACAATTCATGGTGTCCTCTTGCGACCCCCTCACACCAATCTTCTATCAGCTCGTTGCTAGCCTCTTAGATACTTGTTTGCTCCTGGATGGTGCCATCGCTCTTGCAGATGAAGTTTGAGCCGGAAGGCCCGGGAAGCAGGCATGGTGGCTAGGGTGTACAAGAGAGAAATCAAGATGCAGAGCATTTGGTCGCAACGTCTTGCCCACCGGGTTTGTCCCGTCCCAGCCAGCATAAGGATCAGCATGAGTGAGCAATGCGGGTCTTACCGGGGTTCAGACCTGGCCAGGAATACAGAAGCATGCCGAGATGAAGATATCTTGGATACAAGGGTGGCAAATTCCGGCGGGAGAAACCTTGAAAGATGAGTTCGATTTAGACTAAGAAGCAGTGCCTGATCGGCATGAATCCACGTGAGCTTGACAGTTGGGGCGCCGCTTGGTGCCTTCAGATTCCCATCGGGGAGAGATGATCGACCCAACGGTATCTATGTTTGTCAGATCGGTAGTAAGGATGATGCACTTGCCGCCGAAGGGAAACAAGAGGTACTAGATAGATAATAATCGGAGTATACTAAATCATAGAGAGGTGGTACCTTTTTTTTAGGGAGAAAATACAAGGGTTGTTTTAATGTGCGGCGTAGCTTCCGTTTAGGCAGTAGCGATATAGTTACTTTATGACTTTAATGAGTACTGAGTAAGGTAGGTAGGGAGGTAGGGTACCTTAGGCACAAGAATCATGATTTTATGACAGGGTATCGCCACGGCGTACCTACTAGACTGCTAGGATGTTTTCAAAGTCCAGGAAGTTTTATAGTGTGTTGAATAAAATAGAATAGAAAAAAAGAAAGAAAAAAAAGTAACACTTTTACACCTCGACCGCCGACGGTTGAACCCTTGATCATTTTAGATTATTATTGGGCGGATTCATGGGTAAGGTAGATCTGGCGCTGGCGACAGAAAGAAAGAGAGAGAAAATCGCACTTGCACACACACTTGCTTAAGTACACTTGCTTTAGTTGTTTAAAAGCCGAAGCGCATTATTATTATTATTATTATTGCTGACCTCCGGTCTCTTTTCCAGGGTTTACGATGATCTTGTGATAAAAATAATAGATAGATTACAGCTGCGAGCGGTGATCATGAGCACAGGAATAACCAAAGGAGGCTCACACGACGATCATCAAAGGTTATTGAATTGAGGTCCAAAGAGAGAAAGCCAGAGGTGGGTGCAGCAATCAACCAGTAGTCCTCGTACTGTGCCAATAATATCAATATACCTTCCTTTCTTTCCCTCCAACTACATCCCTTCCTTTCTTTCTTTCTGTCCTTCCTTCTTTCCTTCTTTCTTTTTCTCTCTCTACCCTCTTCCAGTACGCCTTAATCGGGTCTTTACATCGTCGAGTTTTGCAGCGCATAGTCCATCGTTTTGTTGCTGTTATTACGCCTTTTGTTCCCTGTCTGATAGCACGAATTCACATTGAAGTATTCAAAAGGGCCACAGCATTCTCCGGTTATACCAAAGCGATCCGGTTTCAAGACTGCCGATTTCGCTCCTGTCATGAGCGGTTTTTATCCTTCCAGGCTCCAAGAAACATCGAATGCAAATACGAATAGCCTAGACCTATCCTCTCCGTCCATCGGCACCAATGATCTAACAGACGTTCACTCTGCCAATGCTGGTCGTTGGCACAACTCAGCAGAGACCCAACCAATGGAAGAATCGAAGCCTGCCCCGAGAAGGCGTCGACCGTCAGGTGACGATCATGTCAAGCATCGAAGAACAAGGAATGGCTGCTATACTTGTCGAGGCCGAAGGGTGAAGGTAAGGTATTCACCTCGGACAAGCCGAAGCCCAGGGTCGCTAACACTTTCCGTCGCTTAGTGTGATGAGATACATCCTGTGTGCGAGCGTCGGTCTCACCCTTCGTACTCCAGTACCGAGAGAGGTGCTAACGTTAAGCTTCCTATAGGGTGTAAGAAGGGCTCAAGGGAATGCACCTATCCTGAACCTCGCTCAACTCCAAAGCCCTCCAGCGGCTCCAAACGTGACCAGGCGCCTACAGCCGCTGACGACAGCAGATCATCGTCCGATGACCATGACTCTTCAAAAGAGTCTACTCCGATCGAACGGCGCAGGAAGAAACCCGAACTTGAGAAGTCCGGCGCTTCACGTCTCAAGGCATCCCAATCCAAGCAAGCCTCATCTCAATCTCAAATATCAAGCCTAGTTGAGCAACCCCGACAATCTGTGGAGCAAGTCAAACACGAGAGCAGCTTGTCGCCATCAACAGAGGCCTCGAGCGCTCCGGTATCCGCTGGGTGGTTCGAAAATCCAGAGAAGTCCTCGTCTGTATCGACGGACTTTTCTCAAGAAGACAGAGCTTGGTCACACCTGTCTCAGGACCTACAATTCTACTTAGAATATCACACGACACGTTTGAATTACCATCATTACTTTTTCAAGCACGACGCCAATCACTTCCTGCACAACATTCTCGTTAAGCATGCATTACAGTATGACCCTCTACTATATGCCGTCGTTGGTTTTGCGGCTTTTCAGTTGACCGTAACACGCCCGAATGGTAAAATCCAAGATTTCCTGGGTTACTATAACAAATCGGTTTCGTTGCTACGGAAATCGCTGGTCGAAAATCAGAAACACACAGAGGCCACCATGTTGACGATCTTACAACTTGCTACCTTTGAGGTGCGTTGGACCTTTTGTCGTCCCGAGTAGAGCTGACAACCTGCAAAGGATTACCTAGGCGACTGGGTCAGCTTACTTGGCCATCAAAAAGCTGCCTATGGGATGCTTCTGGAACTATACTCATCTCACTCGATTATGGAGACGGAAGTGCGCAGGAAGATTCTAGCTTGGTACTCAAGATTTGACGTGATGGGAGGGCTAATGTCTGGTTACCAGACCATTTTGGGCCGAGAATGGTTTGTTGCCACAGTAAATTACTATCGCCAGCAGTCTTTGAGTTATCCAAACAGCATAGACTACAAGATTGAAGCAACCATTGCCAAGCACCGACTCTTGGCAGTCGACCTGGCTTTGCTCTTCGCCCAATTACCTCGGGGTGCCATCACTATCGAGACCTTCGAGAGAGAGAGCGATAAGTTTGCTGAGCAGATCAGGACCTGGAAGGAGAACCTGGACCCAATTTTTCGAGACCCGAGCTATCTTGTCGAATCTTTCGAAGGAAAAGCACGAGCTCCAGAGGACATTGTCGATCCTTACCTGCCCGGAGGCCTTTACAAAGGCGCACTGTTTTCATTCAACTTTATGCTTATCGACTGGCATGCCATTAACTTGATGCACGGGTACAAGACAGCTTCGATGCTTAAGCGACCACTCCCACTAGAGCTTTCCAGAATAGCCTTGGATATATGCAGATTGTTTGAAGCTATTGAATGTTGGCCCGATAGCCCGCCCGGGTCTGTGCTGAAAGCGCAAGGTAGTCTTGGCCTTGCAATATTAGTCATTCCGAAAGATGAAAAACATATTATGTGGTGTCGGCGGAAGTTGGCCAAAGTAGAAAGCTTGGGGTAAGTTCTTTTGCCTTGCCTTTCCGATCTCGCCCTCAATGAGATGGTACATTGAGCATGAGCTGACTTTGCACATAGCCATATATACCCATCTACACTTCGCCACCAAATGGCTGAACTATGGGGTATACCCGAGGTCAGTGAATGGTGGTTACCGGACGAGAAACAATGTCCACCGGTGGTGCGCAGTATTCGTTCGTTTATGGAAAATCGTCTTCCGCAAGGCAAAGACGAATCACGGAGCGAAGACCAGCGGAACATCAAGGGTATTTTTTCTCAACTCAGCCTCCACGAGAGTCCCAAAGCCGGCCTGGGACAGGCGAGTGGGTTTGGGACACCGCCTTTCCTCGACTCAACAAATCCTTCTGCTGAGGATCTTGCATCTCAAAGCCTGGCTGGTCATGCAGCAGATCCGGATGTAGATCAAGACATGGGTTCGGACAATTCTATGCTCGATCAGAGCCGCGAGAGCTTCTACAACATGGGGTATAACAGGGACTAAATTCTAAAAAAACGAGCATTCGCGTGGGTGTATTCACTGTGCATTGGTATGAATCGATGGTTAGAATTCTTTTGTGAAGCTGGACTTTATGTATATGAGCTCCTTGATGGACGTAGATTTCTCGCCAGTGGTATTGACGAGATAGTTGATGGGACATTTCGCAAAGCAGTCGGAGCGAGAAATGCATAGAATCATCGTCGCCGACTATACTCGCTCTGATTTGGAGATATTAATCGACATGATTCGTCCACTATCAAGATCGCGTCACGTTACGCCACCAAACATGTGTGGAACGCGCCTCGATTTGCCTCAGAGTGCTAAGCTCGCTAAGCTTCTCTAAGTTAGCTTCCGCTTATCAGGGCCCTTCGGGCTAGCACCTTCTGCTTACTTTCGCGAGGTCAGCGAGCTAACCCAAAGAGACTTAGCTGGGTGTCGCTAATCCGAAGGGGCTTAGAGATCTTGGCACGTCTGAGGCACTGAGGCAACGCCGCGGTATAGAAAACCGCCAGCCTTACGTAATACGTGCACAAAGCTACGAGTAGAGAAGGAACTCCTAAACTGCGTCGCGCGACTTCTGTCATGGCAAAACTTCAAGCTGCCACCGTCTCGAATCAACTTGTCCGCAAGCAAAAGCGAAAGGCGCCTTCTGATGTTGCAGAAGCTGAACCCCTTGATGCTCTGCCTTCAATTCCTACATCAACAGTCGCAACCAAAACACATGATGGAGGCAAGAAACCTAGGCGAGCGTCCAAGGATACAAATGCTGGCAAGGGAAAGCTTCCTCTATTGCGCCTGGATTCTTCGACAGTGGTCGAGACCTCTATCCTCTGGCCTGACGAGCTGACCAAGCTCGCTCAGGCGCACCGCGCCCTGAACCTTGTCTACACTTTCTGTTGCACCCGCAAGCACTTGGCCACCACATTTGAGACCATCAAAACGGCAGTAGAAGGTCACATAAAGCGAGAATTATTGATCACGGATGTTGCCCGGATCAAGGCCCTTGTGCCTCGAGCTATCAACTTTGCCTACGTGGATGAATCCAGCTTGCAAGTCGCAGTGCTTGGAGAGGAGGATGGAATCAAGGGTGGTAGGGCAAAGGAACTTCGGCAACTCGAGCTTTCCAAAGAGGGAGCGTCTGAACGGGATGCATATGATAAACAGAAGGAGCTCCTGTTGTTCGAGTTCATTGATGGAGATTTGAAGCGACAAGTGACAAACTCGAAGACAGGGGAGCCCACTAAGCCTTTCCGGAAACTTCGAGAGGAAGACTTGAAAATGCCGGTGTATAGCCAGAAACAGATGATGAAGTTGATAGAGAAAAGGAACACCAAGTTCACGTCCGCTATCAATGCTTTTCTCAATCAATGTGCTGCCGATGATGTTAACCCTATAGCGACATTGAAAGAAAGAGAGAAGGAGTACATTCCTAGACCATCTGATAACATGGGAGACTCTCCAGCACCGGCACTAGCGAAGCCTCCACTAAGGATTCCCACGGAGCGTGACACCGTTGCGAAGATCATTGCAGATATAAAAGCAATGGAATGGTATACGGGGCAGATTGTGCCGGAAGGCCATCGCGTCTTTGACCCTCAGCAGCCCATTTTCGGTGACCTGAACTTCCAATTGTCGCAGAATTTGGTCAATGCATTGTACAACACTCGGGGCATCACCCAGCTCTATTCTCATCAAGCGGAGGCGATAAACAACCTGTATGAAGGTTTCAATGTCATAGTATCCACGTCAACAAGCTCTGGGAAATCTCTAATCTATCAGATTCCCATGTTACACGAGCTAGAACAGGATCCTAACGCTCGAGGCATGTACATATTCCCTACCAAAGCACTTGCCCAAGACCAGAGGAGGAGCATGAAGGAACTACTTCGTTTCATGCCGGGGCTGGAGAACTTAGTTGTTGATACTTTCGATGGGGATACCCCTATGGCTGATCGACACCTCATTCGCGATGAAGGCCGAATTATCTTTACGAACCCAGATATGCTGCACATCACCGTCCTTCCCCAGGAAGATAAGTGGCGAACTTTCTTACAAAACCTCCGATTTGTAGTGGTCGACGAGCTTCACGTCTACAACGGACTTTTCGGCTCGCACGTAGCTTTCATTATGCGAAGGTTGCGAAGAATTTGTGCGGCCGTGGGAAACCGTCACGTGAAATTCGTGTCGTGCTCTGCTACTGTTGCAAATCCAGAAGAGCACATGAGAACAATATTTGGCGTGGGGAACATCAAACTCACAGATTTCGACGGGTCACCGTCTGGTAGGAAGGAGTTCCTGTGTTGGAACACTCCGTTCAAGGATCCCAAAGATCCCTCTTCGGGTAGAGGAGATGCTATGGCTGAAACGGCAAGGCTTTTTTGCCAGCTCATCTTACGTGGGATCAGAGTGATTGCCTTCTGCCGAGTTAGAAAACAGTGTGAGGTTCTCATCACTGCAGTACGAAACGAAGCCACAAATCTGGAAAGGCCCGACGTCGCCGCTCGAATCATGGGGTATCGCGGAGGTTATGCACCGCAAGACAGACGGAAGATCGAGAAAGAAATGTTTGACGGGAAATTAATGGGCATTGTGGCGACCAATGCTTTGGAACTCGGGGTTGATATTGGATCACTGGATGCCGTGATCACGGTTGGTTTCCCATACACTATCGCCAATCTACGACAACAGAGTGGTCGAGCTGGACGAAGGAATAAGGATTCCCTGTCCGTTCTGGTTGGCGACTGCTTTCCCACCGACCAATATTATATGGAAAATCCTGATGAGATTTTTACGAAACCTAATTGCGAGTTGCAGGTAGACCTGCAAAACATGCTTGTGCTGGAAGGTCATATACAATGCGCAGCTTTCGAAATGCCAATCCGCCGGGACGAAGACAAACTGTACTTTGGCAAGCAATTACCAGAAATAGCAGAGGAACGAATGGTAAAAGATCCTTTAGGTTTCTATCACTGCAACGAACGCTTTCGACCTCAACCCTCGAAATGCGTTGCCATACGCGATACAGAGGACGGCCATTTTGCAGTGATTGACATCACCAATGGCCGTAATATCGTTCTTGAGGAGGTCGAGCCATCTCGAGCCTTTTTCACAATTTATGAAGGAGGTATCTTCCTGCACCAAGGCTATACATATCTCGTGAAAGAGTTCTCTCCAGAACAAAAGTACGCCAAAGTCAGTCTCGTGAAGGTCGACTGGACCACTCAACAGCGTGACTACACCGACGTCGACCCAATCGAAACTGAGGCAATCCGTCGTATTCCAAACTCGCTTTCCCGCGCTTTCTATGGCGCCATCAAGATCCGCGCCCTTGTATTCGGCTTTTTCAAGATCGACAAGAACCGACGCATTCTTGACGCGGTCCAAGTGGACAATCCGCCTATTGATATATTCAGCAAGGTACAGCTGCCTCTCCTCGCTTGCAAAGTTGATGCAAGTTATACTAAGTCCTCTCAGGGTATGTGGCTAGACGTGCCTAAGTCTGCTCTGAACCTGTTGAACAGCCGGCGACTCAATGTTGCTGGTGCTATCCATGCAGCAGAGCATGCAATCCTCAGCTTGATGCCACAATTCGTAATCAGCATGCCAGGAGACGTACGGACTGAATGGTATGTACTTTCAAAGTGATCTGTTCCTTAATGATATCGAAGTGTGACTCGCAAAGCATGCTGACTCCGAGTCCAGCAAAAATGCGCTGAAAGAATTCGCAACGAAAGAGACCTCTCGAAAGCGTCCTGCGCGACTGACATTCTATGACGCCAAGGGGGGTTCTGCAGGCTCTGGCATCTCGACAAAGGCCTTTGAGTTTATCGATCTTTTGTTAGTACGAGCATGCGATCGGGTAGTGGCTTGCCATTGCCAAGAAGGATGTTTAGAATGTTGTTGTAGCGAGATTTGCAAAGAGCAGAACATGGTAATGAGTAAAGCTGGTAGCGAGGTCATCTTGAAGTGCCTCTTAGGCAAAGAAGGAGACATCAATGTCGATGCTTTGCCGTGGGGCCCAGATGAGAATACACCGGCGGGTATCGAGACCGTCGTCGCTGCTGAGACGATCAGACCAGCCCGCGGTAAAATCTTAGAGGAGGTTCTGATCAAAAGAATTTCTGGTGGTGTGCAGCGGGTCGTCCTTGACCACGTTGGGGACGGGAGGGAGGATGGGAACCAAGAAGTGATTGAAATTAAGGAAGAATCAATTGAGTGACTGCTCGATGCATTTCTCGAGCCATTGTACATAGGTCTCACTTTATTGGGCAAAGTGTGAAAGGTAGCTCTACTTTGCTTTGTTATTGTTAAAGCGTCCTTTCACTCATGGATACCGTGCTGACAGGCTATCCTGGTAAGGAGGAATGCGAGGACTCTTGTCAAGTCCAACTTCTAGGCATCTCTCTTGCGATAATATTTCACGTGTCAAACCACCTTCCCACAATCGTCTGACTATTTCACGACATGTAGCAGAGGACACCAAGCTCGGGAGCTGCTACGAAGGCAAAAATTTGTATGACAATGCTCAAAGAGGCCCACTACTCTTGTTCGTATAACCTTTGCTCATATACATATATTCAGCGTGTCAGCTCGGCGATAGTAGACTATCCAGATAGAGACAGCTTGAGCTGCCTTATCATCAGCCGTTATAGTCACAAATGACCTCTACCTCTAATCGTCCTGCAGACAGACATTTGGCGCAGTTCAGCTTGTTGAGTCAATCGAGAATGGTCGGATCTGGTGCTTTTCCAGCAGAATCATCTACAAGCATGAAGATGTTCAAGTATCAAGGATATTGTCGTTCACAAAAAATACTGTATTGCTCAATGCTTCGACCTTACATGAGATGCTATTTGAGCACTCGACTAGATACCAAGGCTATTCTGATGGACTCCAATGCATCAGTAGATATCTTGAATCAGGAAACATCTAGTCTAGCTGGATCTGTAAAAGTTCCATATTGGCTTCCCTCCAATGTTCAGGGGTCCACTGGTGAATAGCATGCTACTTCCACTCCCAAACCTCTCATTCCAGACCTTTCTGCAACCTTTGCACCTCATGGTACAAAGTTTTGCTGTCCGTCACATCGCCCAACTGCGACAAGTTAGCTTTGACCGCTCGGTGACCCGTGCCGTTTCTTTACCTTTACCATATGAGCCACGGGCTTGGCATTCTCGATCACCGCAAACAGGAAAGATTTTCCTGATGGCTCGTTGCCCCTGCTATCGCCAATCTGCATCTGTTTGAACACGGGAACGTTGAGTAGGACCCTGTATGTTTGGTGGGCCCTCATTATGAAACGCCCTGTCTTTCGGTTTGAAGAAGCGTCCTCTGGAGATGCTGCGGCGATATTGAGCTTGAAAGTCCCCTTGCCGCTTTCCTTCCAAGCATTGTCCCTAAACGAGTAAAGACTAGCTCGCGAAGAAAAGATCGAATCTTCGCCACCCTCTCCGGTTTCAACTATTCTCAGTCAGCTTTGCCGTCTTTGTGACGGTGAATCGTGCCTACCATCTTGGTGTTGGAACCGTCCATCTGCCTCCTCTGTCTCTTCGTCTTTCTTTTTCTCTGCCGATACTTCACCATCACTTTCACTGTTTTCATCTTCGTCTCCATCATGCTTTGGGGAACCGATGGGCTTGATAGCACCATTGCTAGCACCCAATTTTGCATTTCCAGTGGGAGCGGCAAAGCTAGTTAGTCTATTCCCTCCACTGAATGGTCCACCGAATGCACTGCCAAAGATTGAACCACCAAAAACGCCAATCTTGCTCGACCCCGATGTGCCGAACGGTAATTGGTCCGTTGTACCAAAACCGGTAGAAGAGCTGTTAACGAAAGCACCAAACCCACCGTTGGCAGCTGATTCCGTCTCCTGGGCTTCCTTTTTGTCCGTCTTGGTCTTTCCTGGAATGAAGACTCCTGCGGAAGCAAAAGGACTAGCGGTAGCGGCAGTCGATGAGCCACCTAATGTGCCAAATGGTGATGTTGACGAGCCTGCGAGCGCAGCAAAGCCCGAGGATGCGAAGGCGTCATCAGACGTCTGAGACACCTGATCCGTAGTCTTATTTGCGAATGTCGAAATTTCTGCAGAGGAGTTACTCTTGGCAGAAGCCATAGAGGGAGAGAATGTAGATGCGTTATCAAATGCACTTCTAAAGGGTCGCTGAACCGGTGTTAGCATTCAAGAGCTCTTCACGGACCAACAGTGAGACCTACCTCCTGTCTCTCCATCCCAACATGTGCATCACCCAGGCTCCTCCCCTCTTGCACCATTACAGGCTCCTTTTCAGCTACCCCAGAACCTTCTGGCGTTGCTGGGCTTCGATGCTTCACGACGGAACCTTCGTCTCTTTCAGGCTCATCAGATATCCTATGAGCTCTCGCTTCTTCCGTTGCAGGTATCTTCTGTTCTCTATCTGCCTCAGTGTCGAACTGGTCCCTACTTCGCTTTTTTCGTGGACTGGATGCCGGATCTCGCATCTCTTGGTCAGCGGACTCCTTTTCTGCTTCTGTTACACCTTCTTGTTGTACTGTATCAGAAACATGTCGTGTAGAGTCGTTGATATCCTGGGGTTGTTTGTTCTGCTCCATCTCCACTTGCGACAGAGTCTCAGTCGCTGGCGATATAATACCTACTGCATTCTTGGGTCCATTGATACAAGCCTCACTTGTTTTAACGCCATTTGCAGCGTCTTCCGACTCCTCTCGCACAGGAGTTCCTACTAGTAGTGGTCGGCTATTTTCCTTGGGAAGCTCGCGGACGCGAACATCTCTGGACCGCTTCCTCAGATGACCATTAGCATTGGGCTTTGTTATGTGCTCTCGTGCTGCCTCATTTCCTTCTGCATCGGGCGTATCTAGGTCATCAAACGATCGCTTTTTCACCGGCCTCCCTCGAGGTTCCACACCTTTCTTGCTTGATTCTTTCACCGGCGATGAGTCTCTGTGCATATGATCTGGTAGGGAGTGCTCTTCGTTTGCTGTGAGTACTCTTTCCTGCCTTCCTACAATATGACTTGACATGGATGCAAGGGAGGTCTTCTTCAGCTTTTCTCGTACCGGTTTCTCACTGTTGTCATTGTCGCTGATAGAATCTGTAGTAGGCCTTAAGGATGTAGAGGGGCTCATTGAGACATCTCGTGGCAATGTGGAGACAGTGTTGGGGGTAGTCTGTTGCCGCTGGTTTGTCTGCGTCATAGTGATGGTAGTAATTGAACGTTGATCCTTTGAAGAAGCAAATCTCCCGATATCCCTCCGGAACGCTTGTAGCCGGTTTCTCGAGGGTCTGAGGATGCAGCTATGGAGGGGCTATGCAGCTAGCCGTGGTCATATCGTACGGGTGATATCTCGCAGAAGCAGCAAGCGAAGCCTGGCGAAGTGGTGAAGCTCTTGTAGCATGCAAAGCGGGTCTCTGAAGCAATACTATTTTTCGGGGGAGTCGAGAGACTCAGTGGAATAAAGCAAGATAAGGTTTTTGGTGCTGGAAGGTATGAGGTTGAGGGGCTCTACCGGAGCACCAGGTTGTCTGCCGGACAGTGCGATGAAAGATGAAGGGATGCTGAAAGTGTTCAAAGTGATTTGTTAGAAGGAATTTGGTATGCGAAAGAGACTTTGGGTGGAAGAAGGAGGAGGAGTGGTGTATGCTGCTTTGTCTAGAAGACTGGCGTAGCTTTAAGTCTCGTAGATAGATTGACGAATTGTATCCGGCACATTTGACTCGGACTCCGGAGTGGACAAAGGATGCCCCGCCCTTTGACGCGCTTTGGATTCGTGCTCAATCCTTTCCAATCTCACCAATTTTTGACAATTTACTAAAATTAAAGCAAAGCACTTTACGCATTCTACAATCTATGTGTGGCATTACGCCTCCGGGGTACAATCCGAAAACAATCACCGTTGTGCTTACCTCTTCGTATGAGAGTCACGTATTTAAAGGTACTGTAAATCTTGTCATTTGGCTACTTGAACATTCCGGCAACAGCAATTTGCCATGAGTGGGTAGCATTTCTATATTATTATTGCCATATCAACTGATAAAGCACAAGCACCCTAGCCCAACATAGAACACGAACAGGGGGTATACTGCAATTCCCACCCGATTCTTCACCACTCCCGAGCCCCCAAGAATGCTGACACCAGCAGCTAATGACCACGCGATAAGCACGATATACACAGGAACGCGTGCTATACTTGGGAGATGGAGAGCACTCAGCATCGCCGCAATGACCAGTGGAAAGAGCGTGTAGCCGATGATGCATATCGATTGGAAGAAAGAGCTAGCGAGCCGTGTTAGGAAACTTCGCAGTCGGTAACTTCGAAGAACACGTACATGTTTCCTCCTAAAAGTTTGATTTGCGTAGTTACCACAGCCTCACCAATCCAGACCAGCGCGAAAACCCCAGAGAAGACAGTTGTTTTCTGTTTACTTGATGCGGTCATCGACAGCAGCAAGCTCAGAAGCAGGCAAAAGATCAACGGGCCCCTGTATGCCCGGTTAGGACGGTTTGCCCAACTAGGTGCCAGAATATTCCTGAGAATCAGGGTTTACCAAAGATCCCAGTCCCTTAAGCCTTCAGACATGCCACCTTGGAGTACCACATCTGCGTCTGGCCACCTTCCAGCAACACCCCTGAAGCCTCCTGCAAGGCTGTCTCCCTCACCCCTTTCTGCGCCTCCGATGCCTCCACCTCTCTGTAGCATTCCTCCTAGCAGATACTTAGGCCAAAGAACCTGTCTCATTTTTTCCCATACAGCCAGCAGGTCCCGGGACAATGTTTCCCATACAGACTCATCAATGGTGTTTGTAGGTACGCGCCTATCCTCGCCTGGAATCGATGAGTTGAGGTATGATTGGGATAGAGGATTGCGGGAGGACGATGATAGGATGTTGCCCGTCAATGGCGCTCGATCAGAGTTCGACTGCAGAGGATCCTCAAGATCGTTAATGTTCGCTGCTAGTATATACGTCAGTATGTGGAGCAGTAATTGGTAGGCCGAAACTACCATCGTCTGGATCTATGAGATCCTGCTCGATCTCGGTGTGGTCGTAGTTCTCATAGGCATTGCCCGACGATGCACTTGCCATCATGGCCATCGGCAAAAAAATATCGCAGCTGCGACCATATAGTTGGTTCCCTAAAGCTTGTGTCAGATTCAACGCTTGCTTGCGGATGAAAGGGCGGAGTCCTGGAGAAGAGCTCGGTGTCATCAAAAGAACGTTGAGGTACGGAGGTCGGCACGCAAAGTCCTGAACAGCGCTAGTAGCAGCCCTAACCCTAATTTCGGAAGGCGACTCAGTACCTCAGTGTGGGACCCTTTAACTTTGGGGAGTTCTATTGGGCCTAATAGGTAGGGGCAACAAGGCATCGTCCAGGCAGCCTTTCTATCCGAGATCTTGGCGTTCAAAACTTTTCGTACAGCTAAAGTAGGTTCTTTGCTAGATTCAGACGCTAGTGTAATTACATCAGCCGTATATCCTCTTTTGGTATTCATTGACCACATCTCTTTCTCTTCTCCCTCAACCTTCATTTCAACACAAGTATGACGGTGCCTCTTCTCTTTGTTGACAAGTAGCAGAGTACAGACATTCACAAGCGTCATTCTGCTACCACAACTCCATACAACAGTAAGCAAGAGTCCATCTCCCCACAGATTCAAGGCTTCTTGGCAAATACACCCCACACAGTTTCCTCCTTCTCGACTTTCGACTTCGAAGGAACCAAATGGTTAGGTAACATCACTTCAACTGTGCTGTCTTTCAGCTTTCTCCTTGTTCCATAAACTTCGAAGATCTTCGAAGGTTTTCCCTGCCCGCAATTCTTCGGCTTTCCTTGACTCCGGATTTCGCCCTCGAACACCGCTGTGTAGCCAGTCTCCTCATCGTCAGTATGCCGGGAGTACAGAGCTTTGTTGCTCAGCGCCAGCAAGGTCAGCCAAATCCAAGTCGCCAATTATTGGGGGCACAGCACCGAGTTCCGGTCCCAACAACAAAGCTAGAAAATATTAAACAAAAGCCACCATTCCAGAGGCCGAACCCTAATCTGCCGGCCAATCCTCCTGTGGCAGGTTCCATCACTATTCTGTCCAGGCAGCAAGCTGCCGAGGCGTCTGCTGTCCAGGATGGTTTCGATACCGACGCCGAAGGTTTCGACGACACGGCGACCATGAAAGTTGGGGGCAGCAGTCGAGGCCACCAAGGTGGAGGAGATGATCGCGACCAGATTTCTAGTCGGTATGGTACAGACGTACCCAATGAATATCTTTCCGGGGCTCAAGTATCTTTTCGACGTGGGCAGGAGCAACCACATCAAGTCCAGGGGTCCAGGCGACTGGACGCCGAGGGCTCCGGGGAGGACGGTGAAGCGAATGTCGGAGAGAGTGCAGACGAAGAGGAGGACGAAGAATCAGAAAAGGAGGAGTCGGTGCGTGATGGAATCTTGCAAGACCTTAATAGTTCAGGGTTTTACCAGTACCTTCAGGGAGAGTCATCTCACACGACTGAAGTAGCTTTCCAACCAGTCGTGGCTACTCCGGTGGTACATAGTGAATTAGCGTTAAAGGAGATTGTTCAGCGCCATCAAAAGCCAGCGAACCCGTTCACGTCCAGGGGGGATAGCGTAAATGGTGGCGCTGCAGATCCCGGTGTGAACCTCCAACGTGCGAATCGCCAAGCTCGTGAGAGGGCCATGAAACAGACTTCAGCGGTGCCGGTCCAGAAAGTCCAAGGTACGTCTTTAGAGCAGCCTTCGATCTCAGCTCAGCACCGTAGAGCGTCAGATCATTATGAACCAGGCTAACAGCCATCAGTTACCTCCCGTCAGGCTCTGCAGCCTATGTCGCGGGCTCGACTTAGATTGGGCCAAGACACTGTGGCTACAAGTGTACAGCCACAGGCCACTGAAGAAAGACCCTTATCAGTGCAAACCGGATCTAGCGACCTTAGCGACGACGACTCTGCTGTCGACTGGGACCCGAACGTCAACAGGGGACAAGACATGGAACCTACGGCATCGATTGATGGCCCACAGACACGGAAACGCGCCAGAGACCTTGATTATAGCCCGGACCAAATATCGAGCATGACCTTCAACCAGCTGACCAATGAACCTTTCAATCTCGCTTCCGATACAGCTCGGGTGTCCATTCCGCAAGAACTCTCAAATGGTACTCTAGCCGCGAAGGTGGATTACATCTTGGAAAAATTGAAAGATGATGACACCAAACTCGTCCATCGGAGAGCATTTTTCTCGTCCCTGTCGATTGAGCAGTACGAGGAATGTGCGAATCTTATAATTCAAAGATTCGGTGATGTCATGTCAAAGTTCACAGACGCCAGGCAGCAGAGACGACGAGCGGCGAAGGACTTTGAGGAAGAAGTTGCGAAGCGAGAAGCGTGCGTAAGAGGCAAGACTACGGTTGTGGATAAAGATCTAGACAGATTGAAGCGAGGTGGGGAGGAAGTTGTGAGGGGTGCAGCTTTGTGAATTGCAGCGGTAGCACGCGAGTTGTGCACCCACTGCATTCAATTGCTTTGACATTCGATGGATGTTCTCTTGGTTTCGAGGCTCAGAATCGGCGAATTTTCTTTTCGGCATATGTGCAATATGCCCCAATACGCTTTTCGTTGCTCTGATAGCCTTAGCAATGAGAGGAATCTCTGATCGCCTATTGCTCTGGCGGTGTTCACCAAAGCACAAAGTCATACACATAGTATCTTTCTGTCCCAAGTGATATCGTTTCGACCAGATCCCCTTGCACCTGCAAAGGATGGGTCGCCGGCCGTCCGACTCATCATGGACCTCTACTGCATCCCTCAGCAGTCAATCACCTTTTTGACCCACCAGTCTATGAGCTTTTGCATTGTCCAATCTGTGTCTAGCCATATCGCTCTCCGTGCATCCTCCTGACCACCTCCGATACCTACGACTCCCGTCATGCCCTCCTTTTCCCTCCACTCTTTCTCGGCTAACGCACCTGCCCTTTTTACCAATTTGTCGTCGTCCTCGTTTATGTAGAGATCGCACTTATCACATTCTCTGCAAACACCTCCTGCGGGTCTGAAATGCTGGCAGAAATGTCTGTACCCCTCATCGCCGTGCCCATGTCCCAATCCTTGGCGGCATATGTAGCACATTGCATAGCCACAAACGCACGTCAACTTATTGCAGCCGCTGTCTTTAATGAAGCCAAGCCCGCAGTGTGGGCATGTCCTTTTCAGAGCCGCAGTACGAGCCGCCTCGATCGTTGTGCGGAGCGAGAGCGCCGCCGACTCGTGACAGACATGCGGATCGTGCCATATCTTGAAGCAGGTCAGACAGGAGGGAAGCGCGCAGAGAGGAGATCGACATTGAAAGCGCGCAGAGAGGTGAAGAGACCGAGAAAGGCGACCCAGCGATGTTGAGAACATGCTTGTGATAGTCGGCAGCTCCCGAAACAGCGAAAGACGAGATACAAGTGTGTAAAGGGGTAGTAAAGGAAGGAAGACGAGCATCAGAAGAATGAGGAATACAGTTGCTTCGAGATGGACGGTGTTGAGCCTGTATCGAACAGTGGATGGAGGGAAATAGAGTTCATCGACCTCCGCGTAAGCGCAGAAAGGACAGTGGACAAGAGCGAGACGAGCTTTCGAGAGGCTTTCTTTAGCCAGGCGTGTTTCGAGCATACTCAAAGCCTCCTTACCACCTTTTGACTGTAGGATTGCTCGACGAGTAGCGCTGTGCGAGATGCAACCATCGCAGCTCTCGTCTGACATTAGGGCTAGACAGTTAAGCTGACCACGCGTATTATCAATGTTGCGTCCCCAGCTTTGGCCAAAGAGCGCTTCACTGATAGCGTTCTTGATGCACCGGAAACAGATGACATGCGCACTCGTAGTACAAGTCGCCAATTGCTCAAAAGTTATGTCCGAGAAGCAACATTGACACTCATACATAGCGTCGGCATCCATGGCCTCTGCCTCATTCAGAGTCATTGCAATCTCCCAGTCTTTTTCTTCCCGCTCGCTCTTTGCCTTTTGCAAGAATGGGAGTAGAACGCTTTGATTAAGCTCCGCGTCTAGCTCCGCGTCTCCTGTCTCTTTCAGGACCGGTACGGACCTCGATCCACCACCCTCTTGGTCCTTTAGCCAAATCATCATGTGGTGACCTTCGTTTGTAGACTTGGATGACTTCAGCCACTTAGACAAAAATACGTTGAAGCTGTTTCGCCAGCTTTTGGATGCGACATCTTGAAGGGTAAGTCTGGCACGAGTGTAGCAGAAGTTCTCTTCCGCCAACACTCCTTCGATTTTACTCCTACTAAGAGCCTTGAACTCTTCATATAATGTAGTCCGTACGGCCCACTTGTAGCTCGCTCGTCTGAAACGGTCCTCGGCGGTCACTGGCAGCTGATCGTCCTTTGATTTTGCCGTTTCTTTAACAGCTTTCCGCCATCGACCTTTCACCCATTCGTCTTGATGCTTCAGGAGCTGTTCAGCTACAACATGCAAACCGCTTTCTCCATCGAAAGTCTGTAGCATCTCGCGGAAAACCTCAGGGTGGATTCGGGGAAAGATGGTTGCAAGAACGGTCAATGAACCGTTCAACCCTGCAAGGCGCTGCTCGTCGTCATCCTCTGTTGCCTTCTTCTGACCATTCTCGCGCGCCGGTAGAGCGACGCGACTGGTCATGTGCTCTTTGAATGAAGTCGGAGAAGCAATGATCGCGAGGGGGTTCGTCAATCTGAATGCGGGGCAGTTGGCTATCCATGTATGGTTTGCAGGCGATTCCCTGAATGATGTTTCTGCAAAGTCAGATACTGGCTGGCGGTAACAGCCCGCTCGTCTTACTTCAAGTAGCCTGGTCAGAGTGCCAAGACTGCTCCTATCGAAATTAGGTACGGTAGCATGTTGCAGCCCCGACTTATCAGCAATGGTGAGCTTGACAAGATAATCCTTGGTACAAGATTGTAAAAAAAAAAGTGTTCCATCTTCGGTACCAAGATCTCGATCAAAAAGTCTGGAGCTGTAAAATTATAAGCCGTAGAACGAGATATGTGTGGGGAGGGTATACCCATCAAGCATTCGGAAGCAACACAGACTGATATCTTGCCAGGGGTGAGAGTTGAAAGAAGATTTTCTACGACAAAGTTGGAGAGATAAATGTAACCTACAACTTCGCTACCAGGTTTCCCTGCTGAATGCGCTTCTTCGAATATTTATTGTGTGTTGTAGCAGCCAGCGGTAGCTCAATCTTCAACCTGGGGAAGACAACCAATAATTGTGCTTTCATATCTGACAATAGTATAATTTTTTTTCACGGCTCAGTGGTCTAGTGAGTAACCCACACCTTCATTTAGTCCGTTGGTTCCCCGCAGCTTTGCGACAGAATCTCTCTTAGTACCTTTTCGATTGACATAATACCGAATTCCAGGTCGTATGATTGCCGCTTCGGGATGTATCCAAAATGTCATAGATGTTTGATATGTGGCAGGTCCCGGGGTAATTATTTAACATTCGATCTGTACTCATTGACATTGTTTCTAATCGAACATAGTTCAAATCCCGGCTGAGCCCGCGTTTTTGTTCCCCTCCCCTTTTTCCTTTCCTTTTTCTTTTCCTTTTCCTTGACTCACTTTCTCCCGTCTTCCAATGCAGGTTCATGCTTTCTTACCTTGATTTTAATGAAGAACTCATAGATTCGGTTTGAATCTTCCATTGGCGCTTTGTTTGCTTTGTTACGAGCGTACCCTTGACACACCACTCAGCCCTATGGCCTAGTGCCTTGGCGGAGGCATTCCCTACCTTAGCGAGTTGCCCCGGTAGAATTTTACGATATATATACGATATATATACGATAAATTTTTTAAGACGTACTAAGTAGCCACCTCCGCCTTTAAATAATAAAGATTTTAAAATAAATTATATTATAAATAATTATAAACTTTAAAACGTATTAGTCTTAGTCTATTACGATTTTAATAATCTTACGATCTTACTTACTTGTATTATAATCTAATTAAACTTAGCGTATTAAGATCTTTTAACCTTTCTATCTTACTATAAAGGCTTATATTTATAATAATTCTATATAGAATAGTATTCTCTTTATACTATAATATAGAGTTATTATATATACTATTAAGTCTCTAATATAATACTATCTATCTTTCTTCTAAAGTAATAGCGATTTATTTATTAATTATACTAAATATATTATTAAGAAGTTAGTAGTTATAGCTAAAGAAGCTTACTACTTAAAAGATTATTTAAAAAAAAATCTTTTACTTATATAAAGACTAATTTAATTAGATTAAATAAGAATTTAAAGAAAATAAATATCTTTAATATATTAAAAGGAATAGACTCTAGACTAAATCTCTTTTATATTCTTACTAATTTAATATTAGCTATATACTTCTTAACTTTAAATTTAGATAATATTTAAAGTTAAATTATTATAAGTAAGTTATAGATATATTATCGTTTAGAAGAACTCGAGAACTTTAATAAAAAGATTTTAAATATTAGTAAAGCTAGATTATTCATATAATATAAGAGAAAGCATTTTATCTTTAAAAGATATATTATTAAATTTAATTTAAGTTATATTAAAGTATAACTTATAAATATTATTAAAAAAGAGTTAATTATAATCTTTATCTTTATTATTAACTTATAGAATTTTATAAAAAGCGCTATCGAAACTTTTAATACTTAATATAATAAATTAAAGATATTAATAGAAAGCTTTCGAATTACTAATTATAATATTAAGGTGCTTTAATAATAAAATAAAGAACTCGATTATAATATTACTTAAATTAAGATAAAGATATTAATAATTAATATCTAACTAAGTAATAATAATAATTAATTATTTTATAAGCGAGAAACTAATAATAAATTTTAAGATTTACGTGATAGATATCGTATTAATACTATAGAACTTATTAAAGAAAATAAAAAACTTAAGTAAGACTTAAGATATAAAGAGTAATAGCTAAAGAAGTAATAATCTCTTATATTAGCTATTTTAAAAAACTTCGATAAAAAGAATATAGAGGTTATATCTTATTAGCTAAGTATTTCTATTAATAGTATTTATCGAAATTTATATTATACCTCTATTATAAATTATATAGAGAATATAGAATTAAATAAATAATACCTCGACGTCTCGAATTTCTATAATATTAATAATCGAGATAAATAGAATAGCTAATATTAATATCTTAAAGCGAAGTTTAGATAAAGCGCTATAATCTTTCTTATTAAACTTAAGAAAATCGATTATATATAAGATTATTATAAGTCTATTATATATAACGTTATTAAAATAAGAATAAACGAAGATATCTTAGATTTATATTAAATCGTCTAAGAAATAATTAATAAATTAAATAATATATTCGAAATATATAATAAGATTACTAAATCGAATACTAAGATATTTAATTCTAAATTTAATATAAGAGTAATAGATAAGAAGAAATCGTTTAAGAACTT